TAAAACTGATTATCCTCCTGATCAAATTTTCGAACCAATTGTGTTAACAGACATACAAAGAAATGGTGATTTCTATGTAAAGAAGTTGGAAGAAAACCTCAAACAAAACCGAGGAAAAACTACAAAAACCCGAACAAAAAGCCAAAGCAAAGCTGAACCTGAAGTTATTACTCCAGCTGATAAACAATATAGGAAAAGAATATACAACCTCAGATCATATGGAAATTGGACAATCCTAAAAGGAAATACTTTCCAACATCTATTACCAACCGAATAATCCAGCAGGTTTTGTCATTAAAACTTTTCAATGCCGCTAAGAAAGAGATTCCTAGTCTAACACATGAGCAGGTTAAGAGATGGTTAAAAGTCAACTTACTTACACTCTACACGCGCAAGCTAGAAGAAAGTTCGTAAGAAACCCTATTATCGTTAGCAAAATAGATGAACAATGGGAGGCTGATCTTGTTGAAATGCAAGAATTTTCACGCCAGAATAATGGAGAAATATATCTTAACAGTAATTGACTGTTTCAGCAAATATGCTTGGGCAGGCACTTTCTAATAAATCAGCAAAGTCCGTTTCGGATGCTTTCAAAGATATTCTATCTACACGAACACCTGCTGCTTTACGAACTGATAAGGGAAAGGAATTTATTAACAAAACATTTCAAGATCTTCTTTCATCAAAAAATATCAGATATTATTCATCGAACAATCCTGATATAAAATGTGCTATAGTTGAACGATTTAATAGAACACTGAAAACTCGAATGTTTCGATATTTCACTTCAAAAGGGACGAGAAAATTTATTGATGTATTACATGAGCTAATGATTGCCTATAATGGAAGTTTGCATAGATCAATTGGCATGGCACCGAAAGATGTAAATGATGAAAACTCGAACTCCATTTTCGAAAAACTTTATGGAAAAAAATCATTACGAGAAATTTATCAGGGAACACCCCTCATACATAAGATTGATGTTGGAGATGAAGAATGAGTATAAGTTAGGACCGTTTGAAAAGGATTCTACCGAATTGGAGTGATCATGTATACAAAATTTCATCGGTGGATAGAACAAATAAAAAAGCAATTTTCACACTAGATGGTTATGATGGAACCAAAATAGAGAATAGAAAATTTTATGAGGAAGAGTTACAGAAAGTCCATGCAGAGGTACATCGTATTGAGAAAATATTGAAAAGACGATTATATAAAGGAAAGCCACAATACTTTGTTAAATGGTTAGGATATTCTGCAACTTACAATTCATGGATAGATGCAAGCGATAACAACAATATCACAATAATGAATGCTGAAATGTTTACGTTTACCATGCAAATTGTAACGCTTTTTGTGTTGTTATTGCCTCACTTCTCAATCTTTCTCTTGGGATGGGAGATCAAAAGTTATGGCTGACTTTGCTTACAATGTCTCTAGGATGTATACTTCAACTCCAAAATTCTCCAAAAATTCCTTGATGAGCCGTAATGCAAGTGAAAGTGATATAAAGCGCTCAATAAATATTTGATCAATTAAATTTTTGTTTTAAAGAAAATGCCTAATTCGTTTTATGTTTCACTTCCTAGTAATGTCTTTACTTATGAAAAAAATAAAATTTCTGATTATATAACATATCTTCCTAAACCATTGAATTTGTCTGATGATTATCATGTGGCTCTAACAGAGTTATCGTACACAAAGTTGGTATAATGTTCAACAAAACTCATTATTCACACTTCATGACACTAGATCAATCATTTTACAAAAACCGGGTATAGCTCCAGGGTGGTATAAGAACATCCATGATTTGATAAAAGCTATTAACGATAAAATTGAGTTTTATTCGAACAAGATAAATACTTACAACCTAAATTAGTTCTAGATGAACACAGTCGAAAGGTGGAAATGAAATTTGGCCGTACTAGTGACGGAGTACCGATGCTAGTTTATTTAGGAAATGAATTAGAGGAAATGCTCGGTTTTTCTAATGAAAACTCAATGAATATGTTGGATGAGAATGTTTCTATCGTGCCATTAATAGGCGATAAATACATAAGATTGCAGAGTAAAAGCCCTGAAAGACTATTTGATATGAAGGGAGGAATTCATTCTTTAATGGTTTATAGTGATATTGTATCACATTCAATCGTTGGAAATACACAAGCTAATTTTTTACGATCTGCCAGGATAGACGATCGTGACGAATTCGGATCTGACATAAATTTAATCTTTCAAAAACCATATTATTTTCCTGTTAATTCAAATTTCATTGATAAATAAGAATTAATATAAAGGATGATAGGAAATCCTATAGAATTTCAATTTGGAAGAGTTTCGTGACTTTACACTTTAGAAAACATGGAAAGCTATTATTTAGAACAAGCAGGTAATGGAACTGCAATTCAATCTTTCTCAGAGTACGTTATCAACGAGGCGGTGGCTTTTCAGTAGACTTTTACTAGTAAGGTTTTACCAATATTACGTTATCTTGGAGACAAAGCCCTGGACACTGAAAGGCTATTTTGAATGATGTCAAAACTTCTGCGACCAATAGAATCATCGATACTGTTCAAGAAGTAGCTCAAGAGGCTATAAAAGAAAAGTGGGAAATGAAGATGGTCAGTCCGGCTCAGGTATAAAAAGGAGAAAGTTGACAAAAGATCTTACATAGCTGATTATAATTTTTAAAATGACCACCAAAGCAAATATTCGAAAGAAGCTGTCCTTTCTGAATTGGATCTTTTACGATACCACCTGTTCAGAAATCTATTGAGAGCTATGAAGTACAATACAGACCAATATCATCTCTCGACTCTACAAAATAATAGAGTTTTCAATTCCTACATCTAAGGATGAGTATATTCTTCTTCATGAAACATATTTTTATGTGAAAATTCAACTTAAATCCGAAAAGCAGACGATTCTGCGTTAACTATTCAAGACTGGGAAACTGTAACACCAGTAAATAATTTACTTCATTCTATGATAAAACAAGTTGAGCTTGAAATTGAGGGAAAGATGTTACCATGTCTAATTCAACATACGCTTACCGAGCCTATATTGAAAACATGCTAGGCTCTCCGCTGATGCTAAAACTCGCACTTGTCGAGTTGTGTGGATGGAGAATGCAATAAGGAGACGATCATTTTCACCCGAGAAGTTTTGCAGCAGTAAAGAAGTTGATCTTTATGGACGGCTACATTTTGATATGACATTTCAAGGCAAGGCTATACTTGGAGGTAAAGATATTAAAGTAAGAATCCTTACACACGATCCTTCATTCTTCATGCAATGTGAGGATAGAGTTGATGTTGCAATGGTGATTAAAGATGCATGTCTATACGTATAAAATGAAGGCTACACCTCAATTAACAAACGCACACTCAAAAGCTCTGGCTATTGCGCCTGCATGTTACCCTATTTCAAGGGTTGATTTACGACAAGCCTCTATCCATGCAAACTCTCTTGATGCGGTTCTAGATAATATTATAACTGGACAACTCCCTCGAAGATTCTTATTAATGGTTAAAATACAGCATTTAATGGTTCTAAGTCTCAAGATCCATTCCACTTTGACCATTTTAATGTTTCACATGCAGCTTGTTACGTTGATGGTGTTCAATTCCGACAAATGCGTATCAACCGACTTCAAAAATCAATTATGTGTACGAGAGTACTGCCTATTTCAAGCAATGAATATGAACTCAACTGATACAACAGTAAATATTACTAGGAAGATTTCATGGAGGAAAACAATTTTCGCCTTTAACTTTGCACCAGACCTGTCACATGGACCTGGTATGACTGGACATATTAACCCTATTAAAAGAGGCTCGTTGAGAGTTCAATTGAGATTTTCTGAACCATTAAGAGAAACAATAACTGTACTTTATTGCGAGTTTGACAATATTATTGAAATAGATTTAGAACGTAATGCTGTAACTGATTTCAAATAAAAGTAATGTTTGATTATGAAATAAAGAAAGCTCTTTGTTCTTACGATAAATTCATAGGATGTTTTGCGCGAGATAAAATACCTTCAATAGTTGAGTATCCATCATTTATTATCGTCAATACTGACAAGTCATCTGCTCCTGGAACGCATTGGGTTGCTATGAGATTTACATCGAATGAATGTGAATATTTTGATTCATTTGGTTTACCTCCATTGCATCAGGAAATGATAAATGCTATCGGGTCGCGTAAAATGTTGTGGAATGGCCGTTGTTTACAACACCCTTCTTCACGAACATGTGGAGAGTTTTGTATAGCATTTGTAAAGTTTCGCTCTCTGAAATTTTCATTCATAAAATTTATCAAGTATTTTTCTGCTGATACAAAATCTAATGATAAAACAGTAAAAAGTATAAGTTCGGATGATTGGAATACAAGTTTTCAGTTGCATAACAAAAATGGATGAGTACACTTGCCCACGGGTTACAAACATGGTGGTCGCCTTCTCTACCTTTTGAGATAGATCTAAAACAGCTGATAAATATTTATCCTCAAACTGATTACCGAACTAAACGATTCAATGGTGCTATCATTAAGACGAAAATAAATTGTTTACTAGTATTCCGAAATGGAAAGATTAATGTCGTCGGAAATAAGAGAATTGAGGATGCTGAAGATGCTGTTGATGAATTGTGTTTAAAATTGCATAAGAAAAAGAATATACAAGAAGAATAGTTAATATCGCTGTTGTGCATTAGGTCATCCAATTGTGTTGAATGATCTAGCAAACAATGGAGACTTTGAATATAACCCTGAAATATACCCAGCTGCTTACTATAATATCGGTAAAGCTAAAATATCGGTTTTTCATACAGGAAAAATAATTTTCACTGGCTTTTCAGATTTTACAGATATTGTGAATTCTTTTGATGAAGTTCATTTGCTAATAAAATGATTTGATATTTTATAAGAAAACAGTTTATTTAATTAATCAATTTCATTCTACATATAGAGAGATACTTGATTTACAAATTGGACAATCGTCAAGCTGTGTCACAATCGATGCAAGAGATAGCGTGATCACATGGTGCGAATACTGTACCGATTTCTTTGTCGAGACATATCTTGCAAGTGTATCTGTCCTTATCATCAGTGGGTTGTGGTAGCTCTGTAGGGAGTAACTGTATCTGTTGGGAGTTGATATCATCTACGAACATCTGTCCTCGCTTCAAATATAGATAACTACATTTAGGGAAGTAATATGCATGGACAGCCCATGCATTATCTCCTCTCTCCCAATTTGAGATTGTTCCATTGCAGTTGAAACATCTGGTGTGATCGTATACTCTAGTGTAAAAGAATCCGGCCTCTGCAAGTTCTTTGGGTGTTATTATCTCATTGATCGGCCAATTTGAGAAAGTTTCAGTCCGACTTTGTAGTGTTCTAAACTGAAGGTTCAGCGGCTTAAAGTATCGTCGTCGATTGATGATTCTGAAAATGATACCAGCCTATTTCTTGTTATACGCCTAGATACTCTAGGAAAACGTCGGTCGTTCTTTCGATTGCTGGAAGATTGTTAGAATTTTCATTTTCTGTTAGGATGTTAGAGATACCAGTGACATTATCATTGTTTTGTGGTCTTGTAGTCATCAACTACATCTTCTCCCTCAATTTGGTTAAATATAATCACTCGATCCTCTGCAGTGTTATTAGAATGTGAAGGATTATTCTGTACTATCCTTGATTCTTCATTTTCATAATTAACCATGACTCTTAGAGGCGTGTTTTCCTGTAGAACAACAGTTGATATAGATCTTGGTATATTACCACAAGGAAGACCTTGGATGAAAGGACAATCTGATGAATGAAGACGATGTTCAATCCAGTGTAAATCTTGCCAGATTGAGGCGTGGTAGAGGTATCCACAGAAAAAACATTTAACCTGTCGCGATATTCCTGTAAAGTAAAACCATCGCGCTAGCTCTGTTCGGTATGAAATCTCCGTGCCCCACGCTGATTGGAAAAAGCTTTCATATCGAGCTTGCTCGGAAGCATAAGTACTTGCATTGTTGCTTGAGTCTGTTATATTCATTTTAGTAGAAAAAAGAAAGAAACTTCAGATGTGACTCTTAAGAATTTTGAAATGAAAGTGAATACTCGTCAATACAAACATTTGCTTTTTATTCGAGTTCGGTCTCCCTATCTCACTCTCTATAGATGTGCGCACTATCAATTGTATTTTTCATTGCGCATGTGTGATTTGGCTTGCAAAGTTGCTTCTGACCCCTACCCCCTAACAACATTAAGCTCCTCCCTTTTTAACGTTTAGACACATCTTACTACTCATAACAATTAATATTAATAAAAAAAAACCCCGATCATTGTTAATTGTATAAAATAATTAAGTTAATAAAGTTAAAAGTTAAATCGTACGATGAAAATGAAAACTTTTCTTGACAACAATTAGTTGATTGTCGCATTGGGATAACAATATTTGAATTTAGGAGATATTGAGACACAAATTAATGAGAAAATTAAAATCTCAGTTAATTGTTCCGTTGAGAGTTGATTAAATTAAGTTAATTCTAGATAAATATTCAAAAGACGGAAACTTGTTAACCAAAGTAAATGAATATAAAGATGATTATTTACCAAAAAAGAGACTTGAGTTCATTTAAATTATAATAATTCAGTGATCAATTCACCGCAATCATCATGTTAATCATCATCATGATTGTGATAATTATCAACCTTGAAGTTAATGTTAATCTAACTGTAAATGATATTCAACCTTTTACCGTTATAATAATGAATAAGGAAACAAATTTACATCTCAATGGGAATTAACTTGAAACAAGTTGAACAAAAAAAGAGCAAAAAATAACGGAAACTCAACTCCCAGAGAAATGATTAACATGATGATGATATTCAGGATTCTCTGTCAGAATGTTGGTTTAACTTAATTTAAAGGTTCCATGATTATGATTAACAAGATGACAACTTTTTCTCTCATCCAATTCTCAATTCTCTGAGTGTATCACCATCATCATCATGATGATTATATTCATCATATTGAACCGGATATTCATTTGTATTCAACTCCCAGTTCAGTATATATTATATGAGTTATTTTCTTTAAGGTGATAAAATAATATTCTTAAAGTTAATTGTTATCATGTTCGTTAATTGAATTGGTCATATTTTTTTTGTGATCAAATCATTTACTCAGGGAATTGATATTTTCAGATTGTATTTGAAATTCAATTTTTATTTCATGAGTAAAATGAAAATGAACAATTTAAAAAGTCATTTTTTTTCATCGCCAATTTTATTGTTGGACAATTTGGTTGACAATTTAATAATCACCAACAATTTACTCAGGTTATTTGTTTCATGATTCCGATTAACATTAACATCATGCTACAGTTTCCTAAGATAAACTGTTCAATTGATTAGATTACATTTTTGTTAATTGTTGTTGATTAACTTACCTCAACGTATTGAAACATTGTTGCCTCGAAAACATCACCAATATAAAATCCTATGAATGTATCACTGATCGTACTCAATACAGCTCGAATCTTAAAATTAAACAATTAATAATTGATCGACAATTAAGTTGATTGATTAAATTATGAAGAAATTTTTGTTTTTGGAAGAAAAAAAATTTGATCAACTTAATTGGAAAACAATTTGTTGATTGTTTCAATCATCTTTTCTTACCTTTAGTTTTGTCATCACTTCAGGTTGAACTTTTTCAATGATCATATGATATTTCCCATAGGATGAGGATGCCTAATAAATTAATCATGATTAAAATGGAAACATAATCAATATGATTAACATTTTAGTTGATCACAATTTTTGATCATCAAATGATCGAGTTGTAAACAATTAACTCAAGTGGGAACCATAGTAAGTGGCTCAAATGTTATTAATCAATTGTTAAGGCGATACAAGAATGATAATTGGATTGTAATCAAATTATCATTAATATTTGATTGCGATTCTTGAAAAAAAAAAAATTAACTCATTAAGATTATGATTGAAGATCATTTTGATTTTCTTGGTCAAAATTTTGTCTCTCATTGATTGTTATAAGTATCAGTTTGTAACGATAATCATCAATTTAGATTCTTGATTAGTTACAAATTGTAACTTACAATCAAATGTTTGCAGTGACAGTTAATTGTCCCATTGTTGATTGATAAAATACTTACCTTGACTGAAATTTTGGATAAGACTAGAATAAGCGCCATTGCGAAAAACAATATTTCAATTCCAAGTCCAGTTACGATAATGTTATTGTATAAATGGTCTTTTGGCATGGCCGTTGCTGAATAAAGCAGGAAATCAGCACCAAAAGAAGCATAAAAATAACCGATTGCAATATAATATTTAATTTGGTCACTCAGTTTAAAGATATAACCTGAGGTGTAATTATGAGAATCGACGATTGACCGAACGCGTTGATTAATATGATCGACTTTGGCCAATGATCGAGTCTTAGTATCAATAATAGCGATCTTATTTGATTGGGCCAACGTCCATTTAGAAGATGATAAAAGTTGATCAATGGTCAAACTAATAGCGTCCAATTGTAGTGAACTATAACAGGTCGTCAGGTAAATATGAGTGATAAGCCATAAAGTCGCGTTGACCACTGGAAACGCTTGAAGAGTAAGTATAGATGACCAAAAGATTTGAAAGAATATTAATCTCTTTGAATATTGTGAACTATTGGGATTTGTTGCAAAAGAATAGAATAAAATTCCTGGAACAAAACAAACGGTCAGTGGACAAGCAATGGTCAAAAATCTTCGAGCCAGGTAAATCTTATTTCGCATCTCATTGGCACCCGAAGGTGTTATCCTTAAAAACGATGAATTGAAACCATTAACTTTTATTTGAGAGAAAATGGTCAACCAAGATGTTTTATCAAACACGTCAGACCAGTAAATCATTGACCGGAAGATGACCAAAAGCCAAGCTCCTAAGGTACAGGTACAATTCATGTAAAAACGGGTTGGAGTGCCAACGAAAACATCACCACAATAAGTGTTAAGAAATTCATTATCGGTGAAACAAAGAATTGTAATTCTAATCATCGAAATATAATTACTGATCTCTATCAATGTACTTATAAGTAAACGATTATCAGGCTTGTGGTCACTTCCTTTCGACTGGTCAATCTCTGGATAACCATGAGTAATAACGTACCAACGTTTAGCTGATTCCTCCATTGCGATTAAATGTTCAACTCCTTTGAATGGATCATCCTGATGGGAGAAAAATTGATTTAATTTAGTTTGAAGTCTTCTAATTGTTACAATTACACTTAATTTCATCTCAAAACATTCAAAGTTAACGATTTACATTCAATTAAATTTAATTCTGATTAATTCTGATTAAGATTCTGGAGTTTTTTTTGGTTACATTGTTTGAAACTTTTCCCTCTCATTGAAAGAAGCTAATTGTTAATTGTTGAGAGTTTCAACTTATCGATTGTGATTAGTTTGGTCATGAATTTTACTAATGCAATTAATTGTTAACTTCTAATTGTTAATTTTTGATTAATTGCTTTAACTTTGTTTTTTTTTCTTTGTTTAAAATTTAAATTGTTAATCAATCATTGATTGTTGTGTAAATTTCATTTATCTTGATTGCTAATCAATACAAACAATTTATTTAGTTTCTTTTTGAGAATTGAATCTTTGTAATTAACAAAGAACCAATTTAATTGTTATCATCAAATTTCAAATGGTTTAATTACTATTTTTTTTTCTCTATGATTAAGGTAATTGTGATCATTATTTTTAACTTGATTCTATTTATCAACATTTAAAGGGTCTGACAATTTAGATTAGACTAAATTGTTAACTTGTTATTTCATAGATCACAATTAAGAACAACAATTAAATTGGTTAATTGCTAAGGGACGAAAAACTAAACTGCAATTAACTTCTTACTCCATCTTATCAGAAATTAACTTTACAATTAAAAACTTAAATTTGAATTTGTCATTAAATTGCGAGAATTTAATCAAAATTTAGTTTAACTTTTTTCCATTGTAGAGTTAATTAGGTCTTAGTCTTTTTCGCAATTAATCTGAAATAGTTAATAATTAGGTAATCATGATAATGAACTTACTGTTTGAGAACTGGAAATAATGGTAACAATTAAAACTTAATTGTGGTTTAAATATGGGAAAAATTTCACAATCGTAACACTAATTGTTGGGATTGATTAAAAAGCCCTTTTTTGATTGTTGATTTTTTGTTTTCTACTGATCAAAACTTTTGATTATTTACGTAAATTATTGTTCACCTTTCCATGATTACCATCATCAGCTACATCATCGTTTTTTTGAATATCATCACGAGTAACATCATATCAATCTGACAATCATTACTGATCATCAAGATGATTATTTTTCTTATTGATATTCACCTTAGAAAATAATCTTTTGACATATTAAAGGTAATATTTTCAACTCACTTTGATTGTTGAACAATTAGCAAATCATCACTCAGATTTCAATGTATATTTACAAAAAAAAACACATACGCATTCTTGAGTTTACGTCAATTCATCTCATGTAATATTTTGGATTAAATAGTAACATAGTTTTTCTTGATAACCTTCTAACTTGATGATTGTCTCTCTCTCTCTCTCTCCATTTTTCTCAATACTTGTAAACATGAAGTATTACACAAGATATTAACCTTTTCTTTAGGTCGATTGTTTCAACTGCATTTTTTTCAACCAAATAATCTCCAACAGAATCAACATTTCCACAAGTCTACCAACACCACCATTGAATATCCATCACCTTTGAAACTCTATAGGAAACAAGTAAAAAAAATACGAAATATGAACAACAAAAAATACGAAAGAAAAGAAAAATCCAATCCACAATTAAGGCCTAAAAAGAACGAGAAAAGCAAATGACAAAAACTGACAGGAAAACGATTCTAATTGTAATGTCTGCTTATTAGGATAATTAAACTTACCAGTTGATTGTTTACCAATTTGTTTAAAAATTTCGGTTTTAAATTACAAACAAAAACGAAACATTTTAGCAAAAATGAAAATGGCGACCAAGGAGACGATAAAATCTACTTGATGATTTTGAGAAACACTTAAGGAAAAGGCTAATCAATGATTAACCTTTAAACTGTTAACACTTTTAATCACAATTAGATTAATTATCTGAACAGATGAGATGGTTAATTTAATCAAAGTTTAATCAAGAAGATAACAATTAATCAGAAAGTTAACATTCACTTGACCAAAAGGAGGAAAAAGAGAGAAGAATAAAAGAGAAAAAGGGGAAGAACAATTAGTAAAAAGGGGAAACAGAAAAAGAAAAGAACAAAAAAGAGAGGGAAATAAGGAGAACAAATTTTTCTCTTTCTTTTTGTTCGCTGATTAGTTATTTGTTTTTCTCCTCTTCAATTGTTATGTTGCAATTAACATGTTCTGCTTTTGATTTGATTCGTTTTAATTGTTAATTGTGAAATGTTGGGCACTAATTTTAATTTACTTCACTTTGTTAACGATCAAAGATTTGTAAGTGAAACAATTAACTTTTTATTTGATTCTTTCTTTTTTTTTGTGTCTCTTGATGATTTTTTGTGTCTCTTTGTTTTTGTTTCTCCATTTTTGTTTATTTGGTGTTACTCTTGGTCATCTCTTTTTTGGTTTCTTTTACAGTCCATCCGAACTGGTCAGGCTTTTTGTTGGCTTTGTCAAGGTAATTGGGCTAATATTAATTGTCACCATTGTTTCCGTTATTATCATCATGAGTGTTGCCTATCGGATGGACGATTAGCTACTGATCGCCTTTTTTACCGTACATCTGATGGTTTACAATTTGTTTCCAAGTGTAATGAGTGTATTCTCATTGATGTTATTCATGACCGATGGGATAAAGGTTCAGAATTTAGAAAAATGACCCCAAGAAATATTCAACGATTAGTTTCATTAATATGGTCAAGAATTTCTTGTGTAAGTGTTTCATTTTCACTTTAAAAGCCAAGTGATTGGTGATTATCTCTAGTGTTTAAATGAACAGTTCACAAAGTTTCACCAATATTAATACATTGATTTTCTTTTTTCCAAACTAGTTTATCACCGCTAACATAGATTTTGCAGTTCGAGGATTATCCAAAACTTGGGTAAATTGTCCAATTAATTTCGATACCATTGATCTTAGGGTTAAAAATGGTACCTATGAATATCCCTATCAAATGTTGACCGATTTGTCTTTAATCAATCACAATCTTCGGTTGGTTCACCAAGATAAATTTTTCATCGATTCACTGGTTAATTTTATGGCCTCCGTTTACTCGCTATTCAATAGATGTGAAGCTTGTCCCTATTGTTTAGAAAGCTCGTTTTCTCAACGACCTAACTGGATAATTGAAACATGTCCATGGGGCCATCCATTGATCTTTGTAAATCTCAAAGGTTAGTAATTAACTTACGGAAAATACAATTAGTAATACAACTCAAAAGTTCGGGTCAACGGTCAGTTAGCTCCTAGTTTTTTACTCTTAAATATCTACAAAGTAAACAGTTATTGTTGTTGATTATTATTCAAGCTAATCAAATGAAAAAAAATCAACAAAACGCAATAACATTGAGTTTATCTTTGATAATGAGAAGTATAAAAGTTACTTGACATTTTGGTGTTGAAATTAACTATGTAAAAAAGTTGCAAGATTAATTAGTATATCGAGTATGCAGTTTTACCCTCTAACCATATTTACTGTAGTGATTAACTAGATGATAGTTGTTTAAGAGCCTAATTAACCAATTAATGTTGATAAATTGTTCAGTCAATTGAAACTTGAAGTAGAAACAAAAGTCAAATTTCAATGATGAACTAAACTTGATTCATGATTAGTTTATCTCTAATCAAACCACAATTACAGAAATAAGTGATTATGTATATTGATATATATCTATAAATTATTGATCATCATGATTATGATAGTGATGGAAATGATAACTGATAAACATTGAGAAAAGTGTTGAAAAATTGTTATCAGTTTTGTGTTTATCCACTGAGGATTTTGTTGTCAGGGGAAGTTGGTGTGTGTCTCATTGAAAAGCTTTTCGATGGTCATCAACTTGTAACATATTCAATATATTTGTCATATCATGCTAATCATATTAACCTGATCATGTTGTCTTATCTGACGAGATCGTTAATCACCTTTTTAACTGTCAAATTTACTTAATCAACAGATCAATCATGGCCTGGTAAATTGCTTCGTTATCACCATCATTCAAATCTTGCTGATGTACTACTATTTGGATCACTTGAATGGTATAGTCTCCAATCCTCTCCTACCTTCCCCTCAACACTTTCGATATAAATACAATTACTATTATCACTTTTGATATTTAAGATTCATCAACATGTTGATTAATCTAATTTAGATTGTAACAAAATTCAACCAACCCATGAGACTTTTGATAGAAGTTATAATTATACAATTATTTCCGTTTTATCTTTATCATGCAATTTTACTCATGATCAATAGGTTTTTATTATTTTTCTTTTTATTATTATTACTATAAATTCATTATTCTCAATGTTATCATTATTATGTTTTCTTTTTTTCTCAGGTATCAAATTGCTGCTAGTGATTGTCGTCACTTCGTAACAACTGATTACTCTCTTCCAATAGCATCAATTTCCCATAGAAAGGCTGTTCTTGATTCACTAAGATATTTAAACAATATTGTTTACTGTTTCCCTACAAAGATTACTCTTAATTCACGATCTGTTTATGCTGAAATCAAAGATTTCGTAGTTATCTCAAGAGATCAATCGACTAACTCATCATCATCATCTACATCTACATCAAATTCGAACAGTTCAATTAATCTTGACAAATGGACAGCAGAAAGGGTTGCAAGTATCACTCACTTTATTCTTAATATGGAAAATCAGATAACAACAACCACCCCATTCGAATTGGATAGATATTCACAAGCGGTTATGGATGCCAGACAATTGCTTTTGGATGATTCTGATGATGAAGAAAATTTCGTTAATGATGTAACCATTGATAGATAATCATCTGAATAATATACTACGCGATATGTATTAGTATATCTGATGATACAATTATACAAGGATTATAACGTGAAAACCTTGACAATTATTTCGTTTTTTTCTTTCTCCTTTCTGGTTTACAAAATTTCAGTGTTTTATCCCTTAAATCCAGAGATAGGGATTCGTGTTGTTATATAGTTTGCAAAAAAAGAGCCACAGGAAAAGATGGAATTGATAAGCAAGTTATCGACCTGTTAACAGTCAATATGTCATTTTGAACTGATTCTCAATTTTTGTTTCTTTTTTTCCTATTTTAATGGTAATTTAAATTAACGTTAAATTAAGTGAAATATAATCAGAACCAAATTCAGAGAATCTCATCACTTTTAATTGCTTACATGACAGATGCAAAAGTCAAGATCATCACAGATCTTTTAGCCCAATCCAACGCTATCGGAATTGACGAACTCAATATTGATGTTTAAACATATACATTTCTTTTTCTTTTTTTACCAATATTATTAATATAATCATCATCAGCATCATTATCATCATCATCATCATCATCTCTCTCTCTCTCTCCTGCTTTAAATCCGCCTTTCCTTAGTCTACCTGTTTACTTTCTGAATCTTCCTTAACTTTCTCAGCTCTTTCCCTTTCGATTTGGCACTCCTACCGCACCACTTTACCTGGTTCTGGGCGTAAATGATTGAGAAAGAGGCTGAAAAAAGAGAAGATTCTGAGGGAAGAAGATTGGAAGATGAAGATGTTCACGAAAAGAAAGAGAAAAGTGAGTAAAAAACCGGGAGCTAGGAAGTGTTCAAGTTCCGTTCTATTGATTTCGATGGTTAAACTTGACCTCTCCTTTTTTATACTTTTTCTTACTCTTTTCTCCAAATTCTCTTACAATTTATCTCCCTTCGTCTCTCCCTCTCTCCCTCTCTTCTAAACTCACTAATCAATTTGTGATCACCGTCTTAGCCTCATCTTCAAAATGAAATAAATACTCCGCTTTAAACATCCCAAGCCATTTATCAAGAATCAGATCAAATATCAACATATAATTTGATTAACCAACTTTCCATCAACTCATCTTTAAAATCAAAACTGGACAATATGAGTACAAGAATCGCCGATGAACTGACCTGCCTTGTTTGCTCAGACAAAGCAATGGGGAATAACTTTGGTGCCGTTAGTTGTGAATCTTGCAAAGCTTTTTTCCGCCGAAACGCTCACGATATCGAGGTAAGTTGACTACTTATAATCCATTTTCAGATCATGAGAACAGCTGATTCGATAATTGGAAATATTTGAAGCGAAAGTTTCACATTATTTTTGAATCTCGATCTTCTATTGATTAATTAATCGCATTCCCTTTATTATTAGCTCATGGATCCTTTTACCTTTCTAATTATCATCCCTCTTTCAAGGAAATGATTTAATAGCAATTTATGTTCAACTAATTATGATGTTTCTGTTTCAGTGATCATGATAATAGTTTTCTTTTGAAGATCATTGTTATTCACCCTTAGGGTAAAACTTTTCCTATTAGAAAATATAATTACTATCAAAATTAACTCTTTCCTCTGACTAATGATACTTTTAATTGGGTTAAAGAATCTTTATTGTTTTGTACTTCACCCATTTCTCCCAATTAATATTAATTATCTAATCAATTGTTTCTTCACCTTTTAAAACAGAAACTTCGATGTGAATTTACAGGTAAATGTTCAATTACTACATTGACCCGTCGTCATTGTCGCCGATGCAGATTGGAAAAATGTTATCATGTTGGAATGAGAAAAGATTGGATTCTAACGGAAGAGCAACTCCAAATTCGCCGAGCTCGAATTCAATCACGAAAATCAAGAGAATTAGCAACACGTACCAATGTTAATTCGGTGGTTTCTTCCTCTTCAGTATCAACATCAAGTTCACCATCATTATTATCTTCATCATGTTCATCATCTTCTTTGGCCTTATCCTTACCCAACCATCATCATGTCATCTCATCCTCTTTCTCATCATCATCTTCAAGTACAAACATTGAACAAGTTTCATCTGTTTTTTCATCTTGTTCATCCACAAACTTTCATCATGCTAATCAACAAAATCATTCAATGGATCATAATTCAACTCCCTTTATTGGCCCCATGACCTTTTGTCTTTCAAGTGGACCGTCCACTTTAAACGCATCTAATGGGATTTATGATGAGGATGATGAGGAAGATGGTGAAGATGAAGAAAGTGATAATGATTATACTGAATTATGTGATAAAATGGGTCAGAAAACTTTTCCTATTCCTAATTCATATTCTCGTAATATGCTTACATCGCTTCTAGATGATAACTCCCAAGTTCATCATCAACCGCTACATGAATTATATTCATCATCATCAATTAATCCATCTCATCATTACTCTGATTTTGATCAAATCTCATCTACATCTATGGTTCCCAATGTTCCTAGTTTTCTATCACAACCTGAGTATCATCATCACCATCAAAATGATAATAAACACCATTCATCATTTACTGTGCCTTCTAACTCTCCATCATTATATCCTTTCTCATCTTCTTCATCTTCCTCCTCATCTTCATTTTCATCTAATCATCATCTTCCGGGTCCTGTGATCTCTTCATTCCCATATAATGATAGCCGATCATCAACTTCCTCCAATTCATTTCACTCTAATTTTACAATTAAACCTGAACTCAGTGATTTCAATCAAAGGGAAGATGAAAATATCCAGAGTAAAGTTTATGATCTAATTACTGGATCCGATTTAAATTTACCAATTAGCCTTTCCAATGAATATATATCCTCTAATTTAGCTCTTAATCAGCTTCTTGATCAACGTATGAACGAGCTTAAACTTTCCTATTCGAATCACCATCAATCGTTACCCTTTATCTGTGAGGTATCAACAACCCTTGAAGAAACAATCATCCAATTAGCTGATCATATTGCGAAAAGTTCAATTGCTTCAATTAAAAGTCTTACTCCCTTTGGTCGTTTACCAATACAAGTTCGTAACGATATGTTCAAAGGATCTTTCGCCAATCTAATGATAATCCGTTTGTGCTTCTTATTTGACCTGGATAAAGGAGGATGGACAGTAAGTTAATCAATTAATCAATTGTAATATTTCCCCATCTCATCTTATTAATAATACGATTTATAGGATAACCTTAATTATTGTGATTAATCATCAATTAACACGTTCGAGTTACATATCGATATCCTTGGTAATAATGTAAACGTAAATTCTAATCCCTTTAAAGATGAATAATTAATTGCTTGGAGGTTTTCACGATTCGAATCAATATTCTGTTCTGATCATGATAATATCAAGTGATTTAATTTAATGCACTTTTTCTTTCTTTTCTTCAACAATCTTGATGTTAATTCTCAATTATTGAATGTTAATCAATGCTTTTTCTTATTTCCTCTTCCTCTTAGGCTCCTGGATCATCAAAAGTGATAAAATGGAGTTTCCTCAATTTGGATTCCCAATCAGCTTCATATTTTCTTAATTTTATCAAAGATCTTAATGAACGTTGGCAAAGAGATTTCAAAATTGGATTGATTCTTGAAGCTATAACACTTTTCAGTCTAAATAGCCCCGATATGAAATATCAAGAAAACATCAGGTATTATTTTTCAATCATCTATTTCCATCTATTGAATGTTAATTGTAGATGTAGGGATAAAGAGGATTTGCAAGAGAAAGAGGAAAAAAACGACAATGAATTGAATCAATGGCGCAAATCTGATATAAAGTTGATCTTTTCTCGCCCTTTAGCCCCATGTTTTTTTACTGAATTGCCAAATCTATTCCCTGTATAACCTTTTATTTATCATATTCAATAGACAGGGTGTGCCAGTCTGATTTTCTTGAAGGAGATCCTCCTTCTCTTGCTGATTTATTTATACTTGGTCACTTTTTTGATCATTTTTCTTAATCTTTTACATTGTGTCTGTTAGATTGAAATATTGCCCGGGCTTTACATGTACCAATTGAGTTAATCAGTTACAAAAACTGATGTGATTGGCATATCTCATTGGGATTTGATGGATTTCAATTGAAACTATCAATTAATTTGATTTTAGGCTTCTGAACCAAAAAAAAAGGTCATCACCATCATTACCTTTGCCAAGTTTATACTTTTACTTTTAAGGAAACTGTTCACAAAGGTGTCACCTCGTTTGCCTGAAGGGTTTTCTTAAGGGGCAATCATGTGTTCAGGACATTAGTCCTTAACCGATTGGCAAGAGCTTCTGTCCCTGGCCACATGATGTTCATTCATAAAAAAATACAATTAGATTGATTGTTCCTCGTTTTCACAATCTTGTAGTAAACATTGACGTTGATCACTATGATTTTGCTAATTTCATTCAGAACAGCAACAAACTAAACAGAATCTATCAATTGAAATTAATTAACATTTTAATCTGAAATTGTGAAAATTTACAAAGACAAAATTGATTAAACTGGAGATTTACCGTTTAATTAAAATACAATCAACGAGAGGTCATTCTGAAAACGAGAATACACCAATTAAATTTACTAATTTACATAAACACAATTTCTATTAATTAGAGTAAATTTTTAATACTTTTCATATGATAATTTTGATTGATTAATAATTATGAACTGTTTCAAATGAATTACATTAAATGAAAGTTAATCATCTGATTAACTTTCTTGATACTCATCGAGTTTACTTTTAATTATGTCAATTATTGTGACTTTTGAAACTAATATGAAGTTCTAATGATCTAGTTAACTATTAGATGAAAGTTAACATACAGAAATTTATCAGCATCGATACTTATAAATTGATTATAATTAACAATTGATATCATAATTTACAGGTAATTCACTTATATCATTATGTTACTATAAACTATTGATATCGAAATACCTGTTTTCCTATAAAACTATTAAGGATACTCCTTTTTTCATCATTCATCATTCCTTGATCAGTAAGAGTAACTTTAATCACAGTTAAATTATCATGAGCAATTGAATATTTATCGTTGAAATTTGGATCACAATTAAACTTTGACCGATTTCCTACTCAGAACGATATTAGATTGATTATAATATTGAAAGAAAATCTTTTAAATCGGATGATTGTAACAATTAACTATAATTTTACTGTTACTTTCTGATTTACCATTAAAAGGTTTCAACAGTTGTAACAATTTGATTTGATTGTATTATGTATTGAATTTACTTTATTTAATTTAACCGAAAATGCATCACAATCTAAATTACTTTTTACAACTGAATTGCAAATTTTTGAAACAATTTAATTCTGGAAAATGATTATTGATTATATTCTCATAAGCTGTAAATCTGTAATGTTAATTTAGTTACAACAATCAAGGGAAAATATTGTTTGAATCAAATTACAGGTAAATTTATTTTCTCCATCATCATGGTAAATTGATTGTTACCCTTAGTTTCATATGGAAATTAAATTTAATTGCAGTAATATGATTCCCACTTCTAATATTATGATGACTTTGGGTCTTTATATTTCCAATGATAAATTGATTATCACAATCATAATCATCTCGATTTAGTTTTCCTTTTAAATTGTCTAATTATTCAACTAATACATTTATGTACAATTTGTCAGATTTGTTTATCTCCTTTGGATGGAAACAAGAAAATCAAGTTAATCAGTTAATCAAGTTGTAAGACAAAATTGATTTTAATTCAAAATTTTTCTATTATTTCATCTTAATTATCTTAGTAAAGAAAAATATTTCTACACTTACCTGTTACGCCGTTACCTTGAATCAATTGGACTTTCGGTTGGTCAAGCTCGAGCTGATTGCTATGAATTACTGATGAAATTGGAGACAATTAAAGTTAACGTTGAACCATTGGACAAGATTCGGCAAATTTGTTCCTATCAACCACTGAAAGCGGGTCAATTACTATCGGAGATTCTGGATCTTGTCTGAATCGATCAATCAATCAATCAATCAATGGACATCAAACTGATTGATTTCGAAGCCAAATTCAATAACAATCAAGTGCAATAATTTAAACAATTGACCAATGAGAGAAAGTTCAAAGTTTAAGTCAACGATTCAGATACAAATATCAATATATTAATGAAAGATGGACAAAGGTCTTAATGGTCATCACATTTTATTGGTTAACAAATGGAAAAAGAAATGAATTTATTTTATTTTATTTCAATATTTTATTATCCCTCATAATATTGAATCAATAATATTTACGAATCTATGTAATCATGATTAAGATGAACACTCAAATATCAACGATTCAGTTTTGCTTTGAGAAGCAAAAGTTACTCGAGTTCAGAATTTTCTGAATCTATCTGATTGCCTGAGAATAAATAAAAATACTGAAAATGTTAATTCTCTGAGGAATTGGTTCACTTTTCTTTCTCCAAATTGATTAATGATCTAAACTAATTTTGTTGATCAACTGAAGATTAATGATGAAATTAAAGTGATACGAAGTTGATTTAGATTCAATTGTTATGGTTAATTCATTTCTCTTTTCATAATTCCAGTTGAAATTAATTGATTTCTAATTAGAAATTAAAAACCATTAACTAAGTTAATCAATTGAACTTCCCTTCAAATATAATTAACTTGTTGCTTCTGTAATCAAATCTAAATTGATACAAATTTAATTGTTCACTGATTCTTGTTACAATTTAATAATTTTAGTTTCTTATTTTTCACCTTAACAACAACAAAATTAGTTAACCGCAAATTAACAAAAACTCAATTAAATCTGATTCCATTTAATCACATTTCAATTTAATCAGTTGATTAAGTGATTAAGTAATTGTAATGACGTCTTTACAATTGAAATTAATTGTTACTCTTTTAAATTGTCAAATATATTAATCGTCAATGTGGTTAATTAAAAGCTAAGAAAAGCCAAAACTCTGGGAGTTTGGACACAAAGAGTTTACCGTTATTTTAATCCAGTTTAAATTGCTATTAATACACAAATTAATTAAGTGATAAATTGATTATCAAGTGAGGGCAATTAATAAACGTTAAAATTAACACAATATTAGTTAATCATTGGGGAAAAAACTCGTTATCAACAGTATTCAGCATTTAAATTACGTTTTTAATTCTTATAATCAAGTTGATCGGTAAGATGATGATGATGATAATGAAGATGATGCTGATTATCATCCTGTAAATTGATGATTAAATGATAAAATATTATTGATAATTAAGACTAAAAATCAACACCTCGAAGGCAAATGAGTTGTAATTAGTTGGGTTGACGTTAAACGAGCTGTCAACCTTGATGATGATTTCCAATTGAATGTACGTCAATTGATTCTGAATTAAAGTTAATCACAATTAACGTTTAACTAGTGTCATTTTATTTTGACGTCACTGAGGAATCAAATTTTTGATTCTTGTTGATTAACGATGTTGATTAAACGTGTTGATAATCAAATTGAAATATCGCAATACAATCAACAAGAAAAACAAAACTTTCATGATTAATATTAACACGAACTCAACAACAAAGTTAATTGAACTTTTCTATGGGATCACAATTAATCATCTGTTTCCTGGATAATCAACGATAAATTAAATCATCATCATTTCTATTAGTTGATTGTCTTGATTAGTTAATCAGTTTTGTCAGGTAATCATTTGTAATCATTTTTAAACAGAAAACAAATTGATAACTTGAATTTTTTTGCTTCTTTTTCAGTGATTATGAGACAACGATTTTTAAATTCACTTAATTTGATTTGATTAATTTGTTTTCTTTTCAATTTCATCTTCAAGTGATTAGTTAATTATTTGATTACTAATTAGTTACCATTTAAGTGTTTCCAGTTTCATCTTTAAATCAGAACAATTCAAATATCATCTAATTGTTGTACATCCAAATGATAATTGTTTCTTGTAGCTGATGATTAAAAGGATAATAACATTGGTAGCTCGTTGGTAACAATTAGTGGTAATTAAATTGTTGCTTAATTGGTGTTTAATTTTTGTAACTTACGATTAACAAAAATAGTAAAAAAAAAGGCCTTGAAAGTTTTACATTTTGAGATTTGTTTTAGTTATAAAAACTTTACATGTTAAAGTTGATTTAATTGTTAACAGGTACAATCAATTTTAACAATGTAATAACAATAACAACTTTGATTAATTTGTACAAACAGATTTTTGATCTGCAATCAAATTATTTTGACGATTAATTGTGTCACTTTTAAGTTTGATAATTACTCAGATCAATTAGTATGATGATTGGTAGATTTTTTTTCTTATAATTGGATATCATGTTACTGATTAAGTGATAGATTTTCATGACAATTAACTTGATAATAAAGTGGGTCGATTGGTAATAATGATGCAATAATTTAGATCGATTTGCGTTGAAATGATTTACATAGATATCCACTTAATTTGGTTAATCATCAGCTAATTGAACTGAGATGCTTTAATTGGTTTTCTCAGGTGATTCATCATTGAAATCGCCACAATCGAGTCGTAGCGATGTAATTGTGGTACTAAGTCGCTTGTATTTCGGCAAAATTGTGTTGTGTTCGTTTTCCAATTTTTTGTATTTTTCTTCAATTTGGTTCAATTTTTCGTTTAACGTGTTGATCTCCTCGATTTTACTGTCCATCTCTCGTTTGTGCTGTTCGTTTCTTGATTTTGATTCTTCTGTTAATTTATTTTCCCAGAATGATTTAGTTGCATCAACTTGTTGAACTAAATTAACACTTTGTTCAATTGCTTTGACCAATTTTGAATTAAGAATTTCTTTTGCTCTCTTTTCCTCTTCAATTGTGTCTTTTAAAATTTTAATCTGTGATTGATATTGAATTTCGGTCGTTTTTAATTTAGTTTCAGCCATTTGTTTGGTTAATCGTAATTGCTCTTGAATTTCACTGATTTGTTGACGGTTTAATTGTTTCTCTTTCTCTGCAAATTCCAATTGTTGCTCCAATCTTTTCATCTCAAATAAATGTGAAGTATTGACAATATCTTCGTCAAGTTTCATCTTTTTAGATTGGCGAAAATCAGTTGATCCATTTGATAATTTATGCTTCATGGTTTCCAACTCGAAAAAGTTATTAGCACCATCTTCGTTCAAGGTTAGCCTAAACGGTGAAATAGGTTGAAATTGTGGCACACAGTTACTATCGTGATCATCTTCAATGATGAATTGTGGTGAAGGAAGAGCGGCATTTGATTTCTTCTCATTGTCAATAGGTTCAGGTTCGGGTTCGGGTTCGTGATCTGGTTCGCTGGTTTGAGTTTCATCCTCATCTGATACAATGTCAAATTGATTTTCATTCATGGACGGAGGTGGTGTAGATGTTGATGAAGTGGTGAATACAGATGATGTTGATGTTGATGTTGAAGGTTCATTTGGTTTCAATGGTACAGCGTTAGTAGGATTTGAAATTTTGATCGGTGTTGATTTTGGATTAGATACTTGATCTAGATTATCAACAGTTTCCGGTTGATTTGTGGTGACCGTTGCTGGTGCTGGTGTCGGTGCGCGTGTTGGTGCTGTTGCTGTTACTGTTGCTGATGCTGGTGTTGGTGAGGGTGAGGGTGCGGGTGAGGGTATACGTTCAATTAAAGTTGTAAGAGGTGAAGGTCCAACAGTATTGATCACTGTGTTTGTCTCATTGGTCTCACTAATCTCATTAACAATCTCATCGATAATCTCATCGTCATTGTTGTTTATGTCAATTGTAACTTCTCCATTAGAATTTTCATCTGAATGTTTAGATGAAGTTTCTTCATTAATTTCAAGTTGTATTTCATTTGGAGTAACACTTGGATTATTTATCACACCACCAACAATAGATTCATCATCAGTTAATTCAATTATATCTGGAATAGAATTTTTCTTAATATAATCTTTATCACGAGCTGTAAGTTTCCGTCGCTCTTTACCATAGTTCATCTTAATTTTGAACTTTTTCTCGATACTCTCGAGATATTGTTTGGCTTGAGATTTGGCTTCGGCTAATCTTTCATTGTCTTTTCTATCTGGTATTAGATCAGAAAGTCTGGGTACCCAACATTCATCGGCACTGACTCTGACTCTACAAAATTAGAAGAAAAATAATGAACGCGTTTTAAATCGTTTCGAATGACCAAAAAAGCGTTAAAAAACTTGCGATGATTTAAAAAAAAAAGAAAGCAAAAATACCTTTCACCAAACGCAAATAATATTATATCGACACGTCCGGAGGCTCGATTGAATTTAATAAGTTTAGCGGGCACAAATTTTCCTGCAAATTAAGTGAATAAAAGCAAACAATTAGTTAAAATGATTCAAGAAAAACAGAGAGGATACAAAAAGCTTTCGTAGTGAATAATAGCAAAGGCAAAAAAACTCTTACTCTCTGTATCTATATCAACAATGACCAAAGGATGACCCCAAGGGCAAGGGTTTGTTAGCCAATTTTCAGCGTCTCTTCTGTAATTCCAAATACAATAAGGACAATCTTCCAAAAATCGAATCTTTGTATCAACAGCTCGTCTGAAAGCTGTGGCCAGTTTGTCAAAGTCGGCCATTTGTCTGAGTATCGATTTATCAACGTTAAGCCGTGTAGAGTAACGAAAAATAACTAAACAATTATGAATAATCAGATAAATATCATGAAGAAAAGCTCTTGGGCTATTGTAAGAATTATTTTCAGCTCGTTTTCCAATTTCCGAAACATCTATCGGGTTAGCACAGGCTTGAAATTTAGTGAGAGGCCAGAGAAATGGGTCTGGTGCCTCCTGGAAACATGGAAAAAATTTAAATAATATGAATAATATGAATAAGTTACTGCCGATTCTATGGTGTCTTTTAAAATTCTATTGGAGCTACTAACCGGCTTTAGAGAATCTAAAATACATTTCAACAAAGTGTTCAGTGTCTTTTTGGGCACTGGTTCGAAATCTTCACCCTTGACCCACTTTTTAGCATCACGATCCAATGAAATACACTCTGGACACACTGATTCAAATTTTTTCAATCCATTAACATCCAACAAACGTGGTTTATAATCAGAGACGCATTTAAGATGAAAATTGCGACCGCACTTGTTACAATTGAGCTTGTGTTGGCAAATACGATGGCAAAACCAGCAATAATGATCCTTCATCTGAGGAAAAGAATCAAGATGAAATCTGATTAATTAGTTTAATGAATCAGGGGAAAAAAAGATGAAGGTCTTACCATTTTTATTGACTAACAAGTTGAAGACAATCAGATGATCCAATTAAAATTAAAATAATTCACAAGATTAACAAGGCAACTTACATATCTAAAATCAGAGAATCAGTGAAATACAAAGAGTAAACTAAATTAATCAAAAAGATTAAATACTAATCACAATTAGATGGAGAAAGAAACTAAACCGATTTTAAAGGAAAGTGATAAAAAGGAAACACCAAAAGTTAACATTGGAAAAGAATTGAAGAGAAAAAATAAATTATAGATAAAGAAATTAGAAGATTAATTTACCACAAATAATCACCTTTAATTAAGAATCTTGTTTGATTGATTAAGATTAGAAGATAATTGATTAACACAAAAGAAATAAAAATAAAAAGGTAATAAAAAGTTACTTGTAAAAGGAAAGAAACATTTTGTAGGCTTAACATAAACAAAGAGAAGTGAAAATGAGAAATGAGAGAAAAAAAGAAAAGAGAAAAATTTGGAAAATCAAATTTCGCGGTTAAATTGGAATTTGAAAATTGGAGGGTAACTTGATTTTCGCATTTTCAACAGCAATTAACAGTTGATTGTTTGAAAGCTAAAGATTTATTTAACTATCATTGGGTTGATAATTAAGCTAATTTACTCTCTTTTCATGTGTTTACACTGATTAACAATTTGGTACAAATGTAATTGTTTTGGTTGTTACATTTGAACAACTGATTTAACCTTTGATTGTGATGATCGTGTTACTTTTGTTGTTAACTAATTGTTGTTTGTTGATTAACAGTTTGTTGGTAAATATTTAAGGTTTGTTGGTGAATTGATTTGGGAAAAACTATGTAATCAGTTTGCTTTTCAATTGTTATTCATTGGAAACAATTTACAATTGTATCTTCTAATTAGTGTAAATAAGTGAAAACAAACAAACAATCCGATAATTGGCTTGATTAATTAGTTGATTTAGTTGATTAAAGCTACTTTTTGATTGTTGAAAATTCAATTGGGGAATTGGCTATTTACCTTTAGTGTTTATCCAGAGACTGACCAGTTCAATGGAAGTGACCGTAAGACTGAAAATCGTCTTCGAGGTCAACAGATTTGGACGAAAATCGAGTTTACTTGGACCAAAGTTTTCGAGCTTCGCTTGACCACTTGACCATTTCTGCTTTTTTTTACAGAATTTTTGTTCTATTCTCTTATTGACATTCGTGGTAAGAAAAGATGATTGAAACAATCAACAAATTGTGTTCCAATCGAGTTGATCAACTTTTTTCTTCCAAAATTTTTTCATAATTTAGTCAATCATCGATTTCAATACTTAATTCTCGAGGCAACAATAGATTCGTTCGTTGAGGTGAGTTAATCAACAACAATTAAGAGAACAGAATCTAATTAATCAACTCTAATTTCCACAAATTAAATTGATTGAGATCAACAATGTAACCACTTTTGATTACAATCTAATGTTTACACAGATTAATTTCCACTTGATGTTTCCACTTAATTGTTTCTCTTTGAAAACAATTAGCTTTCTTAATTGCTATTGAAACAATCAAAACTTATTAATTACTTACAATATGAATTATTGATTGAAGTCTTAACAGTTAAATTGTTAACCAAATTGTTGGATCAATTAGAGGAAAACAAAAGCAATTTGAATTTGCGGCCAGAAAATAATCATTTACAGTTGATCACAACAAGAAATAAGAAATGATTAAATTAACTATTGATGAATTTTGATAATTATGATCTAACTGAATTAACTAATGACCATTTAGGCAGCAATTAAGAAACCGTTAAAATCTTTAACCCCTTAATTGTGATGATCAAAAAATCAAATAATCATTAGTGTGAGAAATCAAATTAATCACCTCAATTAAAAAGCATCCAGAGTTTAATGAACAATCAATCCATGTGATCATCAGTTTTTTTATTTCTCAGCAACTCAAAGTGGTTAAAACAACAAACAGTTAATTACCTGTTCTCCTCATCTAATTAGATGTAAATTGCTGTTAATTTCATACCAAAAGAATACAATAAAATGGAATCACTTCAATTTCTCATGGTCAGTTAATCGCAATGGTCAACAATCAAATCGAGCTCTCGATCGTTACACTTCATTAGCATTCAACTTCTCTGAATACTAATTCTTAATGAAGATGAAGATGAAGATGAAGATAATATCAATAGGAATATATTGGTTACTATAAATAGAAGATAAAGAAACAATGTCAATGGTAAAAAACGAAACATCTATTGATCAGAACGAAACGAAAAGATACAAAAATGAGCCATTAGGAAGTTCGAAATCAATGTAAACCCGATTAAGGAGATTTTTTTGTATTGCTCTTCGAGAATTTCGAGATTTGAATATGAGTAAAAGAAATGAAATTCTGAAGTCATTGGAAAATGATTAAGTGAAAATAACAAGGACGAAGTGACCAACCGATTGGACAGAAAAATGGACCATGAAAGTTTGAATGGAATAAAGAAATTGGAAAGATTAAAAACTGATTAGAAAGTGGAAAAAGAAAAAATCAACTTACTAATCTGAACAATAAACTATTAATAGAATAGAATGAAAGTACTCTGGTCCATGGGTAAAGTTCTGAATTCAAGTCATGGTAAACAATCAAATAATCGATAATTTGTTTCTCTAAAAGGAAACCAGAAAGAGAAAGGAAAAGATTCCAGTTAAAAGAATCAGTTGTGTCAGATTTTTGTTCCCTCGAATCAAGAAGATCGAGGAAAATGTCCAAAAAGGAAAAACACACTAGAGATATTCCAAGAAGAATGTTCAACAAGAATAATAATAATCTTGTCATGCTCGGTTTTCCATCGATTCTCAAGTGAATATCCAAGCTTAGAGTGAGTGAATTTCAGGGAGAAAATAATCTAGTAAAAGGAGTCGAAAGGAAGAAAAAAATAACAGAGAGATTGAGAATTCGTTGTAAGAAAGTTTAAGTGATTTTCTCTTTGGGTCAAAATGAGTCTGTCTCGAGTCACTTGCCCTTTCAATCGTTCTCAATATCAAATCTTCCATCTCTTCATCTTTCATCATCATCGAAAATAACAATCATCTTAACCATTCTGATAATCGACCAACGAAACACCCGATCAACTGAACAATCGATTACTCCAGGGTATTAATTATCTTTCGTTCATTGCGACTTGTCATTTATTCTTGACAATTTCAGAGTTTTTCAGTGATTTCTTGATATTCTAATTCTAAATCGTCCATGTGTTACAAATCGATATAAATCATGATCACAATGATGGAATTTTATTCCTCTAACTGAATTTAGAATTTTTTAAACTACGAACTTGTTTTCTTTTCTTTCCCTGTTCGTTGTAAGTTGAGAAAAAAAAAGACAAAAAGAAAACAATGAGAAGTGATCAACCTCTTCTTCCATCCAATCCACCGACTGGGCCTTTAATTTCATCAGCTGATTTAGATCATCACCAATCAACTCGTCCATTGGTACAATTGAGTAAACAAGATTCCAACCCGTGGTCAACAACTTCAAACAATTCATCGTTTAATAAACACTCAAACAGCGGTGGTCGAGGTGGTGACAGTTCAAATGGTCCAGGTCATGGTGTTGGTTATAGTGGACATTTTAATCAACCTCCACCGCTTCCACCTCCATTGTACCGATCACGACATCGGGAAACCGATACGGAAACTTTATTAACTTATACGAAAGGTTTTCTTGTTTGTGCTTATTTTGTTTTCATCATTGGTTCGGGTATAACAATTAAGGAGCTATTTACATTTCTTTTCGCCGATTACAATCAAGACACCGAATGGATCGCCGGTATAATCATAGTAATACTCATTGGTATCTCGGTTATGGGTCTTTATGGTGCTTTCAAGGAGGATTCGTGTATCTTATTGGTCTATGGGTGCATCATATTGACCGTTTTCCTACTTCACATTGCCTTACTTTTGGTTCTTAAAAACGCTTGTGTTGATAAACGTGACATTTGCTCTCAAAATGTGGCCACTCCACCGGGCTTAGCACCGATTCTAGTGGCCATCTCTGAACTGGCCATCGCTTTATCAGCGTTCTTTATGACTTTGGTCATTGAATCAGAGAAAAAGAAACAATCAGTTCCAAGGTTATATCCAGTGGGTGAAAACTCGTGCCAAACATTATAAACAATATAACAATTTTCGACTAATTATCTCTCCTCTCTTTCCACCATAAACTATTATTATATATAAATAATCAACTAATTACCATAGATAAATATCATCATCATCGTATACAGCCAAAGATGAAGAGTTGATGACGACTTTTATACTATTCTAGGAGCTAATGATGATCGATTGAAGGGAAACTAAGGCCTCAGGCAAAGTGACACTTTCACCAAGTTTAAATTCATCATTTATCTCAACTTATATAAAGTAACAGATAGATTAAAGATAATATTAACCCAAAGTTTGTCTCTAGTTGATTATCATTACCTTAAGGAATAATATAAAAGTCGTTGCGAACTCAAAGTCTTTGGATGTACTAGATTATCAATAGACTCCAAATATTATTTGATTTCTTTTCTATCTCAAATTATTGGGTAATCACCAATTAACCCAAAGTTGATTGAATAAATTTCCAATTCGTCATTGAAAATGTTTATCTCTCCATGTGCTCATCAGAATCATTCCAATTCATCGTCCATTGACTTACAATTGAACTTTTGACCTACCCTCAATATCTAGTATTCACAGGAGAAGATGAGAGAGAGAGAGAGAGAGAGAGAGAGAGAGAAATATAATTATATCTTCCTCTTCCTCCTTCTAATCATCATCTTCAGCTTCATCAGAATCAAGAGTTTAACAAGAAAAAGTTATCGATCCAACTGATTCCAACTAGATGAATTCACCATGATGTTCACCAGCATCCTCATCTCCCTGATGGTAAAACCAAAAGAGAGGAAGATAGAATTAGGAATTTTCTTGATTCTCCTCATTGATTCTGGATTCTCGAGCCATTTATTATCACGATATTACATGAGTACATTTTTTGTTTCTTTCTTTTCATCTTTCATCTCATATTATTAGTTTTCTTCATTTCATTTCATCTTCCTGATGATTCTGATATGATTAAGGTGATAATCTTTATACTTTTCCGGTTCCATTACAACAAGATCATTATTAACTGAGGAAAATGTTTATCTAATCAAAATTACCGATAATCACATTGATGAAATACTATTAATATAAACAAAACACATTCACATTGTCGTATCCGCCTTATAATCAATTATCCTGATCAATTTAAATCAACAATCAACCGAAAAATACTAATCACAGTTAATCATTAGGATTTATACATTTACAATTAAATTCAATCCATGAAAATTAAACTGATAACATTACAGACAATTTGATAAACATCTTCCGTCCTCAGTTCTTAATCAACTTGTTAATTACTGTTGATTAACAATTTAAATCGAGAATCAAATCCGATTTAACAATCCAAAACAAACTATAAATCAATATTTATATATAAAAATTAAACACCAATTACTGTTTTCTTTCAACAATTAACTCAACAATTAAAAATCTCCAGAGAGACTCCAGTAAATTAAGTTAACACTATTTAATGAAACAATTAAAGAAAACAATTTGTAAATTAATGTTGTAGTTAAGTCTGAAAACAAATGATTAAAACAATTTTTTACTCTTTCATGTAAACAGCATTTAATTGTAAACTAAATTAACTCAAATAAATGAAACAATCAAAGATGACAATTTGTCCATTACAAGTAATCAATTGATTGATCAGTTTAAATGGTTTTATATACAGATTCCTATGGAAACTTTTAACATTCAATCTGCATCACCCTGTAGATTAATTGAGTCGTAATTTGCTCAATTAAATTGCAACAATCAGCTAATCATGAATGGTAATGATTATGATGGAAAAACCTTATTATTTATTTTTACAAGTTCCATCTCAATGTAATTGTAACGATTTTTTTTTCTCTTCTTTCGAAATCGTTAAAAAAAAGTTCTAATTCGTTGTATTATTATATTGGATTGCGTGACTTTCGAGAGATATTATTATGTATCATGATCGATTGTGAATTCTATCCCCAGTTTTATATTCTCCATATTCATTATCATATATTCAGTTCAACGAAAATTGAAACTGAACTTTGGAAGAGAGAGAGAGAGAGAGAGAGAAAAGTTCGAGAGGGAGAATTTTTCTTCTATTGTTTCGATTTAAATTCTAAGAGACCATGAGTTCTAACGATATTGTTACCATGATAATAGATAATAATTGTTTCTCCTTGGAAACTTGGAATATTTTGGAACAAGCAAGCGAAGGTCAGTTAAAGGTCACTTCGTTCATAAACTAACCTTAGCTACGAAATCAGGATGATGATGAATTGAGATGAAAGTTGAGAGATGATGTTCTCGGTGGTTGGTTGATTGTTTCGATTATGATTATAACAATAATTTGATTCGAAATCGAATTAATTGAATTAGCATTAGAAGGAGAATGAACAATTAAAACATATTTTCCAAGTTAATTGTGATTAATGATAAGTGATTGTCTCATCATTTAGATCGTGTTGATGGTTGGAATTGTTGTTTCTCCTTCTCATCGATTTACTTTTTTTCCTCTTCCACTTTAACCATCATTAGGGTTCACAATTAAGGTTGACAATTAAAGATGGAACCACAATAAATACATAATATCATGTTTCCAGGGTATAAATTGTTTTCCATCATGTTGATAATGATAATAATCATTATTTGTGTCATGTTAAAAGGATTCTGTTGGTTTCTATTAAGAAACTCATTAAGATGAAATTGTTTATGTTATCATGAAATTAATGGTTTATTTCAACATAATCAACATCCAGAGTTACTGGTTAATCGGAATGATGAAAATATCATCAGCATCTTCATCATACATGATAACAAAGGAAATGATAACAATTTTTTTCTCTTGTTTTTTTTTCTTCATATTTTCTGTTATTCTATTGTTATTTTTATCATTTCTGAGTTTCTCAACTTTTTTTCTCAATAATAAACTGGACCAAAATTTTTCATCACTGTCATGATGATGGAAATGAATCTGAATGAATTTTCCTATGATATGTAATGAAAATTTACTCAAGATAATCAGATATGTGTTGTTTATCAGATTATTTCAATTGCTATTCAGAACTTTGAATCTCCATTCTCATGGTAACTAATATATTTATGTATAAATATCATAAACTTGATCATGAATAATAATAACTAGGTCATGATAAAGATGAGGGGAAGGATGAGATTGATGAAAAAGGAAGTGAAATTGAATTGATGGGCTGAAAAAAAAAGTTCTCATTGAATTTGATGGAAACAAAAAATTCGAGGAAACTTCTTAGATCTTTTCTTACAACTTATTTAACCTTCGACAATTTATATGAGTCCAATTTTTTCAGAACTTTTTATCATCATGAAGATGACCATTAGTGTATTCATGATGACGATGAACAAGGTTTCGTTTTTTTTTATTTTGAACAATTTATTATTAATAAAAGGTTATCATTAACATGATCGATTAAGATTGAAACGTTTGGACAATTTGTTTCACCATTCAGATTGAGATATTGATGAATGTTCAGATTATTATCATGACGATAATGTTCAGTCTGATTCCCTGATAACCTTGGGTAACACCCAAAATCTAATAATAAACTTTCAGTTCAAATCTTAATCTAATGAATTTATGAATAAGTTTTCACCTTTCTCTCCATGAATCGTCCTGATAATCGGAACAATTTGAATCAAGACTCCAACTCAATCCATCCAATGATTAACCATGATTAATATTCAAGAACTGGGCATTTATATTCATGGTAAAGTTGATCCATTTTGTTCATGTTGTTCATTTTGTTTTCATGATATTTTTTTTTAATACAAAGTCATTGAACTGAATTTAATGTTACACATTAAATGATTACAATAGTAACTAGATAAACAATTGAAACTATTAAATCAACAATTCAATGAGATTTTCATGAGATTTCAATTTATTCAACTAAAAAATGATCCTAAAAGCTATTAAATTGTTACCATTAAAAGTTAATTGAAACAATTTAAAGTTTTTTTTATCTCAACTTGAACGTTAATATTATTGTATTATTTTGCTTATGTTGAAATTAGATGGCAATTAAATTGCAATTAGTTTTGTTTCATTAATTTCCAATTAAACTATTAGATTAATTTAGTTTACAATTAGTTTAATTGTGAATGAATCAATTTACATCGACCTTGATATCTTATTTATATTTAATAAGTTCATTGATACAGTTGATCAATTTATTTATTTTTCTTGATTATTAAGCAAAATTTTTATCTGGATTAAGATGATGATTAGGCTTAAATCATGATTTATGAGCTAATTGTTGGTAATGAAGAGTAATCAATGTCATCAGAAATTTTATCGTAATTAATCAACTATGAATTATGAGTTCGTTGGTATTGTCTCGTTGATTACGATTAGTTAATCATAAAACTTGATCAATACTCAGAGTATGATGATGATGATGATGTATTAAGAAATTATTTGATTAGTTAACAGTTTCTATGGGCTGATTGTATATTGGAAAATAATTGATGAATCAACCGAGAGAAAATTAAAAATAAATCAACTTTTTCGCGACTCAATCAGCTGATTTTTGAAAGATTTAGTAATTATCACATTGGAATTGAATTTAAAATAAACAATTTCCACTAGAAAGATGATTGTAACAACGATCGAGCCCAGAGTAAGTACTAGCACTGGTCGAGTGAAATACTTCATCGACAACGATGCTAATGATATTTTCCCGTCATTGGCCATGTCCTGGGCACACGGACTGAAATAATTATCGGGTCCGGTTCCTCTTGTGATGAGTTTCCACAGGAAATGATTCATTAGATTGGACGTTTCAAACGCTCGAGATGCGTAGCTTATGGCCACTCGAGCGACTTCAGGAGCCGTTGATTCACTTAGAACGAAAAAGAAAAGCAAATGTTCAAACGATTTATTAGACTTGTAGAATCTTTTCCCTCGAAGTTTGTTCAGTTCTGTGTATCGACACTTGAACCCCCTGTAAAGAACTTCAAAATATTCTTCAGCAATGAAAACTCGATTATCATTGTCCATAAGTTCGTAACTTTTATACAAAGTGTTGTTGGAAAATCTTCGATCTAAAATGTCCAATCGGCGAGAGATTTTCTTATAAACTGGAATTGTTGACTTTTGGATTGTATATCGACAGAATCGATGGCTAAAAGTGGTTGGTACAAGTGAATAGGTTAAAATATCGTTCGGAGCTTCGATTCGTACAAAACTGGTCGATTTTATGAGTCCCGTTTGAAATGTACAAGTCACTATGAGAATTAGAAAGAAACCAAACCAAGAAAAGGTCAATCCGATTAGAGAATAATTTTCAATGATTGGAAGAAACCGATGACCAAGAGCCACTTCATACAAATTCCATGGGGTCAGTTGATTAGATGAGAATAGAAGCCGATTGAAGATTAGAATTAAACTGGTAAAGGTCAAGGAGAATGCGAAAAAAACACAAATAACTGACCAATTTAACCTTCGATTGATATCGAGAAAGTCTTGCGACTGAGAGTTGCTTCGAGTAGCCGGTTTATTATAAAGGTGACAATAATCTTCCTTGATGATTGGACCTAAGGTCAAGTTATCAGGTAGCTTTTCCAATTGTCCAGCACTCACTTTATCCGCGAAATTGATCCGTCCATTTTGAAGGAAACGCAACGAGCCCGAACAAGTACCATTCTCGAAGCAAACATCATAACCGATTGGACCACAATCAATTAGATTAACGTTAAACTTATCATACAGAAAATAATTCAACGCTCGGTGATATTCAACGTAGGCACCATGTAGACTATTATTTTCAATGTGAAGATACGGTTTGTCTATGGGTAGACCAATGGTCAATAGAGGCTTCATTTGTGTTGATTAACAATTAACTTGCAGCGATCAAATCATTTCTCAATCAATACATTGAAAACAACGCAATTTTTTTTCTCGTCACTTCTAAATTGTTATCAACTACCAATGAAGATAATTAGTATTCAACAATTAACAGGATCGATAAAACTATCTTATATTGTTAACAATGATATTATTTTCAGAAAGATCAGAATTTAATTACAAAAATAGACATTTAAATTATACGATTGATGACAATTAGATTGATGATTAAATTTACAATTCTTCATGATAGTTGATTGAATAACTGAATAAGTGCTGAGCATTAGAACCAAAAAAAGAGAATTGTTTTCGAAAAATCTTACTAACGGAAAGTCGATACACAATTGGACTATGGTTGGAGTCTTGTCGAGTTCGAAATTGACCTTTGGCAGGTCAAAATTGAAGAAAAAGTTCTATGAGATATGAGTCGAGAACAATTCGAATCTCGAACGGAATTTTGACCTTTCGAAATTCGATATTTGTTATTCTGTTATATTTTCTGATTTTTCTTCTTTTCCACTGAGTTTTCTTCTGAATTTCCCAGAGAAAATCGTTTCGTTCAAACGATTGTTTCTCTCTCTCTCTCTCTCTCTAAAACTATCACATGAAAGTTTCCAATTTAATTAACAACATTCATCGAGAATATTAAATCATTAATAACTGGACAATAAACTTTCATTTGAACTCATCTTTTAAATTAATTAAATTATTCATCAATAGTGATTCTAATAATGACAACGATAATATCAATTAACGAATCCTTGATGTCGATAACTACAATTAGCTGTATTGATCAGTTATCGAGAAAAATAGCAAACTGAGATTTAATGATTGTAATCAGTAGAATAGAGTAATAATTAAATAGTCAAAGGAAATTGGAAAAGTAAAAGTAACAACAGAATGAAAAACAAAACGATTGATGAAATGATTAAATTGAAAAATTGTCACTTGATTGAAATTTACCGTTACTTTTCAGTTTAAGCTAATTAACTAAAATTGGCCTATTCCGATGGCGTTAACTTTTCAAGCCTGGTTGAATCGGGACATTTCATTTCCAAGGAGTAAATTTATTAATTATGATAATGATGAAATTGTTAAGCCAAGAGAGTCAATGAATCAACGTATTAATCGTGGTAATAAAATGACCGGTGGTCAATCAATTGATTACAACGATACAAAATTCAATCGATTGGTACAATTTGTGAGGAGCATATTTTCATTCAAGAATCACCGGTTAACACCATTGAACTTAATCGCTTGCATATTGTCAACTTGTGGCCTGATTTGGCAGGTATGGCAAGTGTCCAGTGTTTATTTTGATTATCAGACTCGAGTTGATATAATTATCTCAATTCCCGAAGCACTGGTCATCCCAGGGTTGACCGTTTGCCTTGATATTGTTCCTAATAAAACTTTACTTAGCTCGTATTTTCCTGGTGCCAATTTTACATCGGCAACGAGCACTTTCTTGGCCTCAAGTTTAACTTATCTTCCCATTAATGTGCTCGCCTCGATGAACACGGTCAATTTAACTTTCGATTGTAAAACTTCAGTTCCCGAAGATCAATTGGCCAATATAAGTGATGCCTGTGAATCCTTTTCTCCGGTCAAAGTGACAATACAATCGTCGGCTCGCTATGATACGGTTCGAAAGTGTTACACTTATTTTTACAACTCGAATCCTAAGCAAGATATTCAATTGGTGGACGTTGATGCAAGAGATTTTTACACTTTACAAGTACATTCATTGGTTAACCATTCGGTTACCGTTTATGTTCACAATCCTCGAGAAATTGTACCTTTCGAAGAGTCTGATTCTTTTCTTTTCTTTACCCGACAAGCATCTCGAATTGTGGTCACTTCGTCAAGAGTGAGAACGTCCCTGCTTCCACCTCCATACCGAACTAATTGTGTCTTTTACAATGAAACGGAATACGGTCGAACTGGTTGTATCTATGCTTGCCGATTAGCCGAAGCTCGGAAAGATTGCAATCGATGGCCTTACAATGTACCCGCTCCTGTGAGCACATCAGTCCCGTTTCGGATACGCGGACGAAGCTGCACTTCGGCAAGAAGATATTCTTGCTCGAAGCAAACTGTTTGTGCCAATCAGTGTCACAACAATTGGTACACAACCTCATTAACTCATCTTCGAGATAAAAAAGATCCAAATGACGCTTATACCCGATTCTCAGTTCGCAGGCCATTGGGTATTCAATTCCAATATCTATATGGACCTCGACTAGATGCGATTGAGTTTCTTTGCTATGTTGCAAGTTCATTCGGTATGTGGATGGGAATCTCAGTTTTCGATCTCACCTTGTTGACCATCTCATGGACTCGAAAACGAATCCCGAAAAGGCCAAAAAAGATCCACGGTGTTGTAATCCTAAAATAACGCGAATCGGTCAATCTTTATACTAATTAAAAGGTAAATTATTTTCTATCCATCGATCGGCTTACCTTTCCTATTATGAGAGTTTCATTAATTGATAATATCGATCACCAATTAAAATTGGAAATTGTTTCCATTCATTATCATGAATATTTGAAATTAAATTTGGATATCGTTGATTGAACTCAATTGTATTCTAGATATCATATATTAATAGTTACAATTGGATAACAATAAGTTTAATCATTTGATTACATTAATGTTATGATTAAATTAATTATTGATCATTTCATTATAATCAGTTGACAGTAATTGTCATAATCCTTTTGGGAGTAACTGTAAAAAAAAGGTAACATGGGATCAAGAATAGGAATCATGATTAATGAATTTGTTACTTTGGTTAATTGCTTTGTAATTTATCATTAGATTGTTTTAATCAAATGAAAAAATAATCAATATAAATCAAAGTTGATAATGAACAGAATGGGAAACGATTTACAAGTATGGAAAAGTGTTTAAATGTTTGTGACAATTTAGTGGATTAAAATGATTAACTGAGTGATTTTTACGTAGTTGGAAAATCAAACTGATTGTTGTTTGTGATGAAATTGAATTAGTGATGAAAAATTGTCCTGAGAGAAATTTTCTCAACTGAACTTGAGTCTACATGATGAAATTTCATGTTAGCCTTCAATTTCAATCTATTTTGATGGATGGACTCAATTGACAGGGTCAAGTAAATTGTAATTCAGAATCAGAGTCAGGGAGAGAGAGAGAGAGAGAGAAATTCATTACAATGATGAGAAATGATAATAATAATATGATCCAATCAGTCAAGAATAAAATTCAATTCAATTTCTTTTGAAAATGTCCAAAGTTTTTGTCTCTTTATTTTTTTGATACTTTTAAAGTTTCGAGCTTCAATAGATTCGTTAACCTTCATGGAACCATGAATATGAACAGATAAGATGAACATTCTGTTCATTGTCAAGGTTACACATTAATCTAGTATCAGAATTTTATCATGAAATGAAAAAATTTTCCATCAAAATGTTGAAATTTTTTGCTTCCTTTGTAACGATTGACAATCTAATACTTTCATCAGCAATATTATTATAATTACCATGATTATCGTCATGTATCATCATCATCGTCCGAAATGATGACGATGATATTTTCATTTCTTTCATGGAAATGGGATCAACATGATGATAAAGGTTTATAATGGATTATGATTAGATAAATAAATTGTCATTGATTAAGTTGAAGAAGGAAATTAGTTTGATTGTTAAGATTATTCTTGATTATCTTGATGAGGTTTTCATTGTTGGATTGACAGTGTTCATTGTGTGTGTGTGTAGATATGATTGAGACATCAGATATTAGATTGTTATGATTATTTACATAAAAGAAAATTTTGATTATTTTGATGATTGTTGACTTGGTCTCTTGGTTGATTATGTTGATTGTTTGTCGAGATGCTCATGAATAAAAAGTAAGGACACTTTGTTGCGATCCTCTGACCAGTAAAAACGGTGGCATGTTGACCGTTAAGGTCTCTAACCAGGCCATGAACAATGAGGCTGAACATGAACCTTTCCTTGGAATAGGAAGTGTCCTGTTAATTTGAACAACAACAAGTAAGAATAACAATTAACATGATAATAGAAAATTTGCAATAAAAATAATCAGCGAAACTTACATGACAATTAGACTCGAATTGGTTGAATATTTTTCAACCAATTCTCTGATTCTGATTTGACGATATGATTTTCGTTTCTGTGAATTCCATTCAGTATCTGTGATATAAGGTGATGAACATGGTGGTGGTTGAGGTGAAGGTGATGGAGCATCGGGAATCGGTGATGGAGATGATGAGGATGCTGGTGAGGGTAAAATGGTCTCTTGGTGATAATCATCTTCGACTCTCCATTTGCCAATAAGAGCTTTAAATTTATTCTTATTTTCTTCCTTAGGTGGTTTCGATATGTCGGGAATTACGATTACATCAGAATAATCAATTCGAAATTTACTTAACAAGGAAGCCATGTTAAGCTGTTCGCTATTTAGATCATCACGTTTCTCAGCTAAAGTGAAAACCCGTAAACGGCAATTTGACCTGCGAAAAGAATTTAAAATTTTGATTATCTCCAATCATTCCGACAATTTAACTAATCCAATAGTTACCATTGTTTCTTTGAGGATAAAATGTAAGGGATTAACATTGTTAATCCACCATCGTCGTAAAGCCACCAAACATCAATCGTTGATTTAACTGATCTTTTCCTAAATAAATCAATGTTTTGAATTATTTCATCGGGAATCGGATTATTGTTGTTACTTTCTTGATTAGTCAAATGTTCAATATCAATTGGATGGATAACAATTGAAGGAGTTTGTTGATTTGTTGGTGAATCTATTGAATGATAACAAGTAGGGAATTAGATACATGATCAAGTTATCATTTCGATTAAATTACCTGAGGGCGAATAAGAATTGCCATTTCTTAATTTGTTCCAAGTTTTAGTTATTCCATCGGTTAAATTGAAAGATTTATTCGTATATGCATTTGATTGTTTTTCTTCAAGAACCTCGAACACTCGAGACAATCGTCCATACCTCGAGTAATCAAAGCCCTTGGAGACCCTCAGGATACAAAGGGATAGATGTTTATCCAAAGTTTGACTGTAACAATTAAGAATAGAAAATATTATTAATAGTAATAGTTAATTGTTGTTAACGATGAATATCATTTTAATCATTCTGGTGACTTACTGAATTACGTTGAAATAATCTTGAATTGATTCAATTTCATTAGTTTGCCAATCGTTTTTATAGCCCATGAAAACGATGTTTGGTCTCAATTTACCGATTCCACTGGCCTGATGATGATAAATGTTAGACAAAGATTTAAATGTAAATCAAAATGATTGATGGTTGGGTAACAATCAATTTATTCAATCATGATTAATGAAGATGACAATCAGAAAAAGAGAAATGGTTCAAAAATTCACCATCACTTTACTGAATTAGATTCAATTTCAAGTTCAACTTGTCAATTTAATTGAGTAAACAAAATGAGATAATTTTTGATTCTGTCAATCAAATTAAATCACAATTCCAATCGATTACAAGGTTTTTGTTGCCCTCCGACTTTCCAACTCGAAGCAATTAACTTTCGTTTCTTTTTCTCGGTCTCCATGAGGACATTACGAAGCTATTAGATTCTATCGATGAATGAACTTGATGTAAATTCGTGGTTACGATAAAGTGACTTACCTGAATTAAACTTTTCGCTCCAGATCCAAATGATTCTTCATCGATTACCGAATAGAAAGCTTTGATTCCTCTGGTTCGAAGCCAATCATTGTTACGTTTTAATAGCGATTCTCTTGATTTCTGATGTAATTTAGCTTGAGTTATATTACCACAGACCATTAGACCAACTCCTTGGACGATTTGATAAGCGAAATCAACTAACGAAGGTCTTACAAAGGTATCACCAGAAAGTAATAATATCTGAGGTCTAAATTGGATAAAAGTTGAATCGATTGGATTAACTGATTCATTCATTTTCACCATGATCATTGAGCAATTTTTACCTGTAGGTTTTTGTATGATCGGGCATACAGTATAACTTATGAGCTGAACTTAGAGCGGATTTGTAGATTTGAGCTCGAGTTGATGATCCCCAGTTAACATCTAAATGGTATGAATATGTAATTCAGTGTGTAATTAGTTGATTGGACAATCAAATTTGATTATTTTCGATAAAAATTACCTGGTTTTCTGAATAGAACCAAGATGAACAGGATAAATTCAATGATAAAGGTTATTAAGGCTGTCGGCCAGTTCATGATGAACATGATAACAAGACAAACGATTGAACCAACAAGGGAAACCCACATATTGTAAAATCTAAATGATGGACGGAAACCAAGGGTCTTGGAAAATGATGCATGAAAACAGGAGAAATTGATTAAACAATAAGCGGCCAGAAAAAAGTTCGAGATGATCGGAGCGATTGCATTGAGATCGGCGACTAGGCAACATGCAAGGGCGATTGCGAATCCCAGGATGTAACCTCGATATGGTGAATCGTTTGGTCCAGAACCATGGCCGAAAAATGATAAGTAAGGAAACACTTTATCTCGGCAAAGAGCTTGGAAAACTTTCGGTGCCGATACAAGGCTTCCAAGTGCCGATGAAATTGCGGCAGCGAAAATACCACAATAGATAAGTGGACCATAGAAAGAAATTAAAAGAATTAAATTGTAATTGTGATACAATCCTTGTTTCTCTCCATCAATTAGTAAACTAGTTCCGTTAATTGCAATCACTTCTCTCACTGAGGTTCCACCAAAGATCGTTATAAACAGAATGTAACTCGCGGTGGTAATGGCGATTGCGGTCAGTGTTCCCAATGGAATAGCCTTTTGTGGATCCTGAAGAGAGAGAGAGAAAATATAGTTAGTCAGTGATTTAAATTCTCTATTAAAATTAATTAATTAGTTCATTAATGGACTTTACCTTAAGATCTCCGGAGATGTTGGCACCAGCGAGAAATCCAGTAGCCGCCGGAAAATAGACTGAAAATATCGAGAAAAAAGTCTCTCCATTTCTAAATTCTGGACCAAAGTTATCGACAAGATTCGAGGCTAAGTTGGGAAAGAAATAGAAATCAAATCGGTCAACAATTAAGACAATTGACTGCAATTAGTTGAAGTGTAAAAAGAAATGTCATCAATCGAGTTATAAATCAAGTCCTTAGATGGCGACACAATTTTCTCTATGAAAAAGTTTCTTTAATCGTCAAGATTAATCATTAATTATTGTTAATTAATTGATAACTAAAGGAAAGTTAATTGGTTTGGTTTGATTGTTTACCTTTCCACCCAACGAATCCCCTTTCAATTGCATAGCTACTTGGAGATCGTAACGAACCAAAGACAAAATTAAAAATCGAAACGATTAAAATAATAACCAAACCAACTTGAACCTAAACAATTTAAGAAAATAGTAAAGTTGATTATTCTGTTGCAATTGATTTAATTAGATAATTAGAATCAAATTTAACCTTAGATTCCCATCCAGTTCCAATGAAAATTATAATTATAAGTATAAAGAGTGTGATACAACCAATGATCCTCATATTGTCCAAATCGGAGACATTAATTTGTGAATTATAAACCTGAAGGGAAATCGTAATTGTTAATTGTTGATTAGAATAAGAAAATAAGTGGACAATTAACAACCTTAAGAATACTGTTAATTGCTTCAGCGAAACCTATTGTGTACATCGCTGCGGCCACAGCGTTCGCCAACGAAAAAATGACCCCAATGGATCCTCCAAATTCTGGTCCAAGACTACGAGAAATCATATAATAAGTACCACCACCTTTGACCTCACCATTGGTACAAATGGCTGACATTGAGAGTGAGGTGACCGTAGAGACAAGAGAGGACAACATGACGATAACTGACCCCAGGCCAATACCGGCATGAGCGACAACCTGAACGAAAATAAATCGAGAGAAAAATTAATTTAATCTTTTGACCGCGAACAATTAACTCAACTTACCCAGCCCATTCTCAAGAATAACATGATTCCCCAAATTCCTGATAAACAGCGAACCTAATTAGTAATTTAATTAGTAATCGAAACAATTAACTAACGACAGAAATTTAATTGTTGCGTAACAATTTAATTCGTGGTTACAATTAACTTACCAGAACTCCTGTAATCCAGCCAAGTTTAACTGCTCTTTGTTGGTAATTGTCATGATTAAAATTGGTCGGCTATCGATTAAATCAATCAACAATTAATCAATTATCACTGATTTCAGTTTCACCATCGTAATCATCAACTAATTGTTAATCATTATCAGAGTGTATTGTACACTTTGGTTCATTGATTAACAGTTGATGAAGGTTAAACTAATTGTGGAAACAGTTAGTGAGCAAATTTGTTTAATCATAAATTGTTATAATTAAACTTTTTGATTGTAATCAATTGACAATTGACAGCAAATTAAATTGCTGAATATCAACAATAAAAAAATTAATATGAATGAAATTATCAATTCGGTTTGATTGTGAAACAATTAGCAATTTATGTGTTTAACTGGGAGTAATTTAATTATTTCTTATTAATTGTTAGATCACAATTGTTGTGATTGAGATGAAAAAAATTTCAATCAGATCAACAATTAACTAATTTGAAACTCAAATAAATCTAGAAATCTGTGACTGATTGATTATTGATTTAGTTAGGTGATCATCTTAATCAACCTTGTAACAATTAAGGAAGCAAGTGTTAATTGTATGATTTACTAAATCAATTGACATGATAAATTTGGTTTCTAATTATAATGATTAATAAACTTAATCATTAACTATCATTTGTAAATTGTTTGAACAGATTGACAAAGTTACACTTTCAAAAAAATGCCCTTGAGGCTTAAATCACAATATTTTACATAGGAAATTGTATAATTATTTTGATTGTGAACAATTAAATTTACTAATACAAAAAAATTCATTAACAGTCAAGGCTAATTGTACAATCATTTTTTTTTACAACAATTTAATTGTTTACAAACAATTTAGACACATTTTCATTCATTGGGTGTAGATGATTTTTCATTCAATCATTTTGCTTTTTTTGTAAATTTTTTGTTCATTCAATGAAACTTAATCACCTCAACAATTAGTGTCACTTGATGATACAAACAATTTAATTATCGCCCAGAATCAAATTTAATTATCTTTAGTTAACTAATTATAATCAAATAAATCACTAAACCGCAAACAGAATTGAACAAAAATTCAACTGAAACTTTGTGTTGATTTTATTGAAACTTTTGATTGTATTACTTGACCAATTAACTATTCCACTTTTAATTGTTACAATTTAACTCTATACCATTGATAACAATTAACTGGACATGCATCATTCATTAATTTTGGATAATAAATGATTGAAAATTAACTATTCAATTCAGTTAATCATCAAAGTTTCAGATTATTTTTTTTTCGTTCACAACTTTAACTTTTTTTTCTCGATTTTCTTAATCAACTGGATTAACAATTGTAACAATTAAACACTTACTTGTGATCCCGCTGGTGTTTCATCATCATACCCATGGAGTTCATCAAGTGTCGGTCGACTTATATGTCCATGGACTGAGGCCATGTTACGATAATGGTCAACTCGAGGAGCCGCTTCTCGGGTGAGATGAGATGATAAAGTTTTCGTCTCATAAATTGAATTGTTATTATCAATTGAATCTCTCCTGATAACATGATTGTTACAATTAGAATTACCATTGATCAGATTGGAAGAGTTAATTGTTGACCCATTTGATTGGTAAAAATCAGCCGATGAAACTTTATCGACTTTGAATCTTGACGGTGATGAGGGACGCAAATTGTTATCCAAACAGATCACTTTAATTTCACTAGAAAAATCAAATGAAACGTTAATTACAATTAACAATTAAGGAGAAGAAAACAAAAATTAACCAACTCACCATGAACTATTAACTGATGATAAATGATTTGAATTGGTCAGTTCAAAATTGTTGATAACCTTTGAAGACATTATCAACAATTGGAAAGTTTGATAATTAACAATCAACTAATCACTTTGATTAAAAACAACTAATGATTAACTTTGATTGTTACTACTACTATTAGATAAATGTCCAATAGGTTTATTGTAACAATGATGAAACCACATACACAATCAATACTGTCACTTGTCAATCAACTGACAACCTCTTGCTGATGATCAACTAATTAAATCAATATTAAGTTAATCATTTGAAAGTTTCAATTGAAAACATTGTACAAATTGAATTGGGAAATAGTGAGAGTGGCAAATGAAATGAATGAAAAAAAAAAGGTAGACCGGGTTTTCAATTATCCCTCCCACCGTCAAGGGAAGTTAATTATTTACACTATGATAATGATGATGGTGATTATGATGATGTTAAAGTTATCATTAATCAAAGTCTAACAATTAACTTACCCGAGGTTTTAATTGTCACAATCAAAGGGAGCGAGAGTATAACAAAAAAAAACTTAGCTCAATGTTTTTTAATGTTACTATTATTAACCTTATAAACTTTACCTGGTAACAATTAAAGTTGATTATGATGGTTAATTGATTGTCTAAATTTAAATTGTTTAAACTGTGATGTTCATATTTGATTGTGATAATTTAGATTTATCCTTTAATTGGTTGGAAGAAAAATTAATTTAATCACCATTCATTTTAATTCAATGTCACACCATCAGTTGACTAACCATTTTAGTTCAATCCAAAAAAAACAAATGTTTGATTGTTAACAATTAACTCTTATTATTAGATTAACCAGTCATTAGTTTTAATCATTGTCATCGAAACACTGATCATGTAATTGATCATCATCATCATCCTTAATTGTTGTCATACAATAATCTTAATAATCCACAATGATTTTCACTCTTATTCAAAACTAAATCAGTTAACAACAAGGTCTAAGAAAATGATTAACTTTGATTGTCTTAATTGTCTTTGATTAATCGACGGAAAATCGTTCAAAATGGCCTCCGCTTACGGACAACTTGTTTGGGGACAAGTTTTTTGGTTCGAGACAATTTCTAATGGGATCGGGGCAATTCATGAGATTCTCATGGTGATTCAATTGAAACTTTTTTCATTCGCGCTAATACATTTTTGTACTTTTGAAGGCACGAAGGAAATTTAGCTGAGAGGTCGATCTATTAGTTTAGCGGTCGAATAGCGGAATGAGGCCGAATTCTGGAGCTATCTAATCGAAATTAAAATGGGCAAAGTTCCGATTCTCGACAATGTTGAAAATGGAAATGATCAGAATTTTTCGCTATCCATTTTCTAAGCTTATGATAACCACAATCACGATTGACACACCGACCTTGAACCAGGCCAAGGCCGTTCAAGGTTACTAGCTATGGAATATATTTAAAGGTCATTTGAAGATTATTCGATTTTCTTGGTTGCTATCAAGCTATTAACTTGTTTTGGTTTGTTACTTTTGAACGTTGAAAGGATATTTTAATAAACCACCAGGGATAATTATCCTTAAGATTATTGACAAAGTCTAAAAGGAAATTTTTTATTCGTGAAAATATTGAATGAAATTCAATTTTTTGGTGAATCAATCGGAAGATGATGAAATGATAATATTGATTATATGACAATCATTTAAAGGGAGACGTTTTTTTCATGACATTTGGATCTTTTTGTGATGTTTTGGTTGATTTTTTACTTTTATGATGTGAACCTTTATGTCCAGTGTTTGCCTTGGATGCGAAAGTGGAAGCGATAACGGACTTGGACTTTAAATTATCGAATTGAGATGAAGGAGACCCTGGAGATGGTGGACGACTCTTCTTTGGCCCTTGGTCCTTGGAACCCTTAGGGGTCAATCCGAGAGCCTTTACTGATGGAACTGATTTTGCTTGAGATTTTAAACTTGCCCATGATTTGATGGAAGCAATTTTATTCTGTGAACCTTGCGATTTCAGACTACTCTGAGATTCCTTTGACTTTTGTGAGGCGGTGAATATTCCGACGGCCGCGACAAGAGCGATCAACATGGCAAGAAAAGGGAAGATAATTTTAAAGAAAATCGAAGCTCCTGCTTTAGCTTCGAGTGGAGCCTCCGTACTAATGATCGAACTGACCGAGAGCAGATCGGGTGATGAGGAAAAGCTCATATATGGATAAGATATTCGTTTGACCGTTACAACCAATTGATACTCTCCTTTGGTGATACCATTACAAATGATGGAAATCGAGGAATCGACAATCTTTTCAACTGAACATTGAAAGTCAACCGTAGAGTTGATGAGATAGATTGTAATTGGAAATATATTTTGTAGATCTGAATGATAACCATTGAGAGTAAAATCAATTGAAAAAGTTAATTCATCATCAGAATAAGTTGTTTCCACTATCGAGAAACGGAAACAAGGATTCGCTAAATAGTTGGTAGAAAAACTTGGTGGTAATCTGAGGATATAAAGAACAATTTAAATTAGTGATTAACAAATAAGAGAATGTAATTGTCGATATTTACATTGGAAGTGTTGAAATTGGAGCCGATGAATTATCGTCTGAACAAACTCCATCGTCACCAGTTCCCGATGGATACCATGAACAGAATTTTTGAAATGCTAAGGCTACGTTATCATGGACTTTGGTTGAAATACAGTCGAGGCAAGAACTTTGCAGTAATGGACATAAAACAAGTACTTCGCTGTAATGATACCCGTTGATCGTAAGTAGTACCTGAGGAATTGGGTTAGCGTAGTAAAAGATTTTCGTTAGATCGGAAGGAGCTTCAGCGTAATCGAAAATCGTTGACCTTGGATGGGTAATGATCGAACCGGAACTGGTCATGTGATGAATTGAATATCGATATCGAGTTGTATCGGTTGATAGAACTAAGAAAATATAGCCTGGGGACGCTTCTAATGAGAGTGGAACAAAATCGACCAGTATTCCCCATTCTGGTGAAAGAATATTTTCTAAAACGATACCTTCGAAAGGCCATTTTTTTAATTCCAATGAAGCATTGGTTCGAGTTGTCGAAAAACAGGAATGACCTTCATCGTATCGAAGAACAGGCCAAAGTTCAGCCGTAGTTTCACAATTTTCCCCATTCATCTCAGCGTAAGCGTTTAACATTTCATGAAAAGAAAACGATACTATTGAATCTTGCTCGTTTTCTTTACGACAGTGGACCAAAAGTAATTTCGAAAACAATGGATCACTTTTATCAAATCGATTCGATTGAACAAATCGAACATTTCGAATATGACCATAAATAGATCTAAAAGTAGTGGAATAAAGTTCTTTATAAACATATCGAGGTAAATTTTCACCCAAGAAATTCAATTCCCCGAAAGTATAAGTCGGCTCTCGATCGGTAACCTCTTGGTATCCAATCCAATAAGTTTTACCTCCATGGAAAAAGTTGAAAATATTATTGATCGATCTTATTGACCAGTCGATCTGATTGACCATTAATCGTACACTGACTGGATCCCATTCGAGGAAAAGAACGAAACCCTCTTCATGAGCAAAGGTTCCATCGAAAGGAACGACCTGAAATGTTGACATGAACTGCGGATAAATATTCGTAGGAACCGTGCGAGTTTGACCTGTCAGTAAATGTCGAGTGTTGTAAAATTGTGACGAAAATGCAATCGCACGTAACTCGCTCTTATCTATTCGATAAAATTCCGATGATCTATGATTTCTATTGAATAAAGCACAGACACTCGAATTAGAACAGATCGGGTAGGCTATGCCGAAATCTTGACCTAATCCCTCAGGTCGGCCAACGATTCCTGGGTCTCGATTGATTACCGTTGATGAATGATCAGTCAGAAGGAAATTAAATTCATCATCAACCATGAATAAAGCTCTCGCTGTACTGGACTGAAAAATAGGAACCCAAATGCTTGAGTGATCAATTTTAAGGTAACAATTAACATGACCAATCAAAGTTTCAAATAGAATCAAAATTAATTGTAAACAATTAACAGAGCGGCACAATTTATACCCAAAGAAAATCATTTTAAATTTGATCTTCTAATGGTTGATCAATGAAAAGATTTAGTAATTATTAATAGTGAAGAGTTATAATAATGATGATTAATTTTGATTACATAAATCCCTTTAAACAATTAACCTAATCAAGGATGTTATGATTATTTAGACAATCAACTCAATTAGTTTTAATCCAATAGTTGTGAGAGTGATTCTCAATTTATAATCAATAGCAATTAAAAGCTCATTAACAATTTTCTTGCTTAATTGTGATAATTACTTGTTTTCATTTTCACACAATTAACTAATCATAAATCACACAAGATAAACAAAATTAACTATGATAATAATCAAGTTTTCTTGTTGATAATTTGGCTAATATGTTGATTTGTGATTTAAAAGACATTCAGAGACAATTTAAATTGATTATTGGTATGTAATTACATTTGGATGATATTAAATTGCTCAACGCGAATTGACAATTAATCAAGTTTTTAATTTTCTATTCCAAAATAAATCTTACAACAATTAGTAGTAAATTGATTGCAATTGAGAAAATAAAAGGCTACAAATGTTGGATAGATTAGAAAAGATTAATTGTTAAGGTTAATTGTGATTTCGATTGATTGATTGATTGTAAATTGATTGTGATTATTTGCCACAATTGCGAGTAAATTAAAGGGCCAATTTCTTAGGAAGTTCCCATGGGAAATCAGCTCTTCCAAAATGGCCGAAAACGCTGGTTTCTTGATAGAGTGGATTCCTCAATGATAATTCCCTGTAGATTGTTGGATAAATAAAACAATTAGTAAATTGTGATCAATCGAAAACCTTATGAATATTATCAATCACTTACTTGATTATTCGTCCTGGTCGAAGGTCAAAATTTTTCTTGATAATTTCCAATATTTCAGTTGGTGTTTTATTTGCGGTTCCATAAGTGAAAACGGAAATTGAAATTGGCTCAGCGATTCCGATAGCATAAGAAATCTGGTACACAAAAAAAAAGACACAGAGAAAGGAATTAGAAGTTTGAACATTTATCGAAAAGGTCAAACTGGACAGTCGATCGTTTTACCTGGACATTGCAACGTCTACAGATTCCCGCTTTAACAAGGGATTTGGCAACCCAACGAGCGGCATAAGCTCCAGATCGGTCGACTTTGGTTGGATCTTTGCCCGAAAATGCACCACCACCATGGGCACCCCAACCACCATAAGTGTCGACGATAATTTTACGGCCAGTTAGTCCAGCATCGGCCAAAGGACCTCCGCTGACAAAAGCACCACATGGATTTACATGGATAACAGTTTTATCGTCCATATATTTGCTTGGAATAACTTGTTTGATAACCTTTTCCTTGATCTCTGATCTAACCTGTTCTAAGGTCACTTCTTTGGCATGTTGAACGGAGACCACAATGGTGTGCACTCTTGTTGGAACCGCTGCCCCCGAGTCAAGATAATATTCACAGGTAACTTGAGATTTAGCGTCAGGTCGAGCCCATGGAAGTGAACCATTCTGTCGAAGCTCAGAATATTTTTCCATCAATTTATGTGATAGAACCGCCGTCAAGGGCATACACTCTTCGGTCTCATCAGTGGCATAACCGAACATTAAACCTTGATCACCAGCACCAATTTCATCGGTGTCACGATTAACATGAACACCCATCGCTATTTCTGGTGCCTGTTCCTCAATGGCGATCAGCACGTTACAAGTTTTATAGTCAAATCCTTGAGCGAAAATAAATTTACAGATTAACCTAAATTCTGGATAAACTTGAATTTCTCAATTTTAAGACAATCAACTAATTACCTTTATCACTATGATCGTAGCCGATTTTGTTAATTGCATTTCTAACGACCTTTTGATAATCAATTGATGCTTTCGATGTGATTTCGCCAAACAATAAGACCATTCCCGTTTTGGTTATCGTTTCGCAAGCGACCTTAGCCTCAGGGTCTATGGTTATATGAGCATCCAGAACTGCGTCACTGATTTGGTCACACATCTTATCTGTAATAATAAGATTAAGTTGATTATCGTTAATCCGATGGTAGAGATTCAAATTTCCCCTTTTCTGATTGTCACATTTTTTTCCCACAATTAATTTCTAATTGTTATTGGAGTAAATTGTCATTTCTTTTAAATGTCAATCGTTAATCTATTTAATATCATGATAATTTGCTGATTTTCCCATAATCTTCACAATCTTTGTCTCTTAATTGTCATTGTTTACAATTAAATCAAAAATCAACGATGGCAACGATTTGCTAATTTTTGTATTTACTTTAATCTTCTCATTACAATCAAGCCTAATGATCATTGTAATGGTTGTTTGGTTTTTAATTTATTTCCATTTAAATTGTTAACAATCACTCATCTTAATTGATTAACTTTCCATTGATACTTTAATTGTTGATTGAGATTAGACTTTGATCAATAAAGGTTAACACTTAATACTACAAATACAAATCTAATCATATTGTAAAGCGATTAAAGATTAACCAGATAACCAGAGATGAATTAAGATAAAATTAACTTTTAATCATGTAAATTGTTGTAAAATATTCAAGAATCAATACTAATCAACTTTAAATTGTTAAGATAACAAAATTAACCAACAAAAACAAGCCAATCGATAATCAAAATCAATTTCAATCACTTTATCGAGATTGTCACCTGAGTTATAATTATCTTTTTTTTTAATTGTTGATAATTTTACAAAACTGTACTTCGATCATTGAACATTATCAATGTGATCATTAATTTAATTAACTCATTGAATTGAGAGAGAGAGAGAGAGATTATTATATTGTGACATTTATGCTTCTCACTCTGAGATCTATCACTCAAGAAGCTTAGTTAACAATTAACGTTAACTTATTTTAAATTGTTGATTAAATACTTGATTCGTTTGTGTTGTTATACATTAAATTGTCCTGATGGTTTATCATTTTAATTTGATTCTTTCCGTTGTTTATTTATTGATTTTCCTTTTCCCTGATCATCAAATCTCCGGTTACAGTTATGATTCAACGATAATCAATTGGAGCGGTTATAATTGGAGGGTCAAGGAGGGATATCGGTCACCTGGACCTAATCAGTTCACCGTTGATGCCGTTCAACTGACCAATGAAAATAAAACCCTTTCACTTGTACTCAAACCAATGGCCGATGGTAACTGGACAAATGCTGAGATTTACTCTGTTACCACGTTAGGCTATGGTACGTACTCGTGGACGATTAGCTCTGAAACAGCCCAATTACCCGCTCAAGTGACCTTGGGTATGTTCACTTGGGAGGACTGGTCAACAGATACCAACAGTCGGGAGATTGATATTGAATTTGCCAAATGGGGAAACTCATCTGATCCTAATAACATACAGTTCACCGTTCAACCTCACACTGTCCCTGGAAATGCTCGTAGATTTCAACTTGACCCTTCTAAAGGTCAAACTAAAGTTGAATTCACTTGGTCACCTTGTGGTGTCTCTTTTAGAGCTAACAAATTTGATTCAGTTAATCAAACTGAACAATTTATTAATCATATTGATAAAATTAATCATGTTCTCAGTGGTAATGAAAAGATTCACATTAACCTTTGGCTTTGGGCTTCGGAAACACCGGACACTAAGGGTCAACCCTTACAAGTGGACATTGAATCGTTCACCTTTACACCTTTAATCAATTGTGATTCTAATCTAATTGTTGGAAATGATTCAATTATTTTCCCTCTTTTTCCTTATATTAAATCACATGTGACGCAATTTAATTCAACTTTCATGCAACAATCTGCAGTTATCTTCGATAAGGTTCAAAAACTCGTTCTCGATACATTTTGTACCTTTCGATTGCCGAACTGACCAGAGATTATAATCGAAACACTAAATTATCATTTAATTTTTATCAAAAATTCGTATTCACAAAAGTAAAACAATCAAGTTTATCATTAGTGTTATGGGGAAATAAAGTTTTAATTAGGTTTCATTTGATTCACCGATACGATTGAGGAACATTTTAATCAATTGTAATTTAATTTAACTTTTTAATTCTTAATTAATTAAAACAATTCCATCAACAATCATTGTAAGGATTATATTTTTCCATCATGAAATATTATATCTGTCTAATTGTTCACAATCAACTAATCACTTTGTCTCGTATCATTCATAATAATTGATTAATCATCATTTCTAATTACTTGTAAGTGATTGAACAATCAGTTAATTGTCTTGGCTAATCAAAGCTTCCTGATAATTTAAGCTACTTGATGAGGCCTTTTAATTGTTCATTTAGTTTTCATGTTAGTTATCAAGTTAATTGTTATAACGATTAATCAATGAAAGAATTGAAATTTCAAGCAACAACAATTAACTTGATAATCAGGTAAACTATTTTTTAATAATAATTATGTAATCAAAATGTAATATTTAATTGTTGATAATCAAATTGCAACATTTTGAAAAAGTAATCAATTTGATTGTTATTTAAACAATCAAAATGTAACATTTAAACACCTCCGAAATTAATAATTAGTTATCAATCATTTACAATTTATTAATCAATGATTTAGCTAATTGTTGGCAAACTGATGACCCAAACTAATTGGTGACCTTGGTAAGTTACAATCAAACTAATTGTGAGATTATAAAGATACAATGTTAGTGATAATTTGAAACAATTAAAAGCAATTTAATCATCATATACAATGTAAATTGTGAGTTAATTGTTTTCAATCAGTTTAATATTAAAGGTAAGAATTAATTTCGTGTTTAACTTACCTGGATGACCTTCACCAACAGATTCAGAGGTAAAGAGAAAAGTTTCATTTTGATTGTAATTGGTTCCGTTCATGATGATGATGATGATGATAATTGATCACAATTAATTGAAACAATTAAGTAACACACAAAGTAAAACAACAATTACAATATAAATCAAAGTTAATGTGATAACAGAAACTGAAACTATGAGTTTTCTTGAACTGATGTTCAATGTTCATACCTATTGGATTATCATTATTATTTTATCATCCTCATCATCCTCGTCATCCTAATCATCACAATCAGTCAATCAGCTCTTACTTTCTCTCTTAATCATCTCTCTCTCTCTCTCTCTCTCTCTCTCTCTCTCTCTCTCTCTCTCTCTCTCTCAAAGTTACCTTTATCATCCCTCCCACTGTTACCTGTTATTCAATATCAAGAGATACCTTTTTTCTCATCATCTTCGTCATCATCAGAATCTTCTTGAAGATCTTCCGATGATGATGATGATGAGAGAGAGAGAGAGAGAGAGAGAGAGAGAGAGAGAGAGAGAGAGAGATATTTAGAAAATGGAATAATTAATTTCAATCAATTCTTTTTACTAATCAATTGATTTTCATTCTGCTTTTGATTCGAGTCTTATTTTACTTTTATTTTCCTTCTTTCTCCATAGGAATCATGAATCTTATCTTGAGAAGCAATTACAAAGTTGATGATCAGCAGAAAAATGATTGTCAATCAATCAACTAATTAACTTTAATTGTAAATGTGTTACATCTTCTTTTCATTTGATTAACTTTGATTATCTTTATTTTTCCTTCTCATTATCGGTTATCCTTGAAAATGGGTTAACACGGTAACAGACTTGATTTAATATCAATCTCAGTGATCAAGATAATCATGAAATTATATAGTTTGATAATAGCCTCAGGGTGAAGATAATTCAGTTTCAATTTAATTTAACTTTTTTTTTCTTAAAAAAATAAAAATTTTTAATATTTATTTTGACTATTTAACTAATAACAATTCAATCAACTCAATGAACTTATATTGTTATCACAATTAACTTTTAACTGATTGAGAATTTACTAATACTAATAATGTACAGTTTTAATTTTCCTTAGATTTAGTGATTAACTTAATAAATTGTTTATATTTGTTATTGTTTGCTAACAAATGATCAGTTAATTAGAATTGATTTCATTTAAATTTGATTAAATTTTCAATCATGTTAATTTCCCTTCAGTTCATCTGAATAATTAACTAAATTATTTTTAAATTTTCTTCTTTATTATCTCATTATTTTCTTTAAATAATGTAATTTTTGATCAAATTTTTCCCGGTAAACAATTCAATCAACAATTAATTAATCATAATGAATATAATAAAAAACAATAAGTTTACAAATTAATCGGTCAAGGTTTCAGACTTTATTTTCAACTTCTTTATTCCAAATCCTCAATAATCAAATTAAATGATAGAAACAAAAACATAAATTAGATTTAATTTAATTAAATCAAAAAGATTCAATTGTTTGATTAACTTTTTTGAACAATTAAAAAAGCTAATTGTTTATTTCCGCCATGAAGACAAATGCATTAGGCATTTTCGCCACAAGGGCACCGAACTAATCGTTCAGTTTACATTTGCTGATTTGTTTATTAGTATTTCACTGATTTTTTCAAGTTTTTGAATTTTTTCTTTTACATTTTTGTCATTGATTTTAGTTAAATCCCATTCTTCGCTCCAGTGATCTCTCGTGCTTTTGCACTCTCTGAGATAGTGTAGGTAACTCCTTCCTCTTTTCCCTTTGGCTTGACCAATTATTTCTGCGTGCATGGTTATATCCGTGCATAGATTCAGAATCTTTTTCAGGCTGACTCCATGTAGACTGTTGTAACTTTTCGGCATTTTCTCCGGAAAGAATAGCGTAAATATCGACGGTTTTCGTGTTTTGAGTGTAGCTTCTTCTATCGTTTCTGCCATGTGACATCTAATATCTTTTTTGAGGTTGATTTTATTGTTGAGGGTGATGGTTCTGTCGACGTCCATTGGAATTGATCTGCTGATTAACTCTGGGCTCCATGTGTACATCACTCGATGTTGCGCTAACATTCTGATGATGGTTTGAGTTGTTTCGGCTTGAGGAAATTTGACCACGTTCTCCGGTAATTGGTAGTTCACTATACGATTTTTGTGCTTATTTATAAGCATGAACAGGGCAATTAGAATTGTCTTGGAGGGACTTGAGTCCACTAGATAAACAGTCTTTTCATTGTCAATTGTAAAACTCTCCTTATTAATGCAGATATAAACTTGTTCTAATGGCGAATTGGTACATTTTCTCTTCCAAAAATTTTCTATTTCCGTTTCATTGGGTGGGTTAAATGTGAGTTTTTCCGTTAACAGTTGTACCACTGGCCAGTCCAGGGGGTTAGAATTCGATCTTTTAATAGCTTCCAGATTAGCTTGTAGCCAGATTGTCAGCGGGTTTGTACAGCGAAAGACAAGAATTGGTGCCCATTTTGTAACTCGATTTCTTAAGCCAAAAGCAGCTTTGAGTTTCGAGTTTACTATCTCTTGGACATTGTTGATGAAGTTGAGGTAGTTAAAGTTTCTGTAGAGGGCATGAGGTCCAAGGTGGTATAACATGTGCGAGTAGAAGGCAGAGATGATTAAGCGCTGGTAGTGGATCGGTAGACGATTTATTACTCTCAGTTGAGGTGTGATTCTCGTTGAGAAGAGGTGAATTATTTCAGCCAAAGATCTTTCGTTTAGGGCATAAGAGACTATTTTACCGACCACCTTTGTATTGATGGTCAGTGGGTGTCTTATGAATTGAGTTTTACTGTGATTAATTTGAAGATTAATCTCTGAGAGTTTTTCTGAGGTAATTCTAAGATGTTCACTATGATTAGCTTCATCACCAGGATAATAATATCATCAGCGAACGCAAGAATGCGTATGTTCAAGTCGGTTAGTTTTCTGATGGCGCTGTTTAGACCGACTATAAATAATATTGGGCCAAGTGACGAACCCGCTGCTGTCCCCATATCATCGTTTCTGTACAGAGTCTCGTTCGAGGATTTGTATCTTAGGCAGCGGTTGGTGTGGAATGATTTTATCATGGATAAAGTTCCAGGGTCGACATGATTCTCTAATTCAGAGTATATTGTTTCCATGGATATAAAATCGAAAGCTTTTGTAGCATCAATTGAGATGGCGATTCCGTTATCAAGATGTTGTCTCAAAATGATGTGGAGATCGATATTGTTTACTGATGCTTGGTAGGCAAATTGTGAGTTTGGTACCAAAATTTTGTTTAGGGTTGATTGGATGCGTTTTGTTAAGATTATATCGAAGATTTTGAGGATGAAGTTCGATATTTTGATAAGTCTAAGGCTCCCACCCGGTTTTGGAATAAAATGAGCTCCAAAGACTTTTATCGCTGGAGAGATTACACCTTCCTCGAAGGAGGTCTTAACCGCACTTGTGATCATTTCCTTGTTCACCTTCCAGAATTTTTTCCAAATCTTTAGCGAAAATTCATCTGCATTACCGGAGGTTTTCCTAAAGTTCATCGAGGTGATTAGATCAATTTCTTTTTCGCTCAGAATCGATGGACTACCTATTTCAACTTTATTGTGTGTGTAAGTTTTACTGAAAGAGCTCGTATCGGGCTGAATTTGCTGACTGATTACTATTCTGTTCGAATTTAGATTTAGTAGTTTGTTGATAAACTGCCAAACTTTAGTGGAATCTTTTCTGTATCTGAACATGTAGCGTTGAGTCCCTATCTTTTTTCCTATCCTTAATCTAATACACTCTGTTTCTAACGGTTTGATCATTTCTCTGGGTAATTTAGCTCTTTTCATTCTTTGTATTTTTGTTCTCAATCTGCTAATTCTTCTGTTTGTTGTCACTTTCTGAAACACTTTTGTTTTGCAATGTTCTGTCTGAAAACTAACTAATCTAGTAAAAAATTCATGTGGATTATCTGCTACAAAGTCTAGCTTATATTTACTCATGTATTTTGTTTCTTTGGTATTACTGATCTCGATAAATGGTGGCTGCATTGGAATTGTTAACTTATACTCTCTATGATCGGTTATTATCTCTCCCTCGACTAAAGTTATATCTCTAATGTTTGAAGCTACTATGTCGATCCATGAGCGTTTGTTGTTGTGCTGGTAAGAGAAATTGTCACCTCGAGGTTTATTTAGAACAATGAGATTCGATTTGATGAAGAAATTAGCCAGGAGAGTTGAGAATCGCGGGTAATTTGTCCTCGTTGACCACAGCGGATGTTCGCAGTTTGAGTCCATGGTTATTACAATTGGTAGGTGAACAAATGATGAAATAAGGTCCACAAAGTCGACTACGTTTTTCAGTTGGTCTGAGTGAGCGATGTACGAACCAATTATTAGTAGTTGTCTTTTTTGTTGTGATATTATTATCGCTGTACAATTTTTAACTGAGGTGTCACATTGATGAATTTGGATATCAGGTGATGTAATTATGGCGGTTTGGTCGTTTAAGATGAGGTTTCGACCGGTGAATTTGATGGCAATTGCTCTATTCACTTCCACCAACACGAGGATTGAAGATTTGGAATTTAATGTCTTGGTTATCAGGTTCGTTGTTATTTCCTTCATTTTCCGTGCATTCAGGTAATTTAGGTTTATCTTCGGTGGGAAGAAACCATTCATATTTAATTGTATAGTTTTTTGAGACTTTAGAGAGTTTATCTTGAATTGTTTTGCACTTTGATGAATACGATGTGTGTTCACCATTACAATGGTAGCACAAAGGTTTAGCTAAACATTGACCTTGATGTGGTCTTGAGCAGTTTATACACAGAGCTTGACAATTTTGATGCGGTGATTTCACCGAGAGACAGGAGTATATTTGTAGGTTAAAGTTGTCGAAAACTTGAAAGGTTTTACCCATAAATTTAATTTGACCGTCACTGTCAAGTAGTTTTTCTCGATTTAGATAACTGAGGTTCAATATAATTGTGGTAATATTTTCGTCGATTTTCACATTGGATACAAAAGTTTCTCGATCTTCTTCTAGGTGATTGGAGATTAAGATGTTGTTACAAATGATGTTGAAAGACACTGACCTTAAACCTTTCACTTTAAAGTACACAGATGAAGGAGTTGGGATGTAATCGTAGAAAATGGAGTTACAAAAATGGTTATTGATGATTGAAATGATTTCCTCCTTGGTTTCTATTGTTGTTGGTAAAATCTCAACTCTTCCGTTTTTACGGAGACGAATTTTTATGATCTTTCTCGATTGATCTGGGATGTTGCAAATCAGGAAGGATATAAACGAAGAGATGTCGGTTACATGGGGTTCAACTTGAAAAGAGAGTGTTTTATCTGTCGATGGGGTGCTTTTATCCAGCCTAAACGAAGGGCTTGTAATTCACGATATATTTTGTTCATGATTACCAGTCCTTAAGACTAATCGGTGATGAAGTGATCGTATTATTAATTTGTTGTTGTGATTTTCTGTGAAAACTTAAGAATGATTAATTAGTGTGTAACTGATGATTGAAAGTTAATGAAAATGTTCTTGGTTTGGGTTGTAGTCTGGAGGTTGTTTGTTAATTGTTTTCTTGGGTTTATAATGATTGAGTGTGATTGTGTGTTTTAGGGTTTAAGTGTTAATTGCTTGTTGGGTTAATTGTAAGAGCTTAATTGTTATGATGAAGAGTTTTAATTGTTAATGAGTAAGGATAATTCTAGAGTTTGTGTTAGTAATTAACAAGGTTGCCAAAGGGAAAGAAAATTTCTAAAAGATTAAGTGATTAGTAAATTGAGATTCCATTAATTAAAGGATTTTGGTTTTGTTTACGGATTAGGTTTCTTTCAGGCTAATTTTAAGTGCAAGTGAACTTTAGGCTAAGCCATGATCATTTTATACTGGAAATTTCTTTTTTCAAGTTCGAAAAGTAATTTCTCTTGAAATTTCTCACAACCAATGTCGAAGGCGCTTTCACCTCTTTTTTGGCAATTTGGGCAACGCCATTTATGTTTTTTATCTTTGATCGGGCATTGTTCATGGATATGGTTCTTATCACCACAGAAAGGGCAGATACTTAGCTGTGTACATTTATTGGCGATGTGTCCAAATTTGGTGCATCGGCGACACTGTTTAATGTCGAAATGGTCCACAACTCGAGCGCGTTTATATCCAACGGCTACCAATCCATCATGAAGCTCAAGCCACTCTCTTAACGCTGGATCTATTTCGATTATTACGTCAAAAAATTTTCCATTTCTATAAAAATGCTTGATGTTTACTTTCCAACATTTCTTCCAGCGATTTTTCATAATGAGTCTTTGGATCCATTGGGTCTTTTGCTCCTCATCAAACTTAACGCCAAGTATTTTGATCTGTGGGTCGTTTATCGGAGGGATCTTTGTGTCCCATTCGGGTTTCATTTTCCTGATAAAGTTGAAAATCTTTGTTCTATCAGATATGCTCGAACATCGTATTTTCGCCGAATCGAAGCCAGGTTGAACTTCTTCGGCAGAACCAACATCTTCATTTGCCATTTCCAATAGATTTTCAACTTGATCGGTGGTAAGCTCACCAATTTTTCTCTAGTTGATTTTTCAAACCCGGAATCTTAACGATGATTGTATGATGTATAACTATGTGAGAAACACTGTACCAGGTAGCCGGTGGTCCTTGCTTGGTGTCAAACTGCACTGAGAGTTGATTTTTAATCTGATTGTTTGACAGATTTTGAACCTCGATGGCTTCTTCCTCTTCCTCTGTCTCCTTGTTGTTCTGTTGAATGGTGATGAGTCGATCAGTGAATTTAACCATGTTGAGTAGTTCAGCCTCATCGATGGTGGAAATGAACTTCGCATCTTTAACAGCATCTTGCAGTGTCTTGACAATGGGAAACGCTATTAACTCTGTGATGAGTGTCTCAGGATTCAGGTTGGTGTTCAGATGCTGTTCTACATACGTTCTGACAATTCCGAATTTTGTTTTCTTTGAGACTTTTCTATCCTCTAGAAGTTTGAATTAGGGTAAGTTTAAATGACAAAAAGTTTTAATGTATAAAAGGTTTTCTTAGTTTATATGTTTGTTCAATTTTGTTTAAATCTCGGAAATTTTTAATATACATTTTCATGTAGTTATACTTACTAAGTTTACGCAGTTCAGAAGAAGTACCATTTTCGCTGTTTGTGGACATTTTGATTCCCTTTTTTTTCCTTTACCTGAACGCACTTGATAAAGGGAAAACTTTTATTCACAATTTAAAGGTTAAAATTAATTAATTCACTGATTAATATGTTTTAGACAAAAATATGACTTTGAGGCCAATTGGTCAAATACTTTGAGAAAATACCGAGAGATGGAGCTACTTGAGTTCTAGGAAATTTTTGTTTTTATTTGAAAATTTTCACTTTCGGTTAGATTTTAATTTGATTTTCATCTTGTGTTATTAGTGTTTCAGTTGATTACAATTTAACCTTGACTATTAGATAATTGTCTACAATTAACTCTAGTTGTTTAACCATCATCATGGCTTTAGTGACAGCTAAGAATCTAGAAAATCTGGTAAGTGATTAAATCTATTTGCTTATGTAACTTAACCTGATGTGTGAATCATTTTAATTGTTACTTTTTATTTTATTTTTTTTTTCATCAATAGAATTTTAAATTTTTTCAACTTCGTAAATTGGCCGTTACTGATAATCTTGATACTAATGTTATCAATAATCTTGCCATATCTCACACTCACCAAGTCATTTTTGCCGCTTACGGAAATGGTTAGTTAATTGTTTCTGTCTTATTGTGTCTCATGAGGTTCACACAATTTATATCTTGTAGCCAATGTGTTCCTATTATTGGGTTAATAATTTTCTATATTTTTGATTCTTTTTACTTTATTTTTTGTCTTCCATTTTATTTACCATTTTAGCCTTCAAAGTGATTAGAATTTCAACTTTACTGGATTACGAATGGGATAAGAAGGTGGTTGATACAATCGTTAACTCTTATCCAGCCCTTGAGATCAAATTACCTTATAAACCATCCCTACTCTCTGTGAGTGGAGGAACCAATAGTACACTCCTTGTATTTGGCCAAAATTCATCCAACAATTTATCTGGAGATATTTTTGATATTCCAACTCTTCTCTCTGGTAATCCTAATCCCATTTCACGGTTAGAATTTCCTCCAACAATCTCATTAAATGTTTATATTCAATCGGTTGCTTGGCATCCCGATTTCGCTGAGACCCTATTCGCAGCTACCACAAGTAATGGAGCCTTGGTTACAATTGGAATTGACCAGCAAACTAAAGGTGTTCAACTTTTGGCCCATTACTCTGATTCTTTTAAATTTACCTGTGCTAGTTGGAGTCCTAAAGGGAAACAAATTGTTGTCGGTGGTGATAATGGTCAATTAACACAATTTAAACATTCTAACGGTAAAGGTTTTCAAAAGGCTAAAGTTATTCCCTCACCTTTGCCAAACCATAAGATTGTCAATGTTAATTGGGTTCATAGTGCTTTATTTCAAGTGGCCTATGTTCACAATAGCGCAACCAATAGTCCAGATACCAGGGTGATATTTGTTCATGCACCTCCGAAAGCAGTTCCCGAATATCATGATTATGGTTATGTTTGTATGGAAACAGGTAAACAATATGAGGGACCCGATAAAATAAGGATAACCTTTTCTGAGATTGGAAATATCCTCCTATGCCTTTCATCACTTTCCAATGAAGTTTCCGTTATTGGTTGTGATACACCAGTTAATGCCTCACCAACCACATGGCAACAATGGATGCTTGATGATTCATCTAGAATTGAATTATCAGGTTCCGATGGATCTGATGCTTATCCTGTTGGTATTGCTTGGTTCAAAGGACCAACCAAAGTATTCAAAATAAATGAATCTATTAGTTTAGGTGGTCCAGGTTGGCCTTTAATTGTTGTCCTCACATCAGCTGGTCTACTCTGTCCTTATTATGCTTGTCATCTTCAAGGAAAATTTCAAATTCCCGATTGTCCTCCATGCCAACCACTTCCTATCAGTGTTCCAGGTCCAACTCGAGTTAATCGTCCAGATATTCAAACGACTGGACAGCAGCATCAGCAGCAACAACAACAACAACAAGTTACTGGTCAAGCTGGTGTAACAAAGAGCCAAGCTCAAACTTTTCCTGGTCAACAATCACAACCTTCAGTTGATGCTTCGTTTACTTTTTCACTTCCAAAGACTGGTCAAGAAAAACCAAAGCCTCAAACTACCGTTACTGTTGCAGCAACGGTTCAAGCTCCGAGTCAACAGCAACAGCAAGTATCCCAACAACAGGCTCAGCATCAACAACAATTAGCTGAAATCCAAGCAGCTCAACAAGCTCAGCAACTCCAACAGCAACAGCAGCAGCAACAACAACAAGCTCCTTCCAAGCCAATCATTAGTGAAGAAGAATTAAGAAAAAAGGAACTTGAAGTTTTGGAAGAAACATTTTCCATGGCCATTAATGAAGAAATCTTGGAATTTACCAAGACCCTACAAAACGCTAAGAATAATTTCTCGAAAGCATTAAATTTACAAATCGGTAAACCTGATGAATTGGCAATTCTCCAATCGGAAACAGCAAGTTTATTTGAACTCTTGAAAACTTCATCAGATACATTTAAAAGTCTCGATTTAAACATGTTAAATGGATACATATTGGAAACCTGGGCCATGGTACAAGAAGCCCAAACTCGATTAGAAAAAGAATCAGATCCAATTTATACAATGATGGCCAATAGACGATCCATTGATCCAATTACCGCGCGAAAGATGAGAGAGATTAAAAAAATCGCCCACGAAATTGAAATGCATCTTGAAGATTTGAATAACATGTTGGACAGAGAATGGGAAGATTACACCGCTCAAATGAATGTAAAGAAACTTCCAACCGGATTATCATCCATAGACATGATTTACCACACCCTGTCAACCCATCATAAGACAATTGAAATGTTGAAGAAAAATCTCTCCAAATATGATGTTTATTTGGAATCAATTGAATTGGAAGAATCTGGTTCAGTCTCTCCAAGAAGAAAAGAGATTCAGGATATTATAAACTCCCTTAGAAGCTCTTCCATCCAAGACGATAATAGTATTCTAAGTGATATTAGTCGCCATAAATCAATGATTAAAATACCAACCATAACAAAGGAAAAGAAAGAGAAACTTTTGGAATTTTTTGAACAACGAAACTCAGTTCCTATTAGAAGAGCCATTTTACCAAGCGATTTGAAATCTTCTAAAATGGTTTCAGCGGTTGTTAAAGCACAGGAGCGATTAAAACAGATTCGAGAAAAATCACAAATAATATCAGATAATATTCCAGTTAAATCATGGACCAATGTGACCTCAGGCCAATCTAAACCAGTTGATTTAAATACAACTATTCAACCAAATCAAGTTACACCAACAAAATCATCTGATCAAGATAAATCATTATTTTATTCAACTGCAATCGGTGATATGTCAATAAATGATACATCAAGATATCAATCACCAGTTAAGAATCTTAACTTTTTATCGCCAATCACCACGAAAACTGATCCAAGATTAGCGTCTAAATCACAACAAATTGGTGATAAATCAATTTTCAAAGAACCAGAACCAGCTGATAAATCAACGCCATTCGCATCTAAAACTGATCCTAAAGACGATAGTTTTTCCCTTTCCTTTGCTTCAACCACTCTGGGTAACATTGCCTCACCCACTCCGTCCTCTTCAACCTTTCTCTTTGGCCAATCATCGGTAAAACCGACCGAAAAAGGATTCGCTTCGACCTTTGCTACCGCGACAAAGGACATTTCAATTATATCAAAAGATAAAGATACTCCAAGTACCATAAGCAAGGAAAACGTTCAACCCAAAGTTGAAACTAAACCGGTAACAAGTTCAGTCTCTTCAACCTCTGTGGCCTCAACTATTACTTCAGCATCATCAGCGGTCTCCTCACCTAAACCAGCGACCGCTTTTCCCGCCTTCACATTCACTTCTCAGTCAAACACTTCAACGGCTTCAACCGCTCCTGCATTTTCATTTAGACCCACTGCAGCTACTACTTCAGTCGCAGCCTCACCAAGCGCTGCCAATATCAGCATTTCCTCGACTGCATCTACAGTCCCAATCTCTAAATCAAACAATTCAAATGCACCCTTCTCATTTTCGACTGCCAGTGGCTTTTCTATGTCAACCACCGCAAATGCTTCGAGTCTCTTTGGATCTCCAACACCTTCTGCCGCTCAATCGGCAAACGATACGAAAACTTCAATTTCCACATCACTTTTTTCAACTGAAAAACCATCAAGCACCACTGGCTTCAGTTTCGGTGATGCAACGCCTTCAGCTGCCCCAAGTTTCAGCTTCGGTGGTACTTTAGGTCCGTCTACAGTCTCATCAACGTCAACTTCCGCTTCCACTGTTACGTCAACTACTGTATCTTTAGCTTCGGTAGCTACAACCACAACAAACGCAAGTACCACAACAGCATCAACCGTCAGTTCATCGTCAACAACCACCACAATTACACCGGTACCTGGTAAACCTTTTGATTTTGGTACATCAACTGGTCAAGTTTCATCTGCAAACTCAATTACCTCAACTCAAACAGCTACTCCACCGGTCTTTTCATTGGGAGTTAAATCTGAACCAAATGTCGGCATTAGTGCGACATCGTCTTCCACTACCGTTATTAGTCCTGCTGGTGAATCCGTTGCTTCAACCGCTACCACCGTTACTCCTGTTTTTACCTCAGTAGCAAGTTCATCAGCGCCGTTAAATCTAACCTCCGGCTCATCTATATTCTCAACCTCAGCTACTTCACTTTCCTCTTCCACCACCACCATTACCGCTGTTTCACCTTCTAATTCCGTGTTTGGCCTTGGAGCTTCTACAAATGCTCAGCAACAAGTCGCAGTTACAACACCAACTTCACCGTCATTGTTTGGCGGTCCTCAGAATACAACCGCTTTTTTCACTCCCACAACTCCAACTTCATTTACCTCACAAGTCAAAGCTAATGAACCAGTGCCCGCTTTCAATTTCAACACAGCCCTTGCAAACTTGGGAGGACAGCCAAGTCAAAACAGTACACCAAGTAATCCATTTGGATCAGGTATCGGTGGTCAATCGCCACAAGTTGGCCTCTTTTCACCTAAGCCATCAGCCCAACCATTTGGTTCGCCCTCCTCCATGTCAGCTTCTTTCGCCTCTCAAGGACCCGGTGTCGCTCAAACAGGATTCGGTTCATTCTCTAATCAAAATCAACCTCGATTCGGTGCTCAGCCAACCTTTGGAGGAGCACCGGCTTTTGGAGCCCAACCAACTTTCGGAGGATCTCCAACATTTGGTTCAGGCCTTCCATTTGGTAAAACAGCTCAAAGTGCGACCTTAGGTTTCGGTCAATCCGCTGTCACTCCCGCTGCGGCTGCTGCTCCTTCTCAACCAGTGGTTCAACCAACAGCAACAGCATCTCCTTTCGGAGGGTAAGTACATATTTCCTTTTAAATCAAAGTAATTGTAACTTTCGGTACTTTCGTTTATGACCATGTGAAAATCTTAATTATTTTCTCTCTCTCTTTCTAATTTGGATTCAATAGATTTGCTAATTCGAATGCACCTTCATTCGGTGCCTTGGCATCTCAACAAGCACCGACCTTCGGCCAATTAGCGACCCAACAACCTCCAATCCAACAACAGCAGCAACAACAACAATCAACAGGTTCAATCTTTGGTGGATTCGGTGGTCAACCCGCTGCCCTCTCAACATCTCCATCTATTTTTGGCAATTCCTTTCCATCAGCTCCATCATTTGGTTCACCACAATTTTCCCAACGACGTCAATAATCAATCCAATCAACAAAAGAGAAACCAAAATGATTCAAATGAACAAGAAAATCTATCGAGTCAATTGTATTTACCAAACAAATTATTTTAATTAAATTTTTTCTATCACATTGATTTATTGAAAACAATTGACAATCCAATCAAAATTTCTTATAATAATTATCCCAAACAAACAATTGACTTGAAAAAAAAGGTAACAAGTTAAATTAGTTGACCAACAGAAATGATAATCAACAACAATTAACCATAAATTTTATTAAGAATTTTAATAGAAAATGTAAACAAATCAATTGGATGGAAATTGTTTTAAAAAGTTTGGACTTTCAATCAATGTATTACTATTATTTACCATGTTACCTCGTACCATCTTTATATTTGCATAGAAGTTGGACATCAACACCTCAACCACAATGGCATCTTATTGTCTCCGTAGGAATAATCATTGTTTCGACCTTGCTGAACATTTTGAGAAAATGTTCAAGGATGAAAGCATGGTTGATGAGACTTTATCCTGTGGTGATGGGATTATCAAGGCCCATAAGATGATCCTCTCAGTTTGTTCATCGTACTTCAAAAACATCTTTGTCAAATTTAATAACCCTTATCAATATCCTATTGTAATTATTAAGGATATGCCCTTTGAAGATCTGAGAGCAATTATTGAATTTATTTATCGAGGTGAAGTTACTGTTGCCCACAATAATTTGAAATCAGTGCTGCGAAGTGCAGAGGCTCTCAAAGTGAAAGGTTTAAGTGATGCTCGTCGGCAAATGGAAGGTGAGAAGTCAATGAGAAGAAAGAAAAGAAAACGGAGACGAAAATCTCGAAAGATGGGTCATGGTGATTCCAGTAAAACAGGAGAAATGGACGATGAAAATGGTGAACGTAATACAGGTTCAACTGATCGATCGGGAGCCGATAAGGGTAAAGATGAAAATACCACGGAAGATGATGATGCTACCGATTATTCAGAGGAAGACGATGACGATGATGAAACAGAGAAAGAAGATGATAATACTACAACAAGTATAATAATCACCGAAAGGGAATCTACTAATGCAGAAGGCGAAATTGAACCAGCTCGTCTTTTAGAACAGTCAATGATCACTGGTGATCAGGATAGAGCCAATAGTGAGGCGTCTAGATTTCAGGCTCCAATGATGCCACACCATAGACAAACACACCAACAACAGCAACAACTTTCATCGAGTATAAATCAAGCTATGAGAGGTCACTTTGGTGAAAGTAGTGGCCTATTAGCAGCAATGAACGTATCTCATTCAGCATCCTTGCCAAACAGTCAATCGCAATTAAATTCATCCCATAGCCATGTTCCTTCCTATGAAGCCAGTTCCCTATCGATACCTGGTCCAAGTACCATTTCACCAATTACACCTCGTCCTATTCATCATGGTCAAGAGCATAACTCTGGTTCATCACAAGTGAAATCAAGTGAATCATTCCAAGTGTTTCGCTTGGAAGGATAATTTTAATCGTCATCGACGCATTGCCCATAGTGAACTTAACTGTAAATAACATTTCATTTAGTCTTATTTACCCTTTTTACCTTTTATACCATAATTCACCTTGACCATCGCCATCACCACCACCACTACTATCACCATCCACCAATCTCATTCTTATTTGTTCCCTCTTCCTACATCTACCTCCTTCCCTTTCTCCTTCTCCACCACCACCACCACCACCACCTCCCTCTACCTCCCCCGAATACTTTCAATCTTACCTTCTTCCAAAGAGTATAGTGACTATACTCTTGTCAATTTTAAAAGAAAATGTAAACAAATCAATTGGATAGAAATTGTTTTAAAAAGTTTGGACTTTCAATCAATGAGTGGACATAAAGTTTCAAAGTTATGATTTGTTTTAATTGTTGATCATCATCTTAATTGTTAAGACATTAATCATCAATGGGTGATAGACCCTGAGGCTATTATCAAAATAAGCTACACTTTTTCTGATCGATTTTAATTGTCGTCATTTGATAATTTAATTATCACAATGGTGTGATTTAAATGAGCAGTGATGAAAAATTTATTTACCGAGCAAATTAACTAATCAATTGGCTCTAATTGCTTTGTTTGCACTAGATAAGGGCAGATATTCACTGATGAAGGTGAAAATGCCCTCTGGGCTAAAGACAATCAAATTAGAGACAAAACTAATTGTCTTTCATTGGAAAGTCAATTCGATCCGAATCAGCACTTAATCATATCATCAGAAATCTTACCATTAGGACAATTATTTTCCAATTAGAATTGCTTCTAAATCAATCAACAGAAATACTTTTTCTCAATCAAGTGATTAATGATTAACCTTTTCCGTTGAATATTTTGTTAATGGATCAATAATTAGGTAATAATTTCAACAGAGAATCTCAATGAGCATGAGCCATTGAGAGATTCATTCATTTTTCGTGAAGTGTTTTCATCTCGCGAAAATTTAATTCTTCAATTGGATGATTAATTTAATGATCACTCGTTGAATTAAATCGCAACAGTTTTCTTCATAATCAGTGATTAATCTCAATTGGATCAATTTAAATTGGAATAGTTTAAATTTTCTGTTCACCTTTTCACCGAAAACAATTTTTATATATCCACTTATAGATCCAAGGATTAGGACCCATTGTCCTTTGTTCATTGAAGGATTATCCTGATACTATGGGTGCATCTTTTTTCTGTGTCGTTTTTTTCACCCTCATCTGGGGTGGGGTGGGTTGGTTTGCACCTCGATTCATTCCTCCCACCGTCGATAAGCCAATTATCCACATGCTCCTCGTAATGACTGCCGTTTGCTGCTATTCAATGTGGTTAATCACTTACATGGCTCAGATGAATCCGTTGATTGGTCCACAAGTTTCATCGGTAACTCAACATATTATGCAAAGGGAATGGTCTTAATTGCAATCAAATGCACACACAGAATTAGATTGTTGTTAACAAATTCCTCCCAATTAATTAATCCTCTCTCTCTGCGTGCCTGTGTGTGTCTCTCTCTCTCCACCATTTTGTTTGTGTACATACAGTTAATCATCAACCTTTAGTTTAATTAATCTCCACGAATCTCTGCTCATCTTCATCATTTGGCATCAATTTTAATTTCCCTCATCACAATTTACTAATTACTTATGGATTTATTATTTTTTCCTCACATCTAATTAGCCTCATGTTTAGTTGCTACTAATTAATTGTTCTCAATCAGTCATTATCCTTTTTTCTGTCTCATCATTTTCATTGTATTTAATTTGAATTTGGTTTGAACATCTTCAGCTGATTAATTGGTTGATCAGTTAATCAAAATATTGACAATTAACTGTCAATTCAAAATGATGTATATATAAACTTTAATCAACTCGAAAAATATTAAACAGAAAATATTAATATTATATTAGTTGTAATTCTAGAATTATTTTATTGTATTATTATTTTGTTTTGACAATAATTTACCATTGAGATAATTAACAAATTACAATTACAATTTTGTAAAAAGAGTTGAAAGAGTTAATTTAATTTGGAAATTTGATTAATCGATTGTTCAAATGTATGGAAATAAATTAATAATAATGATAGAAAAATGTTCATCTCAATCAGTGAATTGATTTGAGATCAAAATTAATTAGAAAACAAAGATTAACCTTAATCATTTTCTTTTGTTAATTAATCGAATCACGTTTTCATTGAGGTAGTTTTACTTTCTGATTGGAAGTAATTAGTGACTGATTGTTGGAAATTGTAGAAGGAGAGACAATTAACTGCGATGAATTTTTAGTAAACAAGGTTGTCGAATTTGATTTAAGTTCTAAAAGATCGACTCGTTTACTTCGAGTTGAATTTTCTGACCTTTCTAAAGCCGATGGAAGGAATCGTGAAAAAAGGCCACCATTACCACCGAAAATGGATGATCCCCCATTCCCAACCGCTCCACCAAGTCCACTTCGAGTACTTGAAACGGGCTGTTCTTCAACTTCGACCACAAGTGCACCATTGGGTCTAACGTATCGCCGACGGACAACAAGTGACTTACGAGTGGACGAAGTGGACGATGACCCATACCGATTAAAAAGCGGAACTCCAGGTAAGGTTGGCACGGGAATCGCCGGTTGAACGGGCTCGTCGTCCAGGTAATCGGGTTCACAGGAACAACACTCGTTACATGGACAACAACCCGATGGATTGAGTAGGCCAAACGGCTTATTGAACAGCGGCTGCTTATGATAAGATCGAGATCGACCCGTGACACTTGATTGTTGATGATTACCTGATGATGATGATGATGATGATTGGACTAATTGTACCCGTAAATAAATCCCAATCAACAGCAACAATTGGCAGTTCATCGTTAATTCAGTGTTAATTGTTAATTAGAATGTAACTGGCACCGGTTTAAACTAAAAACATTAAAAAAAAAAGTTGAACAATTTAACTTGATTAAAACACTTAATCAACTTTACACTTACAAGTGAAAATCACTAATGAAAAATTTAGTTGATTAAATTGTTTCAAATAATTTTAATTAAAGGAAATCACAAAAATCCAATTGATTCAATTTCATCACAATCAACAAAAAAAATCTCGTTCCAATTTGTGATTAATTAATTCCCGAAAAATTAAATAATATACAATAATTAATCATTCTCATTGTCTAGTTGAAACAATTTGATTAATTCAATTGTTCATTCATTACAATTATCATCCTATTTAATTTGTTACCTCATGGAAAATTAAAGAGTACAATTAACACTAATCACTTGATTGTAATAATTTTGCAATTGTTTACTAATTAAACTATTCATTGGTCACTCAAAAGTTAATCATTAACAATTAAAATGGTTTAACAGATTAACAGTTGAATTATCAAAATGAGTCTATGGAAACAATTAAAACTAATTGTTAAGTAATAAAACTTTTCCTCATTCAATTAACTTTCTCTTCCTGTCTGAAGATCAGTTACTGATTAATTGTTTCAACATTTTTCGTTAATGATAACGAAAAAATTGCCGTTAATTGTTATACAACAATTAAAAGGAAAATGTAATTTCTCTTATTAATCACCAGGAAAAGAAATGAATCAACAATTATAAAGGTGAAAGTGAAAGGTGAAATTTTATATCTACAATTTAACCTTGGATGAAAATTAATGGGTTAATTAATGATGATATAATGATTCGAGTTAACTAATTAAGTCAACTAGACATATAATACAGCTCACATTGAGAGGATTTGACATAATGTAACTTTAAAAGGGTTAATCCATTTTAGATTAATGTTAACCTAATGTTATGGTTTATGTTTTGCCAAAGTTTGAAAGGGTTTGATTTTTGATGATGATTACGTGATGATTACTTTTCCAACATCATCGATCCATTGCAATTTGTGAGGTATCCTTGTTTAAATTTACATAGAATTTCATGTTTCTTTTTGATTGTAATTAGTCAAAGTGATTTTTGAACGGCCAAAGTTTTGCTGGTTACTTGATTCCATTGTATATAAATTTAGGTGTTTGTATCGTGTTGATTAAGATTATATCATAATTATCATCAGTAGCAAACGAAATAACAATGGTTAAAATTTGTCAATTTGATTATCAATTAAGTTAACTCATAATCATTACATCAGGTAAACTGTTTGCTTAAATCCTCTGGTCTCTCTTGATTGTTTCCTTCTTGTCAAAGATTTAGTTTTTTTTTGTTATATGTTCAAAGTTGGAGTATTTCAATTTGATTGATTAAACTAGATTATGGATTAATTGAGTTGGATAATTAATCTTGAATGAGGTTAATTTTAAAATTGTTCAATTTGTCTAAGTTTTTGTCATCTCCTTCAAGCATCTCGTTTCCAAAATTTCATATGTTTAAAAGGGTAAATCCAATAGATTATTGTGTAAATCCGATGCTAATAATTTCAAATTATCAATGAAAGATGATGATGGATTTTGGTTACAATGTAATTTGTGCCTTTGGTGTTTACATTTGTATCTGCGTTCCTGACGTTTGGTTTGACAGTTAATTGACTTTTACCATTGAGACTTGATTTCTGATGTGGAGAGAGAGAGAGAGAAAGAGGAGAGACAGTGGGAGAGAGTAAAAGGTAGCCAGGAAAGAGAAATTTAGAGAGAAAAACTGTCAAATCACATACAAAGCAATTCTCACTTAATTACACCAATGGTTAAAAGGTGAATTTAAAAGTAATGCTTGGAATTAACGAGATAGGAAAAGAAGAAGAGGAAAGAAGTCACAAAGTGAAGTAAATTACGGTAATGAGGCGAAAAGCTATAAAACATGAAAAACGGGATTAGGAACGAGAAGGGTAAAAGGTAACGATGATGGTGATTAGGTGGATGTAGAAAAACATAAGACTGAATCATCGTTAACAATTAACACACAGAGAAAAAGGGTTATAGAGGGAGAGTGAGAGAAAAAAAGTTATGAGAATTAAAATATTGTGTTATATATATAAAATGAAAACGAAAGAGGTTGTGGTGTTAATTTGCACGGATTAGGATTAAGAATTTCTATTCGATAGAAATTCTGTTGCTGGTTGTTTATATCGTTTAAAGGTAACATTTCAAAAAGAAATGTATGTTGAGAAGCTTTTAGAATATATAAATATTTTTCTTTGCGATTTTCTTTTTTGGTTGCGAAATGTTAGAGAAAGGGAGAGAGCGATAAAGTTGAATCGAAACCAGAATTATTATTGAACAAAGATTCTAAAACTTCCTGGATTAAAGAATCATAGAATCAGCAGTAGATTAGAAATTAACGAAACTCGAAAACTTGAGTAGATTGTTCATTGACATGTTTAAGAATAAGCGATTGGTACCTGGATTTTAAATCAAATAGAAAAAAAGAGAGAAAATCAATTAGTTAATTTATGATACGTTATCTTGTTTTTTAAATTACTAATTTGATGAACTTACATCTCAGATGACCGATGGTAGTAATATCCTTCAATCAACTGAGTTTTCTTATTGAAGCAAATATAATAGAATCCGGCAAAACTGGCACCATTAATTTCTTTGATTGTGTGATCGGGTACGAGAAAATGCTCCTTCCATCTCATGAACATACAATCAAGATTTTCCAATTGATCATAATCAAAGTGATCAGAGTTGAAATTTTTAGCAAAATTTTCAGTAAAAGGTTGAAATTTGGACCAATGTTTCTTGTCAACTTCTTCATCGGCTTCCCATTTACGGGTAAGGAAAGGATATCGTCTAGAAATTATTTCTCCATGGAAGAAAGTTGTCATGGTTGGAAACTCTTCTGTTAAACCTGAACAACAACAACAACAAAGAAGAGAAAACAAGAATTAGTAATTATTATTATTAGAAGAAAAGTCTGAAAATTCAGATTAGAAAAGAGCAAGAGTGTATTGAGAATAGCAAATAATAGTAACAAGATTTAGATAATTTAATGAAGGAAAAGAAGGAGAGAAAGTAATCAGTTAAATCTTGACAAGCTAATTGAAGGTATTATCAGTGATTCTACTCAAAACAAAGAGAAAACCCTGAGAGAGAAAAAAGAAAGAAAGAAAAATGTTCAATTGTACATCTAAAAGGTTAGACTGATGGGAATCCTTTTCTTCAGAGAACTTCAGTAAATCTGTAAGAGCTACAATTCAATCAATGGATTAAAGAAAAAGAGAGAGAGAGAGAGAGAAAGATTAGTAAGAGAACATTAAATTGAAAAACTGTGATGATTCATTAAGATGCAATTTAAAAGCTAAAGATGAACATCTAAAAATATCTTTTTCCTTTACTCCTTAACTGATACTTTCAACACCTTTAGAGTTTAAAGATTTTTGAAGAAAAAAAAATTCTCGCTATTTGGATTAGGATTTAAGTAGCTAAACAACAACACCAACAACAGGTAATCTTGAGATATTTTTGGGATTAAGATTAACACTTTTGCATACCCATTATCTTAAGGTAACCACAAAGGTAGGAATTTGCTTTATCCACATGTTGTAATATAACTTCAACATCATATGAGTTTCCTTTTGATTTTTGATGGCCTGCAAATTTTGATCCATTGTAAAGAAGTGATTGATTAATACCCGACATCTGAGAATGGGCTAATAATGGTGGACCAATGAGATGAAATTTTTTAGATAAAGATGAAGATGATTTGTTAGAAGTAACATTTCCACCATTTTCTTGATTTGAATTAATGGTATCCGATGAATCTTCAATTGAGTCAAGAGACATGAATTTATTATCCTTTTCATCATCACAGTTTTCGGTAACTAAAATTCCATCGCTACTGGAACGGCGTCTTTTCTCTTCAGAACAACAAGCAGTTGATTCTACCATTGATTGACCGTTTGTACCAGAATAATTACCATGACCCAATGAAGAAGGTTCACCAGATCGATTATTTCCACCAACACCACCGACAAGACCACCAAGACCAAGAACAACACCAACTCTTATTGGAGGTGAATCTTCACGATCCAAATTAATGGTACTACCTGAATTAGAATGAGAACCACCTAAATCACATCTAACGGGCATCTCAGGCTTAACCGAAGATTCCCGGTCCGTGGTAGTCACAGTGGACACAAGATTGAGATGCACAGTGATTATGATGCCGGAACAGTGAGAGAGAGAGAGAGTCAAGAAAATAACAAAGAAAATAGAAGAAGATGATCAAGAGTTACAAATGAGAGAGAAGAAAATAAAATAGAAGGAGAAAAAAGGACGTCACAAGAGAAGAAGAGAGTAAGGGAAGAGTAGAAAGAGAGATAAAAAGAGATAAAAAGAGAGAGAGATAGAGAGAGAGAACAAAAAGAGAATAAAAAGGAAACCGTAGTAGAGATGAAAATGGTTTTTACGGTTAGAAGAAAAAGAGAACTTGATGGTCAATTAAAACTAATCACCAGGTGAAATTACACCGATTGTTGAACAATAATTGGAGATAAATTAGATCACATCACCAATTCAGTAAGAAATGAATGAATAATTATCCATTTACAGACAATAACAAACAGAATAAAATTCAAGACGAGAGTTAATCCAACTGCAGCTTAAATCAACATTTCTCTTTCTCTTCAAGAATTAGTGAGTAGACTCAGTGAAAAAAAAAGAAAGAGAAGACAAGGGAGAAAGGAAAGAAACACAGAGAAAAAAAGAAAGAAAGAAAGAGATGAAGACAAAAAGATCCAAAAGGCGAAATAAAAACTACGCTTTAAATGTAAAAGCGGCTTTAGAATTAAATGTAAAAGAGAAAACAATTTAAATTCTATTCTCTTCTTCACTTCTGGACTTGGGTCATTCCTTTTGTTTTCACCATTCGCTGATAATAATTTATCATAGAATTTGACAAATTAACACTAATTAACAATTCACTGGAGTTTACAGATAACAACAATTAATTAAATTACCCCAACAAGTGTTTTCTTTATATCAAAGTGCCAAAGGAGCAACAACAAAACCAAAAAGGATAAAGAAACAAACAATTGAATTAATTGTCTTAATCGTTGAAATTAAATTTGTCACTGGTTAATCTTCAATCAATTGATTAGCACTTTCGTTTAAACGGTCAACTGAACTTTCAACTTGAACCTCATCATTAGACTAAATTGTTGTTCGTTAAAATCAATCGATTCTCTTAATCAATCTTCTTGTAAATGTTTACAAATTTAAAGAAAAAGGTTAAAGACCAAAGTGAACAAAAAGAATAGAAAATGTAATTTAAACTTGGCGCCTTTTCAGTCGATAACAACATCAATTGGTAACTATGACCAAACCTATTGGATGGAAAGTCAGTTAATTGAATTGGTGATACTTTGGAAATTTGTGTTCACAATTTATCATCTACATTGCGAATGTTATTGTTTTTAATTTAGTTAATTAATTTAATTCATTTGGTTGACTTGATTAGTTTGTTAGAAAACGAAAAAGAAAAACAATTAACTATCGATATTCTTTCGCTGGTATCGATATTATAAAGAATCGATAGCGATATTTTCGCCCATCCCTTAAATTTAATCAATCGTTCATTTACTTTGCTTGTGATCTTTTTAATTCTATTTTTACATTTAATTAATGAGAATATTGTTATTGAATATATTGTCTTTTATTAGTTAAACTATGTCTGGGGACATAAACGATGCTGTTTGTAACATTAAAGTGGTTTGTAGGTTCAGGCCACTCAACGAGAATGAAGTGAAAGCTGGTTCTGCATTTATTGTTAAATATCCAGCTCATAATGAAGGTTGTGTTTCAATCGGGGTAAGTATTTGTTTTATTTAATTTAATTCTATTCTCTTTGGTTAATTTCCTCACAAAATGTATCAGTTTAGTGAATTCACATTCTACCTAATTGAGTACCAATATTCTCTTATCCTAACTCTCCATTTCTCTTAGAATATTCTCTCGGACCTTTGCTTGGATTTTTTTTTTATTCTTCTATCTTTTCCAAACAAAAATTTATTATATGACAATAATCTTGACACAACATGATTGCTAACTATTTTTTTTTCTTCTCTTTCTTTTTCACTTCGCATCACACCAATGCGCTTGACTTGTATTTGGAATATAACAAATTTCGGTACCAACATTGCCACGACTACCTTTACACCTTTACTCTGTCCGTGTATTAATCACCTTTTGGATTGATCTAAACAATGGCAATTATTGGCTTTCTCAGGGTAAAAATTACGTCTTCGATAAAGTGTTCAAACCAAACGCTACACAAGATACAGTTTATGAAGAAGCTGCTAAAACTATTGTCAAAGATGTTCTCATGGGTTATAATGGAACAATATTTGCCTATGGGCAAACATCTTCTGGTAAAACTCATACCATGGAAGGTGTTCTCGGAGATCCTAAACTCCAAGGAATTATTCCAAGAATTGTCGATGACATTTTCAACCACATCTATTCAATGGACGAAAACATTGAGTTCCACATTAAGGTTAATACAACGTTATAATTAGTCTACTACTTTAACAATTGAATTTCTCATACTTAACTGGATTATTTTTCTGTTGCAGGTTTCATATTTTGAAATCTATCTTGATAAGATAAGAGATCTCTTAGATGGTGAGTTGAGTTCAATTCAATTCAATTCTATTGATTCAACTTTATTGGCCTAAATTGTTGTAACTTTTTTTTTCTTCTTCTATTCTATTCTATTGTTATAGTTTCTAAGACCAATTTGTCAGTGCATGAAGATAAAAATCGTGTCCCATTCGTTAAAGGAGCCACCGAGAGGTTTGTCACTTGTCCTGAGGAAGTTATGGAAGTAATTGACGAAGGAAAATCAAATCGACACATCGCTGTTACAAGTATGTTTATCATTCCATCGGAAGATTCACAATTAAATCTATCATCTTTTTTTTTCTTTTACTATCTTCTCATTTCTACAGATATGAATGAACATTCTAGTAGAAGCCATTCTGTCTTTTTAATCAATGTTAAACAAGAAAACCAGGAAAATCAAAAGAAATTAACTGGTAAACTCTATCTGGTTGACTTAGCTGGTTCAGAGAAAGTTAGTAAAACTGGAGCTGAGGGAATGGTTTTGGATGAAGCGAAAAATATAAACAAGTCATTGTCGGCTCTTGGTAATGTTATTTCCGCCTTAGCTGATGGCAATGTAAGTATATTGTAGTGATCTACGAAATGTGGCCTATTTACTTTCAACATTTAAAATTGATGATGTCATTAGCTGGTTTACTGATCTTTGATTTTGAGATCAAAAATATGCTTATTCTTTATTTAAATACTTTTTTTTCATTTCATTTTTCATCGTAGAAATCACATATTCCGTACCGAGATAGTAAACTGACCAGGATACTCCAAGAATCTTTAGGAGGAAACTCTAGAACTACCATTATAATTTGCTGTTCTCCAGCCTCATTTAATGAGATGGAAACCAAATCAACACTCGAATTTGGTAAAAGAGCTAAAACAATTACTAATGTTGTTGTTGTAAATGAAGAACTGACCGCAGAAGAATGGAAAAGACGATGGGAAAAAGAAAGAGAAAAAGTAACTAAGCTTAAAAACTATGTAAACCGTGTCGAGATGGAATTGAATCGTTGGCGCATCGGAGACGCTGTGCCTTCAGACGAACAGGCGAGTTTCAAAGATTTGGAATCAAGTACTCTCAGTTTATCTGAGTCAGTACAAAACCTCAGTTCTGTTGCTAATACCCCGTTGACCGGAGCCTTTTCAGCCGCAGTTGAGCCCATTTCCAATGAAGAAAGAATGAAATTCGAAGAGGAAAGAACTCGACTTTATGCTCAACTTGACGAAAAAGATGACGAACTTGATAAGCAAAGCCAAATGATCGAGAAGTTAAAAGAACAAATTCTCGAACAAGAAGAGCTAATCGGCAACTGTAGACGGGATAATGAATCACTCCAACATGAAATTAACAAACTTCAACAAGAGAATGAATCATCAAAAGAAGAAGTGAAAGAAGTGTTACAAGCTTTAGAGGAATTAGCAGTCAATTATGATCAGAAAAGTCAAGAAGTGGAAAACAAGAATCGTGAATTCGAAACATTGAATGAAGATTTGAATACTAAACTGATGGCCTTAAATACTGCCAAATCTGAACTCCAACAAATGAAGGAAAACAACACCCACATGAGAAGAAGGATCAATGAAATGTTGAGTAACCTGTTGAAAGATTTATATGAAATTGGTGTTGTGTTAGGTACCAGTGCAACAGCTCCTAGTCTAAAGGATGCCGGAGATAATCTGACTTCTGCAAAGATCGAAGACGAATTTACAGTTGCTCGTCTTTTCATAACCAAAATGAAATCGGAAGTAAAAGCGTTAGCATCTAAATGTAATCAAATGGAAAGTTTCCAAAACGAATGTAACAAGAAGATAGAGCTAAACGAAAAGGAATTGACCGAATGTCGTTTGTTAATTAGTCAATATGAGGCCAAAATGAGCTCATTACAAGATTCAATGAAAGACATTGAAAATAAGAAACGTTCATTGGAAGAAATTGTCGATCAATTAGAAGAAGAGTGCGCTAAACTGCGAGCTGCTGATGAGATGCACAAAATGGCTCACGAAGAAAAGGAAAAGGAAAAAGATTCAGCAGAAAACTTGAAGACTGCACTAGAAGAGCAACTAGAGAAACACCGAGAAACTCACCAAAAACAATTATCTGCACTGAGGGACGAAATTGCTGAGAAACAAGGACAAATTGACCAACTTCGTGACCATAATCAAAAACTATCGCTGGCTCAAGAAAGGTTACAACAAGAATATGATAAACTGAAAGCAGAAGAGCAAGAAAAGAGTTCGAGACTCAATGAACTGATTATATTAAGTGATAGACGGGAACAAGCAAGACAAGATCTCAAAGGACTAGAGGAAACAGTTGCTAAAGAGCTACAAACTTTAAATAATCTTCGAAAAATGTTTGTAGCTGATTTACAAAGTCGAGTCAAAAAATCAGCCTTAAACGATGACGACGAGAATATCGGTGGTTCTCTAGCGCAAAAGCAGAAAATAGCGTTCTTGGAAAACAATTTAGATCAATTAACAAAAGTTCACAAACAATTGGTTCGAGATAATGCTGATCTTAGGTGCGAATTACCTAAATTGGAGAAGAGACTTCGCACTACTCATGAGCGCGTCAAGGCCCTTGAAGCAGCTCTGAAAGAAGCTAAAGAGTTGGCACTTCGGGACAGAAGACGATATCTTTTCGAATTAGATAGAATTAAAGAGGCCGTTCGAACCAAAAATCTATCAAGACGAGGACATGCTCCACAAATAGGTGAGTTTTTATTGATAGTTTTAGTTTGTCGGCAAAAGTAATTAACTGAATATTTTTAATTATTCTCGCAGTTAAACCTATTCGAGCTGGTCAACAACCAACTCATCAAACTATCGGAGGAACTACAGTTGCCCGAGGAATAGTCACTGGAAGAAATCGCAATGTTAATAATCCGGAGTAAATGAAATTTGTCTAAAGAAAAAATCATCGACAAGATAAAATATAATTTAATCTAATTTTTGTCTTTAATTAATGATAATGATAATCAATTTTAACATTTCATCAACAGCGACAAGTAAAATTCAATTTTATCAGCGATGAAAAACAATTTTCATTTTCTATCTCATTTTCTGATCTTCCTTTCAAAAATCATTTCATGGTAATAGATGAAAATATAATTGGTTAAGATCAACTCTGGTTGATTGTCTATCATTGAAAATTAACCAAATATTATTGATATGAAAAAACAATTGAAACTGATCAATTGATAAGACACAATACTCGAGATGAGAATAGTCAATAAGGTTGACAAATTATGGTGAGAAATGAGATCTAATTAGAATCTTTCATAATCAATTCTAAGAATCAAAGTTTCGATGCTATTGAACTAAATGTTTATCGAGTACAAAGTGTACAAAGTATCTTTTTCAATTCCTTACGATTCAATCAGACTGACCAGTGGTCACTCAACTAGAATCAAATTTTGCATTTATCTTTGAATCCTTATTAGTAGCTCATAATGAAGGTCGTGTTTCTATCGAGGTTTGTACTTATCTTATGCTCTTTGGTTATTTTCTGTAATCTATTGAAATTAGTTAGTTCATGATGATTATCGATTTGCACTTTTGCCTCCAGGCCACTTCCTAAATGCGTTACACCTTCAGTTTCCTCTTTGCGCTTAATTGAAGGGATGATCGGTATTTTTTCCAAATTTTTTTGTCTATTTGCAGGAAAATGATCTTCTCAAAGTTATTATCAACTCGACACAATGTCCGGTGGTTTCCTCTCCTTGGAATCGCAGCACTAAAGTTATTGGATCTTTCGTTAATTCCCACATGAAATATTTCTTCCTCTCTTCGATTCTCTAAAATTATCTATGATTGTATCTGTCTAACAAGAAAATCAGCACCATCATGGAAAATTGTTTGATTCAGAATTTCATCAATAAGAGATCAGAAATATTCTTTAACCCAACCAAATGAAAAGAGCTGAGAATCTACTTAAGATTCTGAAACAGTTCAAATATTCAGCGCGACCAATTGCCTTTATTATCAATTATGTTATCAATCTCCCTATTGAGATTAATTGTCATGATAGTTCACCTGAATTTCAACCTGTAATATTTCAAGGTTAAGTTAAGAAAATTCAATTTTTTTATTAATTAACAAAAATTCTCAATCATTGATTGTCCATGATAATGTTCATCTTGAAGAGAAAATTCATCGTTCTCAAGTCTCTCACTCTTTTCATTTCTCTATCGAGACTTTCACTTACATGCCCTTCACTCAAATCAAACCAAATCGAACCCTTAGTCCAGTGACTACACGTTGAGTCTCCAATCGAGCCCTCAGGCGATTCCGAAGTCTAATGAACAAAGAACTATCCAGATGGCGTCGTTTCTCTCGCTTCTCTTTGCTGCCATCTATTAGCTCAGGTTGAGTTCTTTTGTTGGAAAAATGATCTAACAGTTGTCTCTCTCTCTCTCTCTCTCTCTCTCTCTCTCTCTCTTCTCGTCTTGTATTCAGTTCTCAGGTGAGTGAGTCATGGAAAAGTGTTTTTATTCTTGACATCAATTAATCTTTATCTTTATTAGTATTTATACAAATTCTATATCTGTTTGAATGTTTACACTTGATTTTACATTTTCTTCGTCTTCCCCATCATATCATCAACATGGATTTTAGTAACAACGACTTGTGTAATAGTAATTCTAGTGAGAAAGGTGATTATCATGAGCGATCATCATCTCCAAGTGAACGGGAATCCGTCTCATTACCTCCTCTCAATGCAATGGCTTTTACTATTCCTTTAGATGAGCCTAAAGTTAAATGGAAAGGTAAAAGTTTCAGTATCAAAGATGCTATAAGAAAATTTGCCCCTCCGAAACCCGATACCATTGAGAAACAACGTCCAGTTAAATTGAAATCAAGTGATACAGAAAAAATTGTCTCCAAATCAAAGGATAAGAAAAAAGATGACAAAGGAAAATTACCAAAAGAACCTGAAGGTCAAGTTAGTGATAGTGCTTCTTATTTGATTCAGAGAATGTTAAATGATGAATCTCAACAGTTGCAATGGTAAATTTGTTTGTTCTATTGGTTTTTATATTTTTGTCTTATCACATTACCCAAATAACACGGAATTAATTTGTTTCTTTTTCCATAGTGATGATGATCTGGACAATGAGAACACCGAAGACAATGAAAGATCTGAGCTGAAAAGATCGGACAGTAAACGGAAAACGCGAAACTCTGATAGTAGTGGAAAAAGATGTTCATCGATTAATGGTTGTGCTGGTGAAAAAGATTCTGGTGTTTGTGATGATAAAAGTGAATCGGGAACTTACACTTTAGATAAAAATGATCCTGTTGTTGAAGAAGCGAGAAAAAGGATTGACCAAGTATTTGGTGTTCCAAGTGATTCAGAAGGACCTTTTCCGTCCCCGACAAGTTTGGACCAAGTAAAATCGTCTTTAGCCTCAATCACTGCTCTCAAATCTATTCTTTCATCTTCGAAAACTGATGTTAATATGTACAGCTCATCAACGACAATTAATCGATCATTGAATGATCACCGACGTCAATCAGACTCTAAACCTCCTCTAATCAGTTCAAGTTATTTAAATTCGCGGACTCATGCGAGTTGCCCTTCGAGTAATCCTGGCAGTGATAGTGAATCAAACAGTTATCCTATTAAACCACAGCGAAAGCAAAAGTATTTATCCCAAGATAATGATACCAATACGAAAGATGAGTGTTCCATGTGGACTCGGAGAGATTCAATGGATCGCAGTTCCATCAGGAGCCGAACCAATTCTTTCACCAAGAGATGTTCAAAATCTCCTTCATCATCTCCATCACCTTCACCAATATCAAAAGCAACACCATCAACAACAGTCCCAATCTCACCTTTGAAAAGCTACACAACAGGATCATCAACTAATCTTGTAAATCAGAGACTCGGCCGATCTCATAGTAGCCCCAGAAATGGTCCTGATCTTGATCTCGGTGATTGTGATGATACAAGCAGCTTAAAATCTGAAGCATCGAATGCATCGACTACACCAAGTTCGGGCGGTGGAAAGGGTAAAAATTGTGATTCAAATTCCAATAAAGCTTCTTCCATGCGTTTTAATCGAGCTTTCGCCCTGAGAAGAGCTAAACTTGGTATGGATACTCTTGGTGTTCCACTTAATCTTACAGCTGAACGACAAGCTCATCATTCCTCCATCTTGGAATCTCGAAGTAACCCAAGATCTACTCCTAGTCCTACATTCAATCGTAGTGACGGAGGAAGATTCAGTCTAAGGTATGAATCAGGAATAACCCTATTATCTCCCTATAAGGAAGACAGTTGTTTAAATGAACTGAGTGAGAAAGGAGAGAGAGAGAGAGAAACAAGAATAACATTGAGTTGGCAATTTCGGTTGGTAATCCTTTCCTGAAGTGACAAACTTTTAGATTGTCAATGACCTAACAGGTAGATTCACTTTTTATAATCGGATTTCTGTTAATTGTTCCGAAAGTAAAGGAGAGAATCTATTGAATAGCTGAACTTAGTTTATGTTCCTGATTCATTTGTAATCAGCTTTTTCCATAAAATCATCACAATGAGAAACATAATCAACAGAGAAAACTTATTTCAATTTATCTTTTATGATTTTCTATTTGATTTCAATAATGAGAAAATTGTAATCAAACAATAACAATTGATAACATTCAATGTCGATGTTGAAATTATCTCAATAGAAAATGAATTTTATCTAATCATCGTAACAATTATCATGACAAGTCTTTTATGAGTTGTCATGAAAAATTAAAATTAGAATCATTTAAATTGTTTATATTCAGTTGGTAACTTAAATTGTTGCATTATAATTAAATGTGAAGACAATTGGGTGAAAGAGTAATTAATGTAATTGTTAACAACAATAGAGAGATATGAAGATCGAGAGTGAAAAAAGTGATTTAATTGGGATGATCTCTTAATTTTTTACTTAAATCATTTCCCAATTGTCTTTGCCAAACCTTCAACATCAACAACAATCTACAACAATCAACAACAACTAAGATATTCCATCAAGTGTAAAGAATAAGAAAAATACAAAAAGTAAACATTTCATGAAATCAAATGATTTACTCGTTTTTTTCTGATTATCAACCTAAAGCCCGTCAATCAATTGTTGTTTACATGATTGTTATTGTAATGATCAATTTCATTTAATTATTTTCATCTTAAATCATGAACATAATGAGAGGTGGATGTTTACAATTCGCATTTTAATTATCTATCATGTCCACCCTTTCGAAAAGCTTAATTATCTTTGAATATTTCATTTCATTTCTTTATTATTTTCTTTTCCATGTCAACAATTTAAAATAGCAATTCAACTGACTACTATTGCATTTAATTCAATGATTAAATTGCAAGTTGATTGAGAAAGTAAATTATCATCTAATTAAATTTCCAAAAAAACCAGTTTATCAAGCGAGTCTTTCCAATCCGATTTACCTTGGATTTATCAGTTTCCGTTCAATTTACTGTAAATTTTGACACTTTTTTACCTGGACCACGAAGTTGTTACCTTAATTGTCTTAATTGTTTACATTGAGAGTTCTCTCTCAATGCTGATTTGATTCTGTAAAATTAGATGCAAATCTTAACCATTTGGCAATCGACTTGCTTACCTGTCCATTGTATTAACTGATTTACCTGTTGATTACTGAACTCAATTTAATCAGCTTTCCAATCGTCTTTCATTGTTTTATTAACTTAATTAGTAATCAAATACTTGTACTTGACAGTTAATCAGAATAAATCATGATTAGTTAATCGTTTGAAAACCTGGAACAGACTTAAACGAAGGTCAATTAACTTGAAGTTTCAATAACATTTTATTGTTTCCTTAATTGTTGTTGATAATTTGCATTGGAATTGTTATTGTATGAGGAGATAATTTAGTTTAGAAATTTAATGTTACCAACATTTTATCAATTAGTTGATTGTTTGAACAATTAAAGTAACTGTATTCCATGTTAATAGCTAATTCACTAATCAATTTTTCTTAATTTTAAAAAATGAAAAAAGTGACAATTTAAATTGTCGACTGATTTGATTGTTGTTGACAGTTGAACAACTTGTTGTAGCTCTTTAATTGTAAAAAAAAATAAATTGTCGCAAATGAAATGATCAACAATTAACAATTTTGCTTTAGTTGATTTGTTTCATTTACAAGTGATTGACAATCACAATTAATTAACTTCCACAACAGGTCAATTTAAATGTTTCTAATTATTAACAGAAAAGTAAAAGTTTCAAATTGGTTAATTGCTAATCAATATTATCAATCAATTGTTATTTAAATGATGATAACCAAGTCACAATTAAACAATCAACCAAATCCAGAATAGAGTAACAATCAAGATTGAAATCGTGATCACAATTAATACAGTTGACTAACAATCTTGATTACTTATTCACAATCAACTGTTCTAATGATTTAACTATTAATATTTAACTTGAGCGAAAATATTTTTAACTTAATTACTTATTCACAATTTAAATTTTTAATTCTATTTAAATCAAATTATTTACTTTAGATTTTTTTTCTGGTAACAACAATTATATCAATTGAACAATAATTATTGATTTTGATGAAAAGTGAACGTTAATTTTTTATCCAATTTCCAGCAATTTAGTTATTGATTTAATTGCGATGATAATTTTTCCACCATTTCAATTAACATCATTAGTTGATATAATTAGATTTCTATAACTATTCAACTTATCAGGTATATATTATATATATAAATTGATGATTACAATCAAGCCAAGAATCAATCAGCTATTAATATTAATTGTACTTCCGTTTGCATTTCAAATCAATTAATTGTTGATGCAAAAAATCAGAGTGAAAGCAAAACAGAAAAGATTTGATCAATCAACTATGATTAGCAAATTGTAGTAAAATCAATTGTACATGAGTATTTACAATCACGTAAATATAATAGGGTTTTGTGTTGATTCATTTAAAACAAAACAATTAAAGTTGAAGGTGAGTTAATTGTTACCTAATTAATTAAGTTGAATAAGCAATTTAAATGGCTCGTAAACAATGAAATTAACAAACAACAAACTCACATAGTTGATACTCTTGTCCCATTGACCATGAGATGCTCAATCAACTTATCGTTTCAATGATCACCCTGTAGGAGCTGAAAAAACAGAGAAATGAGTTTACAGTAGTAAAAGTTTATCCCGAGCTACAGGTAATCAGTAAATTATATCGCATTGACCTGTAACAGGTAATGTTCATTGAACCGATATTCCTCTTGGTGATTAACTTTTTTTTTCTCATTTTCCATGATAAAAGATGAACTTTTTTTTTCAGATTATCCAGTCAATGGAACTTTAAATCTCTTCTTGTCTTAATCCAAATAACAAAGTTTTTCTCATGTTAATCTTAATCCTTATTCTGAATCTGAATCACCAACACCATGAAGGAGGTTTTTTTTTCAGGGTGAAATGATTCACTCATTATGAATAACTATTGATAATTATTGATGTAAACAAAATGATAACTTGAAATAATCAAGTAAACGGCCCAACAAATTGCAATAATAATATTTACCGTTATATTATATTGTAAATACAATTGAATTTTTTGTTTCACTTTTGTGGTCCCATCTTGATTTTAACTAAATTCAAGTTAATCAATTTGGTGGATTAACTTGTTTCTATTAATATATTTAAACTTGGCTTCAATGATTATCATTACAATGAGTATCATCATCTTTAATCATAAGGGGTTGTGATTGATGATTAACACAATGTACGTTACTTTTTAAAGTTAATCTAATCTTGTCTTCACCTTAAATTGATAATTGATTATTACGAATCAATTAAATGATTGCAACTGGAAACAAGTGTGTGAAATGGTTAGTTAATGATGAACCTTATCTAACAAGGACCGTTAACAATTTAGGTCAACATTTAGGACAATTTACTAACTTGCATTATAATTAACTTGATTGTTGAACAACAAATACTTTTTCATATAATAACAATATAATCATTGGATTGACCGATTCACCGTCAGGTCAATTTAATGATGATCATTAATATCGATTGTTAGGTTTAATCATTTGGAGTGATTCTTGTAAATTTAGTTAGTTAACTTTCTAGAAAGTTAATTTTCTAGGTTAGTGGTGTCTCAAGATTTCACTAATCTGTTACTTGACATGATTGGAATTAAGCCAAATTGTAATTGAAATTGTTTATTATCGCAATTAGTACTTGATAAACTACTAAATATGTGATTATATTTAGATGTTTGTTTATTTTTTTGGAGGTTACTTGTTGAAAATTATCAACTTTCGCGTGATTAGTGTTGATAATCAACCTTAATCAACATCAGAACCATATTCACATGCTAATAATCAGTGAACAATTAACCATTCACACCCTTTCCAATTGTTTCACCTTAATCATCTTTATATTGTTTATCACTTGCATGATAATAATCATGATAAAAATTGTGTGAATTGATTGCAAACAATTTCATCTGAGACTTGATTGATTAGTTTAATCATGAAACAAATTCATGTTAATCAATATTCAATTCCTCTAATTCATGTGAATACTTAACTCAAACCCAAATTGATTAACTTTAGATTATTTAACTTCTTTGGTTGAAAGTTTAGTTTTTACAGTAGTAGTAATAGGAAAAGTAATTTAAATTAACTACAATTAACTAAATTGTTTCCCATAAAAAGATGATTAAGTTTCGTTAATATAAAGGCAAACCTTTATCTCTTTATTTGGCCAAAATGAAACAATCAAATTGTGATAATTTTGTTGATTGTAAACTTAAATTGCGCTGTAATTTATAACAATTATTATAACCAAATGATTGGTTATTTTGATTTCATCGATTGGGAATGATGATTAAATCAATTGTTATCCGAATTTAAATCAACAAACTTTAACCAATTTACTTCGACCTTTAATGTCTATCATTTGGAGTTAATTTAATTCAACAGTTTAAATCATCAATTTAATAATCACTTTTCATTTCATTCGGATTAACTTAACCTTGAACACAAACACCTACACTTTGATTAAGATTAAATTGTTAATAGTTAATTGTGTCAATTTTCACCTTTTTTTTACTGTTATATTGCAATTTGTTTGTAAATAGTTTGATGACAATCAAATTTAATCACATGAAGTAAATGTTGACATGTTTTAAATCATTTTTCCTCTTTGCTAATTGACTGAATCAACTTTTCTACTTCTCATTACAAGTTAATTGTAATTGTTATCAAATTATCGGAGCATATAATCAAAACAATCAGGCCAATCGTTGATAAAATAAAACACGATTAACAATTTCTCTTTCTGATATCAGCAACAATCAACTAATCCAGTTATTGACATTCTCTATTCATAATTAGTATTATAAAAAAAAGGATCGGCTCATTTAAATGGATTGTCCTTCCAATCGAGATAATTTCATCTGATTATCAGATTTAATTCTTGATTAAATTTCGCTTTTTTTTCCTATTGATTGTTTCATTTTTCTTTTATTGTTTATATCAACAGATTATCGAATAATAATAATAATAAAAGTTCTAACCGGAAGCCTCCAGCAGGTAATCCTAACCATTGGAGCCGTCAATCATCACCAGCACAACCTGGAACAGGAAGTAACACTCGGCAACCGGTGATAAATAAATTACGAAATTTGAGTACTTCCTCTGATACGGAGAATCGATGTTCGTCTCCTGGCCAGTCTCCATCCCGTTCGATCCGATCCATTCCCATACAGAAAAGTTCATCTTTCCATAATCCAAAAGATTCCAGTTCATTGTCATCAGTTTGTCGAGATGTTTCATCTTCGTCCAACAGTTTTCGAGGAATGTCCCCCTTTGCGATATCTAAACGATTCTTTTCAAATAATAACTCGAATCAAATGAATTACAGTGGTACTAAAACTCGAGAGACAAACAGTAGCCTCAATTTGAACAATCAAAATTCAATTTCTAACAATAATCATCACAGTTTACCTCCAATTAACCATAATTATGGTGATAGAAGAAGCAGCATGAGTGAGAGTTTGAATGATTCTAAATTGTCACGATTAACGGGATCACCGACTCGCTCCATCCAAGCCCCAACACCTTTAACATCGGCATCAGCTTATATCAAGCAAGCACCTTTGTCAACACCAACTCGAACCTATTATAATGGAGAAAGTGGTAAAAACTCATCACCAGGAAAAGAGTTGAGTGCCTTAGATAAACTTGTAATTTCAGCGATCTTTCAATTATCTCATAAACTGCGTTACAATTTACGAGCAATTTTAGACAACGAGAGACTTAAATATCCTCCTGGAAGTGAAACTCGTTTAATGATTGAAGATTTACTTCCCCAAGTCGCTGTTCAAGAGAAACGAATTCTCGATAATGGTGAAATAAGTCGAGATCTTTCGAGTATCTTGAAGAATTTGAAGAAAGTTGAACAAAGTTACGAACGTAAGTTGAAAATGGCTGACAGATTCTAAAGACAATTAACCTTTTCTCTTTTCTCTTTTCTCCTGATTTAGTGGTTACCTTGCTTCTCGCTAATGGAAACACCAACTCACTCACCAATTCATTACCAGGAGGCGATCATGACTTTTATGGAGATAACAGCATTTCTTGCACTGATTTTCAAGATGAATATTGATATTCCAACGGACAATCAGAATGATCATCACAATCAAAAGCAACAATAACAAAGAGTCTTCTCATTTTCTGTAATCAATTGAACTGCTCTTTTCTCACCTTTCACCATTTATCATGAAAATCATTCGCTGTGGTTCATATCATCCGTTGTTGCAACTCAATCCTGCCTTTTATCAAAGTCTCGGCAAATATTATCTTCTCCATCATCATGGTGACTGTTATTAGAGTATTTCTATTTTTTGAGATGAAAAGAAAAAGGAGAAAACAAATCAAATGAAAGAAAAGCCTTTTTCTTCATCCACCAGAACCTCAATCAGATTATATCCAAAGTGAACAACAATCACCATCATCAGAATAACATTCAGCACAAATTCAGTTCTTCACACTACCTTGACTCTCTAATCATGATTTTATTTTCCAGATCTTATACATTATAATATTATTATTATCATTTTATCAATCTTATCATCATCATTCTCATTAAAATTATTATTTTAAAGTTTATCAACACTCACACAAACGGTAAAGGTTCAAATTAGCGAAGTTAACAAATCGAGTCTAAATTGATCAATATTTAAGCCATTTATTGATAGAAGAGCAAATCAATTGTTGACAATTGACCAGTTTCAACTGATTTCTTAGGTGATTAGGTTTTACAATTTCTTGGCTCATCACAACTCATAATTAATTGAGTAAAATTGGTTTTCCATGATAATGTTCATCTTGACAAGAAAAAATCGCAATGTTAATCCGGAGTAAATGAAATTTGTCTAAAGAAAAATATGATGATGAAGATGAAAATATAATCGCTGGTCGAAGATCAACTCTGGTTGATTGTCTATAATTGAAAATTGACCAAATATTATTGATATGGAAAAACAATTCAAACTAATCAATTGGTAAGACACAATACTCGAGAAAAGAATTGTGAGAAATGAGATCTAATTAGAATCTTTCATAATCAATTCTAAGAACCAAAGTTTCGATGCTATTGAACTAAATGTTTATCGAGTACAAAGTGTTCCAAGTGTCTTTTTCAATTCCTTATGATTCAATTAGGCTGACCAGTGGTCACTCAACTAGAATCAAGTTTTGAAATTAATGCTCAGCTTATAATGAAGGTTGTGTTTTCATCGAGGTTTGTACTTATTCTTATGCTCTTGAGTTATTTTCTGAAATCTATTGAGATTAGTTAGTAACTTGTACGTACATAATGATTATCGATTTGCACTTTTGCCTCCAGGCCATTGTCTGAATGCGTTACACCTTCAGTTTCCTCTTTGCGCTTAATTGAAGGGATGATCGGTATTTTTGCCAAATATTTTGTCTATTTGCAGGAAAATGATCTTCTCAAAGTTATTATCAACTCGACATGATGTCCGGTGGTTTCCTCTCCTTGGAATCGCAGCACTAAAGTTATCGGAACTTTCGTTAATGGCCATATGAAAATATCTCTTCATCTTTTTTAGTTAGTAACTTGTACGTACATAATGATTATCGATGGTAATACTTTTACCTTGTTAAGAGATTTCAAAACCGCTATCGATTATCACATTAAACACCTCGAATTGGTACAGGAATTAAGTGACCGTGTTGGTGAAGGTCGAGCTTATTGGAGTCTTGGTAATGCTTTTACTGCCATTGGTAATCATAAAGAAGCTCTTAGATTTGCTTATAAATATTTAGAAATATCTAAAAAAAATGGTGATAAATTTGGTGAAGAAACTGCAACCAAGAGTATTTCAGAACTGAAACTTTTACTCAGTGAAAATAAATCTTCTTCCTCTTCAAGTGTCCCCAAACCCGACAATAAACCACCAAAGAAATTGGAAAACAAACGATTCAGCATGGAGAATATGAATCTTTTGAAATTAACTCCAACCAAGAACAACAATAGTTCCAATAATAGTAATGATGATGTTTTCATTCCAAGGATAAGCACCGCTAATTCAGTTGCTAGTGATAGTCGAAGTACCATTCATCCAATGAACAATGTCCACAACGAGGAAGAAGATTATTTCCTCGATCTATTAGTGAGATATCAAGGTAAATGAATGAATGATCAAAGGTATTCTTTAGATCCATTGGAAAATAAAGAAAATTATATACCGAAAACAACCCAAGTGAAGAAAAAAGTTGTCCCGTTGACCAATAACAATAATACTAATGTCCAAAGCTCATCTCGACAACCCTCAAGGTAAATGGCTTCCAATGATCGATCAACAAGTTTAAGTGGTGAAAATAGTAGACCAAATAATCAAGCCAATTCACAACAACAACAACAACAAAATACTCATCGTAACTCTAAATCCTCTCACCCTGATTCTGTTGGTAATTCACAAAGTAGTTCATCGGCTTATTCAACATCCGAATCAACTAATATTGTCCAAAGTTCTAATGGTCAACGGATCCTGGAACTGCGTTGATTGGACATTTAATTAGATCCATTGATCTCTTACCTGAGAATTAAATAAAACAAATATCTGAAAGCCTCTTGGAATAGAACCGAACAGATTACAATTTTTGAGTTGATTTTAATCTTAATCACGAATTTGAAAGATCAAATCATTTTGGTTATTCAAGTTGAAATTCATGAAACTTTTTGATTTCTTTAGTTATTTATAGTTCGGTAAATCAATTTTTTCATTTGTATTAACCATTTGATTTGATTATCGTTAATTGTCAATCATTATTATAAGGGTATACTAATAGTCGTTACAATAGTTAATTGTTTATGTTATTAAAAATGATTGGGAATATTAATTTTCAAGAGAATCGAGATAATCGAGAAAATTAATTAACGATTACAATTTGATCACGATCATGATCAAAGTCACACAAAAATGTCAATTAGATGATAATATTTGATTAGTAAAGTAACACATGATTTATTGATCATGTTGTTAGCAATAATTAACAATCAACAACAATTGAGAATCTAAATGAAGAAAAAAAAAAGAATCAGATTAACTTTTGAAGAGAAATTCAAACAAAAGAGAAATTGTCACATTCGTTTTACTCCAACCAAAATCAACAGAGAATATTAATAGACCAGTTAATTGTCATTGCCAAGAACGAATTTTGATGTGTACGTTAATTAACTAATTGTGAGAAATTAAATTGCTACGAAATTAAGTTAACTTTAAAAAGAAAAAAATTACAGTTGTAGATGAGGAGATTTTCCCCAAATGGGTGGAGCTTCAAATCGGAAGATTTTTTTTTCTTTTTTGTGTCAATTTCTTTTCGTTTCCAATAGTTGATCAGAATGATTTAATTAGTTTTTCAAAATTATTCTATTGTTTTTTAGATGTATTGTTGATCTTACAGTTTTAAGTTAATCTTTTGTTACTCTTGTTATGTTTTAACTGTTAATCTGTAGATAAATTTCACTGTAAAAAGAAAACACCTCAATAGGAACATTAGAATAGCAAGTAGATTGTTACACCTGTACATCTTTTGATATCCCTTTAATTATGGCCGCTGCTACAACAGCTTATTACCCGCCCGAACCCAAGTCTTACCATGGAGTGCGAATATTGGAGCCCATGTATCGAAATGTTGGTCTGTCCGTTGACCAGGTAAGGTTACGCTTTTGATTCGAGCTTTTTGAGACTTGAAGAAAATCATGTTGACACTTTTACTTTTTTGTTTTCACTCTTATGTAAATGTTTTGTTTTGTCTTCTTTTCCCTTCGCTTTCTTTTCTAGGGTAATTTTTGTTTGGTACAATTCACCGGTTTAGCTTTGGCAATGCTCTATTTTCGAGTCACCCGATTATTCAAATTCTCTGATACACAGAAACACCTGATCATGTTACTACCTGGAATTGTTTTGTGTTATTTTTGTTTCGGTTATCAGACAAGTAATTTATTTGTTCTTGCAATGTTATGTTATATTACTTTGTGTGCCTGTGACCCTCGATTTGTCCATTGTGCTGTTCTTGGCATTTCCATGCTCTATCTTTCTTACCTTCATCTAATTCGTCAAATAGAGGACTATGGTGGTTATTCTATTGACATAACTGGTCCAACCATGATTATTGTACAAAAAGTGTCCAGTCTCGCATTTTGCCTGCACGATGGTCGAGGTCGATTAGAAAAAGATCTTACACCGGAACAGAAGCAATTACGAGTTACCAGGATTCCAACACTACTTGAATTCCTATCCTATGTATTTCATTTTCCAAGTGTAATGTGTGGCCCATTAGTTTACTTTAAGAATTACTTGGAGTTTATTGATGGAACCAATTTTTCAAAGCACATTGAATCGCCTGAAGCTGAAAAGAGACCAGCTCACCCAGGCTTTGCTGTTATTAGAAAATTATCCGTCAGTTTCTTTTTCGCAATCATGATTGTCACATATGCACCAAAATTCCCAATAACCAAACTTTATGGTAAGTTTACTTTTCGAAGTTTATGTCGAAAAAATCGTAATTTGACTAACTTTCCTTTTCTTTTCTAGATGATAAGTTCCTTGCAGATTCTTCCTTCATCATGGTTATAGCTTACATGTTGGCAGCCACGGCCAGTGCTCGGTTTAAATATTATTTCGCCTGGAATTTTGGTGAAGCCTGTTGTAATGCCGCTGGTCTAGGCTTCAACGGGTTCAACTCGAAAAATGAATCGAAATGGGATCTACTTGATGCTGTTGATATCCTTCGGTTCGAGGTAAGATTATCCAAGATAATACAAACTTCCTCGTTAATCCCTTTAATTGAACACCGGATGAATATTATCAAGTTGATAATTAAATTTGACAAATTAGATAAATTCACGATCAAAAACCTTGAGCATTGAAACAAATACCTGGTTCGCTGACCAATTTAGTCTTTCGACTGTATCGAACTTTTTTTTTCTTGTTTGAGTAAATTTATTATCCTTCCTTATTGGAGCGAAGGTTAAAACTCGAGACTTTTTATATAACGGAAATTGTTGAGCAACAATTTATATTCAAACTATTCGCCTTTGCTTTCTAATTTAACAAAACAATTAACAAAAAAGATTTTATTAAGTGGGTAAGGATATTGGCAAGTAAACTATTCTATTCAAGGTTAATCTCCATAAATTGACTTAATTTCATCAGTTGATAATATTTACAATGTCTTCAATATGAATTACTTAGTTACATTAATCAACTAATGGCTGATAATTGTTGGATATTTAAATAAGTCTAAATTTCACAACTGATTGTTTCTTTCACTTAATTCATGCTTATAAGTCTCGCTAGTATTTTCTGCATAATTTATTATTCATTATAATACTTATCAAGAAAAAAGAAACTAATTGTCAATATAGTTTTACTGATTTACCTTGAAAATTCAATTCAAATGCTGGAATAAAATGATTCCATCAAGTTGCACAATCACCTCATCTTCCCATCCGGTTTCATCTCTTAATTATGACGATCTTTGCCACGTAATCGATCAGATCATTCAATTATTTCAGCCTGAATTCTGTATATATTTAACATTCCAATTAATCAACTAACTCTTTATACTAATCGTTTCTTCAGCGACAATTAAATTTTGTAACTTTCTATTTTCCTCTTTACCCTTAAGTGTGAATAACATTAAGCGCCTCGAATGGACTTTTGTTCAGTTCGTTACTATTTAATTCGCTTATTAATTAATTTCTCTTTTATTATATTCGATTTCCTCGTTTTCTTTATCGAGTTCAAATAGAATTGAGTGTTTGCTTTTAATGCTTTTACTTAAATCTGAGATGAAACATTATCAATATTGATTATTCCTCTATTTTTACCAACAAATAATATTAACTAATCAACTGAATCCTCTCAACTGATTTAACTTGATCAACACAATTATTACCGATTAAGAAAGTAACACTCGTCTTGTATTCATTGAGAGCTTTTAGTGTAATATTCATCAACGATTGTTAATTGATGAATCTAATTTTGATCATAATAGTTAATTGTGGAAATTGATGTGTGGAAAACATCAGATAATCAATAAATAAATAACAATTGCGACATATCCAATTTATAAGTTGATTACAGAGTAACAAAAAGTTCAATGTTAATCTATTAATATGGAGCCTAATTGTTTACAGATTAGATTAAATTTCATTTGGTCCAATCTCCAGTTGGACAATTGTTTGATGTAATTACCTGTTAAATTGTTTACAGTTGAGTTAACAATCTAATGATTCATTCATAAAATTGATTGGTTTTTGCTTTATTTGAAAAAAGTACTAATTATTTAACAGATGACTTATTTCTGATTGAAAATCACTAAAATTGCAAATCAATTATTTTTTTTCTCTGATTCTATTGAAATTGCGAGTAATTTAAATAGCAACTTTCGTCAGTTAATTGTTAGATATCAACAATTTATGGTGAATGAATCATTAGCCAAAACCAGGGGAAAGTCTGCTAACTAATGTTAGTATTGTCTCTGGTGATTATAATTATCGTACAACGTTAATCATTATTGTTCAGATTCACAATGAGCAATGAAATAGCATTTATCATTTGGTTGCTATGTGATGAAATACTTTATGACTTTGGATTAGTTGGTTAATTGATTGTTAATTTGTTAAAGGATAGAAAATCATCTTTGCAAATTGTTGCATTTATTCAATCACAATTGTAACTAGAACTTTTGGAACTCTGCCTATTCGTTGATCATATTAGTTGTTCAGAGTTTTCGCCATGAAATTCTTGGCATTTTACTCTAATTTTCACTCGTGTGATTAGATTTATTTTCAGTAATCAGCAGATTTTTCAATTTCCTTTCAATATCCTTGTTAGAATGATATTAGAATGATATCTATGATAATTTTCTGTTCTATTCATTTATGAACTTGATTGAACTTTTAATTGTTTTTTCGCCCTTGATTCTTAGAATTACATTGAAATGTTATTTTCAATTCTTTTGTTTTTATTGAGCAAATCAAACAGAACTTTTAATGATTGTCTTAAATTGATTGATAAAATGTTCTGATTAATTGTTTATCTCTCGCTAAAGAGATTTATTAGTTCATAAATTTATTTATTAAATTTATTTATTATTAATTTCACAATTTTACTAATTATTTTTTTCTATTTTCTTGACTTTATTCTTTTAGTTCTCGCGTAACCTTCGAGAAGCTTTGGAGGCCTGGAACAAAACTACGCAATGTTGGTTGAGACGATCGGCCTATGAAAGATCACCTAAATATCGCATGTTAGCGACCTATGTTTTATCCGCCATGTGGCATGGATTTTATCCTGGTTACTATTTAACCTTTTTATCTGGAGCTTTATTCACACAAGGAGCTCGAACAGCCCGACGATGTCTTCGTCATCACTTCCAATCAACACAATGGTTATCATTTGTCTATGATATTCTTACCTGTTTATTCACTCGAATCATGATGGCTTATCTTGTCTTCCCGTTTGTTGTTTTGACTTTAGCCGATTCTTGGAAAATTTACTGTCGAACTTATTTCTTTGGACATTTGATTGTTTTATTTGGAATCATCGTACTTCCCCTGATTGTCCGACCTCTTAAAACTGAGCGAAATGCAGTTGAGAATGGTAATAAAAAATCAAAGTCCAATTGAAATAATTTACTCTGCACTTGCGAGCACGAACAAAAAGTAAACCAAATCAATCAACCAAAAAGAATCAATTCAAAATTGTATCAACTTTTAGACTCAAACGGAAACGCACCTGATTCGATAAAAATATGACCTTAAATCCAACCAGTTCTAAAGTGATCGATCCAAAGGACAAGCAGTTTTCTGCAGCGCTACTTACTGAAAATCGAACTGTGATTTATATCATCTTCCAGTTTCTTTGGAGCATTCAATTATCGAACAACTAATGCGTTAAATCTTATTCTCTTTTTACTCTTCTTCTTAATAACAATTTGATATCATCACCGATCTGCGATTTGTTTGTTGAATACTTTCCATGCAAAACAATAATAAATCATCGACTGTCATCAACTAACGGACAACTTACCTCATCAAAATTCATCAATATCTCAAAATCATCCTTGAAATTATCGCATCAAATTAAATCAAGAAATGCTCATCACTAACAAAAGAAAACGCCAAGGAAAAAACGGAAAAAAAAATTCGCTCATTTTTCTCAATGAATCTTCTTCCAATTCCAACAACTGATTTCTACTCTTTCGATATAAAAGTAAACAAACAACGACAAAAACCCAAACAGATGACCTACAATTAGATCGATGAGTTGATTACAATCATTATTTCTGTGGTCGGAAAGGAATTGATTAATTTAACAGAAATCGTCAAACGAATCAAATTGAATGAACAATTTAACCCAAAATATTCCTGATGCAGAAAAACAAGACTAATCTCAATTAATTTTCTAATCTTTCCTTTTTCCCGCTTGATAACTGAAATTGGAAAAATATCTAAGTATCACAATTAACTTTTTTACAAGAACTGTTCTATTCCCATTCAAATGTCCTTCCAATATATTGATTGTTATCTTTTCTTTGCTAAAAATCTAAGAATGAAATTCATCGAAAAATTCAATACTTTTCAGCCTTTGCTCAGCCCATTGATTGTTTTCTATGTTGATTATTAGCAATCAATTGTAATTCTATTGTCAACAACCCTTTTTACGTGCAATTGCTACGAATAATCTTAATGTTAGTTACCCAACTATTTGCTATTTAAGTGCTAAGACCGTGAACGAATGGACAAAAGCTCTAAATGGCACTAAGATATTTTCCTCTCGTTTGCAGTCAATGTGTTTGCACGTAAACAAAGTGATTGAAGTGTCTGTTTTGATTAAAAATCTAATTTGTAGTAAATTGATCAAATTATTCCTGTAATTAAGATCTGAAGAAATCAATTAAAATGATGTTGATCCATTGCTATAACAAGGGGAATGTGCATTGAAAATTGTTCAAACTTCACCGACTCGCTCCATCTAAGCCTCAACACCTTTAACATCGGCATCAGCTTATATCAAGCAAGCACCTTTGTCAACACCAACTCGAACCTATTATAATGGAGAAAGTGGTAAAAACTCATCACCAGGAAAAGAGTTGAGTGCCTTAGATAAACTTGTGATTTCAGCGATCTTTCAATTATCTCATAAACTGCGTTACAATTTACGAGCAATTTTAGACAACGAGAGACTTAAAATTCAATTTTATCAGCGATGAAAAACAATTTTCATTTTCTATCTCATTTCCTGATCTTCCTTTCGAAAATTATTTCATGATAATAGATGAAAATATAATCGCTGGTCGAAGATCAACTCTGGTTGATTGTCTTAAAATTGAAAATTGACCAAATATCATTAATATTATTAAAAAAAACACTTCAAACCGATCAATTGATTAGACACAATACTCGAGATAAGAATTGTCAATAAGGTTGACAAATTATGGTGAGAAATGAGATCTAATTAGAATCTTTCATAATCAATTCTAAGAACCAAAGTTTCGATGCTATTGAACTAAATGTTTATCGAGTACAAAGTGTTCCAAGTGTCTTTTTCAATTCCTTATGATTCAATTAGGCTGACCAGTGGTCACTCAACTAGAATCAAGTTTTGAAATTAATACTCAGCTTATAATGAAGGTTGTGTTTTCATCGAGGTTTATACTCATTCTTATGCTCTTGAGTTATTTTCTGAAATCTATTGAGATTAGTTAGTAACTTGTACGTACATAATGATTATCGATTTGCACTTTTGCCTCCAGGCCATTGTCTGAATGCGTTACACCTTCAGTTTCCTCTTTGCGCTTAATTGAAGGGATGATCGGTATTTTTGCCAAATATTTTTGTCTATTTGCAGGAAAATGATCTTCTCAAAGTTATTATCAACTCGACATGATGTCCGGTGGTTTCCTCCCCTTGGAATCGCAGCACTAAAGTTATCGGAACTTTCGTTAATGGCCATATGAAAATATCTCTTCATCTTTTCGATTCTAGTGGAATTTATCAACCAGCAATTAGAAACTTGGGTTCTCAAATTGCAGATGCTGATTAGTAAATTGCGAACCAATAAATTATTTATCCCTGTAATTTCGTTATAAAAGTGATCTTGAAACGTTCCTAAAATCTAAAGTTCGAGGTGTTGGACTGTTCAATCATCGTATTTTCGATGTCATCTTACAGTCATTCCAGATTGACAAGACCGGTCGAACACAATAAGAAGACGGTCGACCAAAATGAGAAGACTAAGCCGAAGAGAGAAAATGTTAATTTTATTGGCTTGCAGAATGAGAAGACTACTCGCCAAAAACGGAAAACTACTCGACACAATAAGAAGACTACCTACCAATGGTCTATGTTACAAGCTTAATAGTACATTTTTCTAAATTTTCAAAAAAATTTGAATCTTCGCTTAATTAAAATTTTATCAGGTTAAAATATTAATTTGTTAATAGAAATACTTAATTATTCAAATTAATTCAGAAAAAAACTAGGATTTTCTTAAAAATTGCCAAGCATTTACCCCAATAGTCTTCTAATTGTGGTCAATAGTTTTCCTATTTTGCTGGACCGTCTTCTTATTTTGGAAACAATAAAAATTAACATATTCTCACACCGGCTTAGTCTTCTCATTTTGGTCAACCGTCTTCTTATTTTGACCGACCGGTCTTGTCAAACTGGAATGACTGTATAAGATAATACAATATAGCGTAAAAAGATATTGATTTCTTGATTCAACCTTTATGAGCTCTCTCAATTCGCATGCACCTTCATTCGGCGCCTTGGCATCTCAACAAGCACCGACCTTCGGCCAATTAGCGACCCAACAACCTCCAATCCAACAACAACAATCAACAGGCTCAATCTTTGGTGGATTCGGCGGTCAACCCGCTGCCCTCTCAACATCTCCATCTATTTTTGGCAATTCCTTTCCATCAGCTCCATCATTTGGTTCACCACAATTTTCCCAACGACGTCAATAATCAATCCAATCAACAAAAGAGAAACCAAAATGATTCAAATGAACAAGAAAATCTATCGAGTCAATTGTATTTACCAAACAAATTATTTTAATTAAATTTTTTCTATCACATTGATTTATTGAAAACAATTGACAATCCAATCAAAATTTCTTATAATAATTTCGGAAACAAACAATTGACTCGAAAAAAAAAGGTAACAAGTTAAATTAGTTGACCAACAGAAATGATAATCAACAACAATTAACCATAAATTTTATTAACAATTTTAAAAGAAAATGTAAACAAATCAATTGGATAGAAATTGTTTTAAAAAGTTTGGACTTTCAATCAATGAGTGGACATAAAGTTTCAAAGTTATGATTTGTTTTAATTGTTAATCATCATCTTAATTGTTAAGACATTGATTATCTATGGATGATAGACCCTGAGGCTATTGTCTAAAAATCAGTTACACCTTTTCACTTATTTTCTGTTCGTTGATTCCAATTGTTGCCAATTTTTTCTTTCTTTTTCTCTTCCATCATTATTTTATCTTCTTGAAAGTTACTATCAACTCACCATGATGTCCAAGGAAGAGATGAGCGAGAGAGAGAGAGAGAGAGAGAGAGAGAGAGAGAGAGAGAGAGAGAGAGAGATGAGAAAAGAATAATTTTCTTGTTCTTGCTCTAAGAAGCAAAAAACAAGAGCCGAAAATACTAATGACCAACTTTCTTGAGATTTTTTTCTCGCTTGACCAATACTCTTTTTCTTGTCCACTAGTTTTTCATTCACAATTAACTTTGATCATTAGAATCCACGATTAGTAAATTATAATCTTTCTCTTCAATTGTTGGGACAAAGGATTAAAATGATAAATTTACAATTAATTGATTATAACAGAAAGAAAATGATAAAGTTTCTTGTTAATTTTCTCAAAGTTTTAATCAATATTATCACTGTTTACATCTGGTCATCATATTGGTCAGTTTATGGCTTTTACAAAAGGATAACAATTAAGACCAACACTCTTGACGAGAAAAGGTAATTAACATTAATTAACAATCATTTGCTTGTAAATTGTTCTGATTGTTAATGATCAATCAACGAGTGAGAGAGATTATTAATTTTCCTTGTTGTTTTAGTTTATTGGTCACAAATTTTTTATTACTTATCGATGGTCAGTAAAGTTCATTGATTATCAGCTGATTGATAAATTTTAGAGTAAAATTAGTTGATTAATTTATGGGTTTAATGTATTACATTAAAAGTTGATTGGGTTACCTTTTTCTCCAAAATTTCATCTTCAATCTTTTCAATTCTCTTTCTCTCTCCTTACCTGTTTTTCTTGAAACATTTTCACCAGTATAAGGTTTACCTGTAAAGGAGTGTACGAACATAGTAAAAGATGAAAATGATGATGATGGTAGAAAGAAGATAAATTTACAGTCTCGAGAGAAAAAGAGAGAAAATTGAAGAGAAAGATGAGAAGAAAAAGAAAGAGATGAAGATAGCCTAAAGGTATGTATTGTTAAGATGAAGAGAGAGAGAGAGAGAGAGATGAAGATGAGGATGATGAAGATGAAGAGGGTGAAGAGGAGCGTTAGAGCGGGAAGAAACCTGCTGCCTTCTTATAAGGCGAAATTTTTTTCCTCTCTTGATGTTTGGAAGACACTAGACATTGGACAATATAGCGAAAGGTCAATTTGGACAGAGAGAGAATTGTGTTTACCTTTGACTCTCTCTCTCTCTCTCTCTCTCTCTCTCAAACAATAAAAATGATGAATATAAAAGAAGAGAAGAGAAAATGATGATGATGATGGAAGAAAAAAAGGTTAGGTTAAGAGAGAAAAAGCTATAAGTCACTTTCTACATTCACTTTACCTGCGAATGAATAACAGAGAAAAAAAGAAAAAGAAAAAGAAAAAGAATCAAGGACAATTTAACTTTGGAATAATTTTCTTCTCTTTTTCCATAAAGATTCAATATTTTCTTAGCTTTTAGGTTAACTGGTTCTCTTGTTGATAATCAGCGAATTGTTAATTAACAAATAGATTCATTTTCCATCAATTTTATCAATCGAATTTACTTTTCATTGATGTTTACACATTTTCCGGGTTTTTTTCATCCACCATCAGGTTAACTCTGTTACTGGAAGAGAAAAGAACAATTTTTTTATGTTTTTTCGCCATTTTTATTGGAGAAGAAAAAAAAACTTCTCAATCTTGGAATTAGGTCAATCCAAAAGTTTTTTTTTCTTTTCGAATTGATATTATTTCATCTTCTTTTTGTTTCTTTCATGCACTTTGACCTTTTTTTCCAACGCGTTCATCATTCACCTTTTTCCTTCTTGTACTAAGTGAGAGAAGGAAGATTTTTTTTCTACTTTGAATTTTCATCTATTCTCAGCATCGGTTTACCTTTTGTTTACATTTCTTTTTATTCTGATCATCGGATGAATAACATGATGGAGATTCGGTGAAATGGTGAAGGAAAAAACAGAAATTTCACTTTTATTTTTGTTCGATTGGTTTTTTTTTCTTCTTCGTAACATTTACCGTTTGCTAGAGTTTCACTTTTTCCTGTCAACTGAGTTCCTGTTGACGTTTTTTTCGTTCTTTCTTTCAATCAACTTCTCCATCTCTACCCACCAGTGTATCCACTTGATGATCGGGTCAAAGGTTGGCGATATTGTTGCTGTTCGACTGTAGTTCCAAGAGAAGAAACAAAAATTCAGGTAAGATGAACAATTTTTTTTCTCTCTCATTTTCATTCTCCTTCTCCTCTTCTTATTTTCTGATGATGTAGTAAGATGATGGAACTGGAGGTTGGCCTCTGGCCTAAGACCTTGAAGACCCTTGGGGAAGGTAAAGATGATGAAGAAGAAGAAAAAGAAGAAGCTAAATTTCGGCTTCTTCTCCTTCTTTTTTTTTCTCTTCTTCATCTTCTTATTCTTATTCTTATTCTTAGCTAAGAAAAACACAGTAGGGGGAAAGATAGAAAAGAAAATAAGAGAACCAGATAAGGTAAGAGAGAAGAAGAGAAAAAAAGAAAGACAAGTTGAGAAGAAGAAAGAAGGAGGAGAAATTTTGACGAGAAAGAGAAGAAAGAAGAATAATGATTCTCTTTCTTATCTTTCAATAGAGAAAAAGAAAGAGAGAAACAGAAGAGAAAGAGAGAGAAAGAGTCGCTCTCACTTTGGTTCGCTCTCAGTTCTCTACTCACATTTCTAAAAGATCACATTTGGATCTTTGCTTATCTTAATTCTCTGTTTTTCCAATCAAAATTTTCGCTTTAATTGTGATTCGTATTTCTAATTAATTCTCGTTAATTGTCATTAAATTGTTTTCCATTTTCTTTTTCTATTCTTTTCTAAAAGCTCAATAGAATTTGATTCAATTCTCTTCTAGTGTCAACCTTGTTTTCTACTCTCAATCCAATTGCTTTTTCTTGGTGTTTCCAATTTCTCTTGAAAAAGTGTTCATCATGAAGTGAATTGTAATTTAATTGTGACTTGAACTCTACCTGATTCAACAATTTAACATCAAATTGTTACCATTGTAAAAGGAAAACCAATTGTGTATCTAATAGTAGAAAAAGGAATCCAGATATTACTCATATTTGGGTTTTTCTTTCATTTTCATTTTCGTTTTGGTTTTGTTTTTTTCTATTCTCTTTCTCTCTGGTGAAAATACTCTTACAGTTTATCCTGTATTCCATTTTTGTTCCGGTTCCTTTATCAACCTTATGGTTTATCAATTGTTTTCTATTCTATTATAATGGATCGAAGGAACAAGAAGAGTAAAATCTCAGCAAATTTCAGTAATTATACACATCAACCTGTTCTACCTATACCTTATTCTCATGTGGCTGGGTTACATCATTTTCATCATTCTCTTCATCAGCCTCATCATTTTCACCATCAACCCTCATCCATGGCTGGTGCAGCTTCAGCCTTAATCTCACAACATGAGACATTCGGTGCAACAACAACAACAACCATGATACCCTCAGTAACTAACACTGAATCCTGGTTAAATCATCACCATAACCATCACCATCTCCTTCACCACCACCAACAGCAACAACAACAACAACAACAACTTCACCATCAAATCCATTCACAACAAACAGAACCGGTGACTAGATGTCCAACTAATCCTACCGATGGTACAAATAATAAAATGGAGATTGATACGGAATATACAAGCAATACAACGGTTGAAAATTTGTACCCAGAGATTTTGTCCATCATATTTTCATACCTTGACTTACGTTCTAAAGGTAGAGCTGCCCAGGTATGCTCAACATGGATGGAAGCCTGTTATGACAAGTCTGTTTGGAAAGGCGTTGAGGCCAAACTTCACCTTAAAAAGATAAATTCAACAATGATTGACAGTTTAAATCGTCGAGGGATTAAAAGAGTACAGGTAATGAAATATATATATTGTGTGTGAGAGAGAGAGAGGAAACAAAAACTCAAAGCTCAAATGTTGTGTATTAGAAGAGGAAGAAACAAAAATTACGATTGTACTTTTCAGCCATTTTTATCAATACATATACTGTGAATATATAGAGTGAAAGATTTAGAAGTAATATTAATATCATGAGGAATTGGAGATTTTTTCTTCATGTTATCAGGGGGGAACTTACAAAATTGGACCTGAATTCTCATCTTTGATTATATCAACTCTAAGATTTTATCCTGAAAACTTGAGATGCAAAATTTTATTACCCATTTCAGTTTTGATATAATCTCTCTATCCACTCCAATAACCTCTCAAGTTATTTACATAAATTTCATTTTTTGACATTTTACTTCTCCCTTAATTACTTTCTCTCCCATTATATAGCCTAATCTCTCTCTCTCTCCCACTTTTCTTTATCTCATATGATTCATTATGTATACAATCAATGTCACCGTGAAAATGGCTGAACCGTCAAATCAAACTTCTCAATTCTAATCACTTTGAATGATTCATTATGAAACTATTTCTTCATTAACTACAATACACTTATACTAATATTCATCTCTCTCTCTCTCTCTCTCTCTCTCTCTCTCTCTCTCTATACAGATTCTGAGTTTCCAAAAAGGTCTAAAAGAGCTGACAAACATTAGGAACCTTGAACGTCTCACACTAACTGGTTGTTATAATCTGACCGATTTACATTTATCTCAAGCCTTATCCCAAGAGATGCCTTCGTTGAAACAACTGAGCTTGGGCATGTGTAAACAAATAACCATCAATATGTACGTGTCACTTTGTCACATATTATCAAATACACCAAATATTGAGGTTCTCGATTTAGGTGGATGTAGTGAAATCACGGACGATGCTCTTACTGCCATAAGGAAATGTTTAAGAAGATTAAAGCAACTTAATATACGAAGCTGTCGATATATTACCGATTTTGGTATTTCAAGACTTTGTTTGGATAAATTAACAAATGATTTGAGTGATTGGAAACTCAATTCTAGTGATAATATTTTTAATAGACATAATCACCATAATGATACCAAAGATAAAAGTGCTCTAAGATATTCAAATTCAAAAGATGCTAACGAGCAAATTGATTCCGGTTTAACATCACTCGAACTATTGGATTTACAAGATTGTCAAACTTTAACTGACGATTCGCTTAAATTTATCTCATTTGGATTAAAAAGTTTACAATGTTTAAATTTAAGCTTTTGCGTTGGAATCACCGACATGGGACTTAAATATCTTTCCACCATGACATCATTAAAAGAAATTAACCTTCGAAGCTGTTCAAATATAACCGATATTGGCCTTCGATATTTAAGTGAATCGGGAATCCAATTGAAAATATTAGATGTATCTTTTTGCGATAAAATTGGTGACACTGGTTTAATTTATATCTCACAAGGATTAACATCCCTTGTAACCTTAAGTCTTAATTCATGTCCAATAACAGACCAAGGATTAATTAAGGTTTCCACAAGTTTAACCAATCTGAAAACCCTCAACATTGGTCAATGTAATAAGATAACCGATGTTGGTGTAGCCTCATTAGCGGAAAATTGCTTGAAATTGGAAAATATTGATCTTTATGGTTGCACGAGGATTACCCAAACCGGACAAGAGAAGATACTTCGATTACCTTTATTGAAATATCTAAACACTGGACTATGGCAAGACTTGGAAACACCAGTTTACTTTCATCCTTTTGCACCAAATTCACTGGTTCGAGATCACCATTCACCTGGATGTGTTTTACGACAATCAAATCGTAATTTTCCCTCAGCAAATCAATACAATTCTAATCAATTGCTCAACCAATATAAAAGCATCTACGCTGCTAATTGCGGGGACAATATGTTTCTACGAAACTGTATACTAACCAAACTTTGTGATTCTTGCCAAAATGTCAGTTTCCTTTTAAATCCAACTATACTCGCATCTCCCCTTTACATTGTCCTTAGACTGGATAAATCATGAAAACAACAATCAACGCCAATTAGTGTTCATTAATTAACTCTATTTTCATCGTCATCTTTTTCCCTGTGTATATATTTATCTTTTTCCATCATCATCACCACCATCACCTTCATCGTCGTCGTCATTGATAAACAAGCGAAGGAAAAAAGCAACAACAATCAAGCCAATAAAGTCTTCATTGGGAGAGAAATAAATTTAAAGAAAATCGAATTTAATTTAACTTTTTCTCTACAACTAATTGAAATTATCTTTGCCGATTATTGGTAAAAAATTAAGACAACGCCTTAAATCAGCCATCCAAATGCCGATTTCTCTCTCTCAAATTCATAATTCAATCTAAGATCATTTATCTTCCTGTATCATCGTTAATTGTCACATTTACTAACTCATCATCCAAGCGACAGTTCTTAATCAGCAGCAATTAAGCTATTTTCCATGTTGAATTGTAATATCATTGTTATAATTATGATTCTCTCAATGTTAATAGCTTTTCCAACCATCATCATCATCTAAAATCACTATTTAATCAATGATTTAGTCAAACAAACTTCCACTGTTTGATCAATGATCAAACAGTCACCTCAAGAATCTTCTTCATCATCCTCATCCTCATTTCCATCTTCATCTTCATCTTGATCGTCATAAAAAAAGAAACTTTTTTTCTACTGTAAACTTTTCTCGACAATCAACAAATCAAATTATCCAATTAATATCATTTCTGATATTATTTTGGTTACATTAACGGACTTACCTCTCGAATCTTTCTTTTTGTAAACAACTGATTCTGACTGTAAACTTTGATCAAATGATAATAATGTTTATTATTATTACTATTATTATAATTTATCCTGACAATTAATTATTATACAATTTGTAAATGTGCAAACCAAGTTATTTTGTGTAGAATTAACTAATTAAAAAAAACGCTATTTAATATCAATTGATTTTAATTAACTTTCTTTCTTTCTCGCGAATCTTAATCATGATTGAAATAGAAAACAAAAAATCAAGAAAACGACAAACTAATCAAGTAAAATCAAAGATTTAACTTTAATTGTAGAGTAGAGATCATAAAGGAAATTAAGAAGAAGGAAATTAAATTGTAAATTTAATTATAAACAAAAGAATATAAAAAGTTTCAACTAAACAAAACACGAATCTTGATTATATATGATTAAAAAACGATTTCCATTGTTGGTATCAAGTGAATTAATCACCGGAGGAAATTAAATTGTCACAATTAAGACAAGAAGCAAAAAATTAGCCATCAACAATCAGGGAAAGACAAACATACAGAGAGAGAGAGAGAGACGAACGTTAATTGTAACAATTAACCAGATTGTGGAGCTTCTTCATCAAATGAATTGAGTCTGTAATGAAAGATAAACAATCAAAGGCAAACAATTAACAGATTAATTTTCACGATAATTGTAACAATTAATAGATAATCAAACTTTTCGTTGGGAGGAAAAAGTTAGACAACAATAAGTTGTAACAACTTTTTAAGAGCTAAGAGATTAAGATAAGATTAAGGTAAGATTAAGCTTCTAGATTTAGATTTAGATTGTGATTAGTTAATTGTTGGAATTGTTTACTTACCCACAACATTGACTTTTAGCAAAACAACAGAAAACATTTCGTCCAGAGTAAGTTTGATAATCGTCGCAAGTATCACAAGCGGTTGTATTACCAAGGAAAACAAAGAAAGCGTCACTTGGTGTCGGTGTTGAGATGATTAAGATGGCGACAATTAAGACACCAATGAAACTGAATAAGATTAATTTCTCCATGATTCTTCAAGGTGGAAACGATTTTTTTCGCAAAAGAAAAAAAAACAATCAGATAACCAAAAAAAAAGAGAGAAAAAAGTAAACAATGAGTTAGAAAACAAAGAAAAGGATTGAAACTTTGGGTTTGACGAATTAGAACTTTTTTTTCTCCAAAAAGACAATCGAAATATCCTGTTTTTGTCACAAGTCTGGTCAGAATTAAGTGAACAAGATGAAGAAGATGCTATTGATGATGTCGATCGTAAAAGAGAGTGAGAGAGAGATTATAAAGATCGGCCTGATAGCTGGAAGATAAACTTTCTTTCTGATGTTATATTTGATGTTACGTTTCAAAAGGAAAGTTGAAAAATCGTCCCAACGATTTAAAAATAGAGTCAATTTAATACCTTTCTACCTGAAGGCTTGAATAGTAATTGTGATGATGATGATGATGATGAAGATTAAGATGACAGGTAAGAGAAAATCGAAAACATGTTTCCTCTTCCCCGCCCTCAACTCTCCTCATTTTTTACTTTCTTTTTCGTAAATAATTTCCATCATTAACTAAATTTCATTCTAATTCGTTGATGACAATCAACATTTTCGCCTTCATTAGTTATTTATTGTTATCCATTAAACTCCATTTGAAAGTAATTGACAATTCATTGCGAAAGGAACAAAGGAAAGTTTAATCATTACAACAAATTATCATCATAATCAACTTGTAATCAAATTATGTTAATATATTTTCTTGATTATGATTAAATGGTTTTATACTTTGATTTTGTTTCTCATCATCAACTGTGTATATAAGTGTTTCAATTGTGTATGTTTCTCATTCAAACTGGTTGATTGTTGCTGTTGTTGTTGATGTTATTTAATCTTAATTGTCGTTGACGGGGAAAATTATCTTTCCCAGTTAATTGTTTACCTCTTGTATTCAAGTTGAAATTTTAGATTTTCTTACACTTTTACTGCCAAGGTTTCTCAATGGAAACATTTTAATTTTTCTCATATTGTTCAGTGATTTTCGTTCACAATTAAAGGAGTAATTAGATTAAAGATGTACTTATATCAAGATTTTATAATACTATTACATCAATATAATCTACTGTTTAAATAGAATTAGAAAGAAAAGATTTTAATTGTAGTAATCAAAACGTTAAATCAACAAGGACGAGTTAATTTGCTTATGGAAACCTTGAAGTTTTCTTTCAAAAATCAATTCAAATTGAAACACTAGATTCATGAGAATCAGAAATCAAATGATTTAGATGAAAATTTAAATTTCTTTACGAAAAGTATTAATAATTATGATTGATCAACTATTAAAACTTTTCTTGATTGTAGTTGATGAAGTTTTAGATTGAATATAGATGGCGCTACAAGTTTTCTAATTTTAATTAGTTTTTCGATTCCTTTAATTAGTTAATTGCTACGCGTTATTGTTCATTATCACGATTGAAATTTGTACCTTTCGACGAGAGTGATGATTCATTTATCTATTTTGAAGAATATCTTTTCGTTGGAAAGTCGATCGACTAAAAGTGTTGATGAGATCGCGAACTATTATAATTTGAACTTTAGTTTGTCTTAGTGAAAATTGAAGTTCGATAACTTTTAATATCTGTATTAAGAGAAAGATTTTATTGATAATTAACTTTTCGTATCTTATTAACACTTTATCGGGAGAGAGTTTTTAATTACAATTGTAGACTGGTGTGGAAAGTTTTCTCTAATAAATTTTAGATGAATCGATAGACTAGACAAATAATATTTAAGCGATCAAATTAAATGATTAGGATAACCAAAACAACAATAGAAAGAAACAAAAATGGAAATAAACAAAATTAGAAAGTACAAAAATAAGTCAAAAGATGGCAACACAAATTTCACATGCTTCCGATTGGAAAAAGAAGCAATTGGAATAGAAAATTTTGTACAGTCAACTACCTAAAATTGTCCGATCGGTCGTGGCTCCATCTTCTTAATCGGAACTAGCCCCCATTGTCTTAATTAGAGTGATTATTTTTTTGTAATTAATTCTTATCAAATTGATTTTAAAAAAATCGAAATCAATATTTCTAGTTAAATTGCTGGTCATTTAAAAGATTTAAATAAGTTAAATATTTTTTTGATCGACAAATTTAATTAGTTTTAACCCTTTCGAATTGCCCGCTCTCTAAATCGGCCGTACAAAAAACGGACAAAATTAGGTAGTTGACTGTAATTAGAATTAATAATATAATCTTTATCCAAGTTTTCTCTCACTGAATAAATCATCAAATCAATAACTACAAATTAATTACATTCCAATTAAATCAATCATTAATTAATCATCTGAATTTTTCACCAAAAAATGTTTGAATGGTTATACCAAGAGATTGCTGGTGCATTCAGAGTAGTAAAAATAAACAATGAATGCCAAATAATTGCTGAAAATCTATCAAGTGATCAAAATGAATAAGTGAAGTCAATATACAACAATTAAATGTAAGTGAAGAAGCTATATTAATAATAATAAACTTAATCACAAAAAATTGGACAAATAATTCGGACTTCATAAAAGAGGAAGTGAATAAATTTCAACAATTAATCAATATTGTCAACAAAAACCACCAAAGAAACAACGAAAAAGAAAACATCATCATTGCCTTCAAAAATAGTTCATCTCAAAGACAAAGGGGTATGTCAACCCTAAAATCGACCTCCGTCAAACACAAAATTAACAATTGTTTTAGTTAGAGCATTCAATAAAACCTCTCTAACCGTTTTTAAAAGTTCTAAAAAAATTCTGATTAGGCCACAATCGGCGATCGAAGTTTTTTTGTTTTTCGATTATATCACGTAAACCAAACCGAATTTCATCGTGATTTTTTGCACAACTTCAGTTCTTATTAAGGTCTATCGACTGACAAAAGCTCTCGGGTTAGATATTTTTCTATCTTAGGATATGGACTTGAGGTCATTTTTCTTTCGCTAAGCTCTCATTTCGTCAGGTCACCGTCAGGAATTTATTTAAGTAGATCAAATTAAACCTCAGACATAGTTCTATAGCTGGACTCGAGCTCATTATGCTTCATATTACAAGCATACTAAAATATCAAGAGATCGAAAGTCGATTTCATTTGAATCAAATACCCAACTTTTTGTTGACACGCCCGAAATGGGGCAAATCTCACGATAAAGTCGCACACTTTCAATCTCTTGGTATTTTAGTGTGCTTGTAAACAGAAGCATAGTGATCCAACTTGGGTGATCTAATGACTTTTCATTCCGAAGTTATACGCTCTCAAAGTTGTATGTATCGAATCAGATCACCTGCTGTAGCAGGTCAAAGAAAAAGTTATCGAAAAAAGCTCGAGTCCAGCTATAGAACTATGTCTGAGGTTTAATTTGATCTACTTAAATAAATTCCTGACGGTGACCTGACGAAATGAGAGCTTAGCGAAAGAAAAATGACCTCAAGTCCATATCCTAAGATAGAAAAATATCTAACCCGAGAGCTTTTGTCAGTCGATAGACCTTAATAAGAACTGAAGTTGTGCAAAAAATCACGATGAAATTCGGTTTGGTTTACGTGATATAATCGAAAAACAAAAAAACTTCGATCGCCGATTGTGGCCTAATCAGAATTTTTTTAGAACTTTTAAAAACGGTTAGAGAGGTTTTATTGAATGCTCTAACTAAAACAATTGTTAATTTTGTGTTTGACGGAGGTCGATTTTAGGGTTGACATACCCCTTAACGAAATATTACTCAACGAATACATAAACTACTTGAACGGAAACAACAGCAACAGAAGACAAATTCATTTAACTAGTGATACTCCAAGTAATATTATTAATAATATATCAATAGTTGATAACCCAGAAATTGAATTAATAATAACTAATTGGAAAATTTATGCAACAAAAACAACCACAGAAAATAACGTGAAAGAGGTGGAAAATTAATTAAACAAAATACAGAAGGAAAGTTTATTCTTCAACAAAAAAGAATATCACCAAACTCACTACTATTAACAATAATATCACCCTGCGTAAGACTATACCAATATCTCAAATCACTGAAATGGAAAATTCTAATTAACAACGAGACACTTATTATAAAAATAAGACCATCATATAAAAAGTGCGAAAAATGTCAACACATACACACAGGATACCACCAAACATGCTTCACATAATACTAGTACAATTCAACGTCAATAAATCAAAAAGACTATCGAAAATGCTGCTTAATCTCGCTAAACAACAAGAATCAACAATAATATGTATTAATGAACCTAGTTTAACATTAACCATAAACAACATTAAAAATGACAACCATATATGGTACAACAACAGAGTACTAGCACTCACATCAAAAAACATTACAACCACGATGATTGAAGATAATCACAAAGATATGATCAATATAAAGATTAATATTAATAATTATGTAACAAATTTCATCGCAGTATATATTCAACATCAAAACAAAAACAACTATCACACAAAGAACGGTAACATCAACAACCTCTGGTACAAAATCAATCAATTAATCACGACCAACCACTCATCATCACTGGGGACTTTAATATCGATCATCAAATATGGAGTCCACTGACAAGCAGATATATTAATAATGTTAATATTAATAATCAATGGTCTTAAATCAACAATAGAACCAGCGATAGAAAAACCAACATACAACAGAAATGGAAACAAATCATGGATAGACGCTATCATGGTCAACAGTAAAATTGTTCATTTTACAGGCAAAATAGTTGAACGGCAAACTAATGACCATAATATGGTAATCTCTACAATCTATCTACCAAAGAAAACAAAAGAGATAAAAAAGAATAATCAAAATTAGAAATTACAAAATGAGAAAACTTATTATTAATGGTAATACTAATTAAATTCAAATTTAATTGAAAATTGCGAAGACATAATAAAATTTACAAATAATAACGGTTACTGGGCAGAAATATCAACTAATCATTTCAAAAATAAAAATAATAATCAAATTAACTTCAAAAAAGCAATCGAAGACTCAAAGAAAATTTGGAAAATAATCAATTCAAAACTTTTAACAAAAAGAAAAACAATGATACAAAAAAACAACCCAGAACAATATGACAAATACAAAAACTCAATCATGGAACAACTTAGCACCTTCACCAAAAATAAACCGAAACATCATGACCCTGAAAAACGAGAAAATGGAAGAAAACTTGGAAAAAATGAAATCAAAATAATAGATAAATTAATTAAGAAAAAATAAAGCAGCTTAGATGGAGATGATTTCACAGGTCCAACCTTCGAAAAATTTTACAAAACCAACAAGAATCAAATAATATTAATTATAAACGAAATACTCAAATTCAGTTGGATTCCAAGCTCGATAAGAATCTTTGGTATTGGACTAGTACCAAAACCCGATAATAAAAACATTAGATCTGTCTACAGCCCAATCTATCCACTGAAAATTGTCGACAAAATATTATCAACAAGATTACAAACAATATTACCAAAACTCATCACACGGAAGACAATATGCATTTGAGAGCAAAGAATAAAGAAAATTCTATATGGATGTCCTTAATAATATTATTAATAATCCCGAAAACTCCATCATCAAAATCGATTTACAAAAAGCATTTGATGAGGCAAATCCCAGAAATGCGATCAATGAAATAAACATACATGAAAGATATACTATGGACCATGAACCAACAAATCAATAAACAATGGACATAATGCTCGTAAGAATGGGACATAGAGAGAATACCGTATGAAATAAAAATAAACCACAAAACAGATTGGACAACAGAAATGGAAAACAAGAAAATTGAAGAAAAAATCGCTGAAATAATGAAAAAATGCTCGCTGGAAACAAAATCAATCAATTCTATCATCAATCCAAATGGGAAAAATATAAATCAACATCTATATGCTAGACATCAATGGAGGAAAAGAATCAATGAAATTAATATTATTAATGATACACCTTGTTGTGAGATCAAAAAAAAATTACATCTACCACATATTAACAGAAAAAAATCACCTAACAGAATTACTTCAAGGAGAGATAAGCTGGAATTGGGACATCACAGAATCTGAAGACTTAAATCCGCCAACAAAAATCAACCTATTGATATTAATATTCGATATAATCAAATTAAACCACTAGACTCTCAAAAACACAGATCTAAATCAATTAGGAATATGAAAAACTACATATATCTTTTAAAAATATTCCCTGAGATAATCATATTAAGATTATCTAGGCTCAAACCTACGTTTCTGTAAATCTACAGTCACTAAATAAATACCTGTTATATTCAAGTTGAAATTTTAGATTTTCTTACACTTTTACTGCCAAGGTTTCTCAATGGAAACTTTTCTTGATTGCAGTTGATGCAGTTTTAGATTGAATATTTAGATGGCGCTACAAGTTTTCTAATTTCAATTAGTTTTTCGATTCCTTTAATTAGTTAATTGCTACGCGTTATTGTTCATTATCACGATTGAAATTTGTACCTTTCGACGAGAGTGATGATTCATTTATCTATTTTGAAGAATATCTTTTCGTTGGAAAGTCGATCGACTAAAAGTGTTGATGAGATCGCGAACTATTATAATTTGAACTTTAGTTTGTCTTAGTGAAAATTGAAGTTCGATAACTTTTAATATCTGTATTAAGAGAAAGATTTTATTGATAATTAACTTTTCGTATCTTATTAACACTTTATCGGGAGAGAGTTTTTAATTACAATTGTAGACTGGTGTGGAAAGTTTTCTCTAATAAATTTTAGATGAATCGATAGACTAGACAAATAATATTTAAGCGATCAAATTAAATGATTAGAAAATGATGATTGATTAGCTGCAAAAATTTAATGAGATTCAGTTAGAGTTAAGAGTAATTATGGGTTGATTAAAGTTCATCATGAGAGTTGATTAATGGTCCTGATAATTAAAAGAAATAAACAGAAACATGAATTAGATAAGATATATGATCAATTTAATTGTTTTCTAATTGTGATTACTGACCAAAGTCCAAGCCAAAAAGTTGATGGCTCTCTGGTAGAGATGGATAATTGTCTGAACAGAATTCAAATAAGTTCTGGAAATTGAACTTTTTCATTCTCATCGAGTTCAATTCGTTCGTTGCGAATCTTGAACGAGATAAACTCCAATCTGACCAGTCGCGAGTTCCAAGATTCTCAGGTAGTCTGATGATAGAGAGAGAGAGAGAGAGAGAGAGAGAGAGAGAGAGAGAGAGAGAGAGAGAGAGAGAGAGAGAGAGAGAGAGAGAGAGAGAGAGAGTTGAATGTAACAATTAAGAAATAGAATTGAACTTCAGTGTTCGGATTAGAGAATCGTAGTTACCCTTCTTTCGCAAACGACGTCCAAATGTTCATCATAATCGAAGAGAGAATTAAATCTTCTTTTGAATAGTCGTTTGGTTGAATTAAAGGTTGACCGAAAACGGGACTGAAATCATCATTTTGACCAAACGGCGACCATTGGATCTTATCGTCGATCATTGATTTCCAAAGTTTTTGACTTTGGTAAAAAGTATAAACTTTTGCTCGACCCGTCGAAGCTAAATGAAAGGCCAACAAGTATGTCGGACAATAAACGTTAACAATACTAATTAAACGATGATTGATTCCGTAATAATTATCGGGTCTCAGATCATGAAGTAAACCGTTAAAATATTTGTGACCGCCAACAAATGATTGACCTTTAACAAACGTTGAATTGGTTGGCCAAATGGGATTGACTTCCGATCCGGATATCGATAAAATATTTCCTGGATCACTTGAAACCCCAACTAGTACATTAACATTTTCATTGAATTGACCACTGGTCAAAGCGATCTCAGGTTTGATTGGTAAAAAGTCATCACCATAAACGGGTGCAAATAAAAGTTTATCCGCTTCCGGGTATTGACCATGTTGGTACTTCGATAGACAATTGATAACATTTGTTACCTTCGAACAACCAATTTTGTTGAGAAAAATTTTCGACACATTAGAAACTTTCCAAGAATCTAAATCGTAGATTGAACCACTTTGGATAATCGCGTTTACGAACAAATTTCTCGAATAAGGTGAAATGATATGAGCCGCAACCGAAGCAGCTCCAGCATCGTGACCGTAAATGGTCACTTTTCTAGGGTCACCACCAAATCTTAAAATATTATCTCGAATCCATATCAAAGCCGTTCGCTGATCCCATAGACCCATATTCCCGTGAATATCATGTTCAGGTAAATGAAGAAATCCAAAAACACCAAGTCGATAATTGATCGTTACAATAACCACATCATGGATAACCGCTAATGCGGTACCATCGTAATTGTCTGGTTGATTAGCTGAACCATAATTAAATCCTCCTCCGTGTATGAAGACAATAACAGGTCGAACTCTGTCCAAGGTCAAACCTTGGAAATCGCCTCTCGAATGGGTCGTGAAAATGTTCAGAACCAAACAATCCTCCGAGTAGATCAAATTACCTTTCGAACCAGTTAATTGGCCCTGAGCACAAAATGGACCCCATTTGTTGGCTATTAGATGATTCACATCAGTTGACCTTGGAAATGACCTTTGAAACCGATTAGTACCAATCGGAGGCTCAGCGTATGGAATCGACAAATATTGATAAACTTTAACACCTCGGAACAATTTAACTTTAGGTTTGACCGCCGTTCCTTGAACATATAACAATTTCGGATCATTTTGGACATTCAAACTAATTTGTTGAAACGATTCACTTGTTGAATAGATAATTGTTGCAATCAAAGTGATAATTAACTTCATTTTCATCAATTTAAAACTTAGTTAATGATGGATAATCAATGAGTGATCATAATCCATTGATAATGTAATTAGAAAATCAATCAAGTCTAATAGATGGGGCCAGTTGAAAAACTTTCAATCAAATTAATCAATTAACCAATTTACTAATTGTTTACACAGTAAATCATGTTAACTCAAGTATCACAATTAATCTAGAGAAATCTATTAAATTATATACAATGGTTTGTATTATTATAAACATTATCGTATTTACATTTTCAATATTTGATTACATTTACTCATTTAATGATTATTATGATAATTAAGAGTATTAATTGTAACCAAATGAGACTAATTATTATTACAATTGAGCACAATTGATTTTCTGTTTTTCTTTGATCAAAATAAACACGGGAAATTATTGAGAACTAGTTAAGGAGATACATTATCATTAATCCACTAATTTCATGAGGATTTTGTTTGGTTTGGACGAAATTCATTAAAGATTGTGATTCTTTTTTATTTTTCTTTTTTTCTTTCGTAAGTTGATTGTTGTAATTTAGTTGATTACTGATCACGAAGAAAAACACTTTTTCCAACGTTTTTTAAGTTATACTTCCAATGGACGTTTAAAAGGACATCAGGGACACATCAACAATTAGAAGACAGCAAAAAGAGAGCGAGAGAGAGAGAGAGATTGGATTAGTGGAGGATAATCAAAGTCCTATTTATAAATCCCTTTGTTTTTGTTAATCACTTTTGTTTGATTGTATCTTAAAAATCATAAATATAAATTATGTTTGTGTAATCAAATATATACGTAATTGTGAGTTTAAGCAAATCCAATTTGATGAGAAATGGCAAAATGAGGAAATAGAGATTAATTGTTGGTTTGATTTTCTCTTCTATTCTCAACAATTTCTCTTGCTCTCTTTTTGTTAAATGGTCTTTGTTTTGATGATCATTTTCTTCAAATAATTTGCTTCTTTAAATGGATGGAAGTAGATTGATGATGATAATGATTGTAATGATGAAGATGAAGATGATATGATATTTGACAAAAATAGGGTAAAACATGGATACCATCAAGAGCTATCCCTTTGGTCATCTCCCCTGTCTCTGCTGTTACTATTACTATTACTATTGCTGTTGCTATTACTGTTGCAATTACTGTTGTTGTTACTATTATTGTTACTTGTCGTGGTACTGGTACTTGTGGAGGTGGTACTGTTGATGCTGTTGATGTTGTTGGTGGTATTTGAATTATTGTTATTGTTGTTATTGTTGCTCTCTAAAAGGTGTAGACGTTTTTCCAGAGGTAACTTGTCAAAGAATTGATGATTCAATGCTTCGGTCAATGTTATCCGACTGCTTGGTTCATATTGCAACATTTTTCCTATCAGATCGAAAAGTAATCTATGATCCTCATCATCACTTAATAAATATCTATGTAAGGGTTTACAGTTTTCTCTAACATAACGTCCAGCTGATGATTTATAATCCCAATCAAGTCTTCCATGGTGATAATATTTGGTTCTATTGAGAATATATATAAAGAGAAAATTAAAAGATAAGTATAGAAAATAAAAATGACCATTAATTAATTTACAAGGATAGGGAATGGTAAACATGAAAATAGAGAAAATGAGAATTTAAATTGGAAAGAAATTGAGAGTAGAAAAAAGTGAACCAAAGCCAAGGTGGATGCAAAAAAAGTCTTCAAAGATGTCACCAAATAATCAGGATTGATGAAACTACAAATAACAATTAAGTAATAATAGCATAATCAATTAGTAAAATGTTACTACTAGGAAATAGCAAGCATGGTGGAGATAATTAAATTAGAAGAAGTGATTAGCAAAATTAAAGAGATTTTTTTGTCATGAATTATAACGATTTGATTCTGTGTTAGACATTTTTCCTTGGCCAGGTAGAGATCGAAAGTTAAACGCATACATACACACGCACACACAATCGATCAGAAATAGAACTTTTTTTTTTGGACCACAAGACATAAATCGATACATTTGATTTTGTTTGTTTGTTTGTTCGTTTGTTGATTCTGTTTTGAGTTTTGGGTCTTACGATCGGCGACTTACTTCGTTTTACGGCACATTCTATAAGGCAAAGGTCCTAATATTCTTTCCATCATTGCCAAATGTTCACGATTGTCATGAGTTTGAAATAATGTTATTCCAAGATAAAGTTCGAATAGTATACAACCAATACTCCAAACATCACAGGGTTGAGTCCAACCTAATTCGAGTATCACTTCGGGTGCACGATAATGTCGCGTTGAGACTATTGTCGAATGATGTTCATCGTCAAAAGTGGCTGATCCAAAGTCGATCAGTTTGATATCGGTGTTTTTCACTCGTTTGACATCTTTCTTCTATCACAAAGTTATCAACCATATAATACATGTAATAATTGTAAGAATATAAGAATAGAAAGAGAAAATGGAAGAGAGAAAAGAAAGATATATAAAAAGTAAAAGAAAAGGATAAAGGCAACTGATTGTTTTGCATAAATTGCTCTGATTCGATATCCATGAAAATGGGTAAGAATGAATGTTTTGAATGGAAGGAGAGAATATAAAATAAAAAAAAAACATCAACTTGATGAATAGTAAACATCATTTTGGATCGACTATTAACCTTTTCTTTGCTTTTCTTGGAAACATAAACAACATCAAAATCGGAATCAATGAATAGGATATTCTCCGGTTTTAAATCTGTATGTGTAAGGTGATTATCGTGGAGAACTGTGAAGAAAGAGATAGAGAGAGATAAATAGAAGAGATTAATAATCGGGATTAGGAAATAAAGATCAGCTGATTCAATTGATTTCTTACACTTAACAGAGTAACATAATTGGTAACCAATGTGACGAACTTGATCAATAGGATAAGGTTGATAATTATTATCTTTCTGTGGAAGGAAAATGAGAATTGGAATTAGTGAATATTGTCCAATATGAATTAGTGCAAAAAAAGGATAAAATGATGATAATCACCAAAAAGTCAAAAACGCTTAAACCAAGCATCTCGAATGCAATACAAATATGGCCATGGTAATCAAACCAATCTAACATTTTTACACAAAGACTTTGAAAAGAGTTATCGTTGGACCAGGAGGAGAAAACAAATGGGTAAAAAAGAGATTTGAAAATACAAATTAGTGCTTTGAATATAATTAGGACCTAATTTTAATTACTTACTGTTTACAATGTGGATCTGCTTCAGCTAATTTTTCGAGAACATTAATTTCCAGTCTTGCAGCTTCTCGGTATTTGTCGACATTTTTTATTATTTTAAGAGCCACCATTTGATCACTATAATAAGAATATTAATAGAAGATAATGAAAACGTGTTAGAATTTTAGGTGTGCATTTGTGGTCATGGAAAGTGGAACGGTCAATACCTCCGAAGGTCCAAGACTCGAACGACTTTTCCAAAGGTTCCTTCACCAAGGGTCGAAAGTATCTTATCTAGAAACGGAATAGAAAAGAAAATGAGAAAAAAGAATCCAAATTGATGAAAAGATCTTTTCATAAGTAAATAGACAAAAGTAAAGGAGAGAGAGAGAGAGAGAGAGAGAGAGAGATTGATTGACGTTTACATGTATATTGTAACCATTGCACGTTGTCATGAAAGAGGAAGAGAAAATGATGATAAAAGGATAGAATTAATTTGAACCAGATCGAGACCGATAATAGAATCTTGATTAATTGGTTCAACTTTAATTCTTTATCCCCTTGATTGGATGTTTATCTTTTCCTTTCATTCTCTTTCCTTTTGTTTTCTTTATCCACTCTTACTCAATACTCTCTCATCTCTTGCTCTTTCGCTATCTCTGTCGTTTTCTCCCTCTCTCTCTCTCTCTCTCTTTTTACCAAATGTAAGTGCAAATAACACACGCTGGCAATAAGCAATTTCTTTCGTAAAGGAGGGAGAGAGAGAGAGTATTTAAAGATCAAGATTGTTATCACATCGAAAAGATAAAGGAGAGGTAAAAGGTTGAATACGTTAGATAAAAAAGGATAAGAAATGAATTACATCTTTTTTGAAGAATGTCTCCTCGGCGATATATAAGATGTCCATCTTCATCGTCATCCATATTTCTTCGACGATACCTTCTTCTCTCTGGTGATAAGTTTCTACCCTTTCTGGTTGCTATGTAAGGAGAACGCGATCGATAATTTGACATGATGTTCCAAAAGCCAAAACCAAAAGGCAAGAAGAACCGAGGGAAATTTTAATTACAGTGAAAGCCAAACACCAACCACCACCAGCCGAGAACAGAGAGAATCAGCACAATAGTTCAGACGGATCAAGAAAGTGACAGTAATTGTGATAAAAGGTGGAGATAATGATAGAATAAAGATGAGGTTGGGGTAAGAGAATAAAGGAAGGAAAATATCAACATAGAAAAAGAGAGGGTAAAGAAAAGAAGGGGATGAAAAAAGAACAAAGATGAAAATGAGAAAAAAGAACAAATTGAACCAGATGAATGGACACAGGAGAAAGAATATTGATGATAATTAGGATTGGAAAAGAAAATCAAGATGGAGTTGAAAGGCAATTAAATAAGCCAAACAAGAGAAAGAGAGAATATCAAAGTTTTCAAATGAGAGAAAAAACCAATGACAAGAAGAGATTATGATGGAGACGAAAAGAGAAAAAGTGAGAAGAAAAAAAAAGAGAAAGGGAAAAATTGGAGAAAAAAGAAAACCAAAACCAGGCCAGAAAAGAACTCAATGGAAAACCAATTTTTTAGACTCTAATCAGAGATATGGAAACAATTAATTGTGTTAACAACAAATGGAAAAGATAAACAGGTAATATGGTGACAATTAGGTGACTTGTTAGAAAGTTAATTAACAATTACATCTAATTAAGAGATACTTTTGATTTGGAAAATTGATCAACATTTTGTTTTCTTTTTTTCCAAAAAAATTCTCAATGCGCAGTATCGAGAAAAGAATAACAGATGGCAGCACATTTTCTTTTCGCAATTAATTTGAATTGTTTTTCTTTTTCCATTTAATGTAAACACTTGAGTAATAATTAATTTCTTTCGTTTAATTTTAATCAAATTAATTAACTCCAATCAAGTGGAAATTATGGATGGTCGAATAATTAAAGATCTATGTTTTGTATGGAACAAAAAGAAAAGGTTAGTTTGTTTTTCTTTTTTTTTCTTTTCTATTGTTTTGGTTTTGTATTTCTTTTTTTTTTGTTCTCTTCTGGGGTTAATTGATTTTTTCAATTTCTTTTTGATTGGCAGGTGGAAATTAATTAATCCATTGGTTTGTCGTCATCAATTATCAATGATTTTCTTTGGTCTCTCGTTGATCTGGTGATATGTTTCTCTTTTTCTCTAGTATAACTGATGATTTTCATTTTCTCGCCTTCTTCTTGGCAGAGTTGTTGGTGGAAAATAAATTCTCTCCATCTCTTGTCAGCAAAAAAAGAAAACCAGGAAAAGAGAAACATCATCACCCGTGATCATTTATTACTTATCTATTAATATCTATCAAATTTAGCTGATTGGTGTGATTTCCATCAAGAATAACATATGAAACAATTTGGTGTACTAACTCAGAGAGCAGTTAAAGAAAACTAACCAAGAATGTGTCGATCATAGTCAAGGATTACCTGATGAAATTAAGATCAATTGGAAAAGTACTTACAATTAAACTCTCATTAACTGTACAAAGGAATCACTAATCAGGTAAATAGCAAATTGTCTAATCAAGAGTTAAATATTATATATATTGAATGTTAATATCTTTTCTTTTGTTTGATTATTAGGAAAGAGCTTGGATATTTCTGATGATTTGATTTGCATTTGATTTGATTTAATTGATACCAACCTTTGAAAAAACTGTAATCCGATTGGAAAAGCGTGGCAATTTAATTTGATCAATAATCACAATGTGAAAAAAAGGAGAGAGAAATTAACAAAAACTTAGGAACAACAATTAACAAAATAGACAAGCCAATAGATGAACAATTGATTGTGGGCAGTTAAACAAGTTGAATTCAGATTAATGTGGTGAACTTTACAAACACATACAAAAAACTCAAGTTGATTATTATAATGATAATATTTGGTCAACAATTAAGGAAAATCAGTTAACTGGAAGACAAAGACAAAAGATAACCAATGATGGAGTTACAAAATGCAACAACTGAATTAAGTGATCAACAATGAAAAGGAATCAAAAAACTTAATGAAAGGCAAAAATGTAACAATCTAATCAATGATAAAACATAAACACACACACACTATGTTTTATTTTGTTTATTAATGATGAAGGCGATGATCATGATTAAGATGATAACTGTTGTTTAATGTTGATGGTAAATTGTTGACGATATAATCAACAACAGTATTAAGGTTGGGCCTGATTGTGTCTTGGGCCGGGCAAATGTATCGGTGTGGATAACCTTAGAGTAAATTTGAATTTCCTCTAAAAATATAACCGAAGATATATTCTTGATGATGATTAAGAAAACAGCATTAGCATATAAGAGAGAAATCAAAATAAACAATTAACAAAGTAAACTCCAAGTGTGAAACAACAACAACAACAACAAAAATATATTAATTAATTAGACAAAAAGGAAAAGTTAATCAAGAGAATGAAGAAGAAAAAAAAAGTTTGTTGATTCAACAATGGGAACGATGATTAACAATTTGAATAAACTTTTCTACTGTTCATTGAATTTACACCGTTTGGTAGATCGAGTTGTGGAAGTTAATTATTGGTGATAATTAAATCGTAGTGATTAAGGATTAGTGCTAAGGGTAAATGTCTTTAAAATTGTTGTTGTTTTGTCTCTTTAACTTGAAGATGAAAAAAAACATTTAAAGGAAAACGTTTTCTTCCTCATTTAGCTTAAGCTTTTTTACATTTGGCTCTCTGCCTGTGGGATGATGATGATGATGATGATGTTTATTATGGAGAAAAGATGAAGAAAGAGGCGAAAACTAAAAAGAAAGAGAATAAGATGATGAGGAAGATGAAAGATGCTAAAAGAAAATGATTCTCATCTTCATCATCTTCCTCTTCACCCTAAAACAGATTCAGCTACATTCTAATTCTTGTTTGTTGCTCAAGAGGAAAGAATCAAATTCATTTCTAATTGTACAATGATAATAAAATAAAGTCATAGAGTAACATTTTAATTTGATGAGGATGAGGATGAGGATGAAGAGATGAAGATGAGAGAGAGGGGATGAGTGCAAATCCTTTCTTTTCATATGTGATGAGAGAGTGAGAATGATGAAACTTGTGGCATCGACTTATCCCGAAATAGATATTAACAGAGATGATGATTGAGATGATGAAGATGATGAGGATGATGAGGATGACGAGAGGTGAGGGCGAAAAGCCAAAAGAAAAGTCATTCGCCAGTCTCTTTTTGATTAACTTCCTTTCTTTTTATCTTTGTTTTTCCTTCCTACTAATATTTATCATCATCATCATCTTCATCTTCATCTTCATCATTATTATATTCATCTTCTCTTGTCGTAGTCAAGTGGTATAACCCCAGTGTCCTGCCTTCTCATTGGTCAGGTTAATGCTTGGTGGTTGCGGTTCGACTCCCGGCAAGGGCAGTATACTGGTACTTTGATCCTGTACCAGGAGGAGGTCGACTAATATATATGACCTTCACGAGGGTGTCACTAGAGGGCACTCAGTCATATGACAGTCGTAAAGACTTCAAGTCTCTAACTTGAACAATCAAATCAAATTATACACTTTATCTAATGGAAAATTTAAAAAACAAAACAATCAACCAAAAATAACCAGACAAAGGAAATGGTCAAATCAAACTGATATCACAGAATCCGAAGACTTAAAACCAACAACAAAGATTATCATTCTATTATTATTATCTCCATGTATTAATATTAATATTCGATATAATTTTCATCATGTACATATATCCTTTAAAAATATTCTGTGAGATAATCATATTAAGATTATCTAGGCTTCAAACCTATGTTTCTGTAAATTTACAGTCACTCAATAAATACTAATATTTATCATCATCATCATCTTCATCTTCATCTTCATCATTATTATATTCATCTTCTCTTTCTGATAGTCATGAAAGGATGAAACTGAATTGAAACGAGATTTCTTGATTAATCAACAACACCTGATCTAAAATTAATCCTTGATTAATAATGACAAACAATCACAATTTGATTCAATGATTAACATTGATCATGAAAAGTTGATTGAAATAAACTTATCAATTACTGATTTTGTTGCTTAATCGTCACGGTTCGAGTTAAAAAGTTGATGATTTACTAGCAGTAAATCAATTAACCGTCAATCTAATTACAATTAACTTTTTCGCCATCTTGATTCACTGAGAAATATCAGTAACATGTTAGCTAATAATTTACAAGAATAACCAAAAAATTAACCCTGACATTTAAATACAATTACAATGTTTAAGTAGAATTTTTTTCCAAATATTATTCATGAATTAACATTCTCATCCTCATCCTCATCCTCATCTTCATCTTCATCTTCATCTCCATCCTCATCTTTGCTTATAAAGAATAATTAAAATTATTAATAAACCCATTGATGATGATTCTCCTCATGATGAGATACAATTTTTTGTTTTCTTTCTAATTGTCTCCATTCATTAATTACTTTGTTAATTAATTACACTTTGCATTTTAAAATTTTCTACAGTTAATTGTGTATATATATTTTTTTTACGAGAGATGATGATGATGTTGATTAGTTTAATTAGCGATTATGGTGATTATAATGTTGTTGTTTCTATCGATGAATCAAGTCGTAGAAAAAGTGATTTAATTTGGTCAACTAATTGTGATAAATCTCGAACCAGTAGGTAGTCTCGAATTAATCTTCTCGAATCATCGGAAATGTCCCGATATTCTTGGGCCATAATCTCTTGTCCGATGTGATCTTCGGGGGAAATCTCTCGATACCACATCCCTAATTGTAATTCGCACAACAATTGACGTAAATGATCCTCGATCTCTCGAAATTCATCAATCAATGAACCATCATGAAGAACTTGATCAAGATTAATTTGTTCTAAACCAACAGCGAAATATTGTAAATACTTGAAGCTTTTCCTTAAAGCATCGGGTTCCTATCGAATGAATCATAATCAATTAGTAGAATTTATTATCTGAGAAGAAAAAATGTTCGAAAATTATTTGTATGTTTACCTCGAACTGTTCAAACTCTTCGATTATCGCTTGAACCTCCGGCAGCCATTCCAATCGTAAATCGATTACTCCAGATTCAAAATCTTCGTCTCCCAAGAATTTAATCTTTACCAAAGAAATTAGATCAACAATTAAGAATATTTTTCTCTCAGGTGAACAATCAATTCTATTATTGTTAACACAATCTACTTATTGATTAACTTTTAAAAGTAAAACTATCGATTTTAATTGTGAAGATAATAAATCAAACATGATTACCTCTAAATCAGTTGTAATCCGCTATTAACTGTTGGTTGATTTAAAAGCTTGATTTATGGGAAAGAAAAGTTTATCAATACAATTGTCTAACTATTAATACAAGGACATTTTGTAACAATTTATACAATCAACTAGACAATTAATGAGACTGTTGATTAAAGTGAAATTGATTAATCGTCAGGATTATCGATCTCAATTCCCAACAATTAATCTGATTACATGTTTTCTTTTTGTTACCTTGATGGTAAATTGATTGTGTCTTAATGATCAATTGTGAAAGAAAATATTTCATGGTAATAAAATTAGAATTAGGTTATTATTATTACTAATACATGAGGTTAATTGTAATAAATTGTAAATTGTAATTCCTAATGATTAGTAATGAGAAAATCTTTATGACCTAAATCTTTGTAAATAATTAAAGGTTAATAAAGGTAATTCAAATTTCCAATGGATATTGATTGTTGTAAACAAAAATAAATGTTAGTCCAGTAAATCAATAAATTAACAACAATTAACCCAATAACCATTAGATTAATTGACTGACAAGGTTTACAATTAACGGGAAAATTGAATAATAATAATTAAAGTTAAACTTGTCTATGATTTCTGGTTGATTATTATCATGAACAATTTACTGGTTGTTAATCATTAACAGATATTCAATGAGCTGGTTAACAAATTAAAGTCTAAACTGTAATCTGATTGTTGATTATCAAACATGATTTAGAGTTAATTGTTTATCAGGTAAGAGGATATTCATTGGATAGAGATTAAGGATTATGATGATGAGTTTTGACAGATTAAGGATTGAGGCTTTCGATTGTTTTTTTTCTCGCTGATTGTGAACAATTAATACTTACGAATTGTTGTCTAATATTTTCCGATAATCCTTTCGTTGTTGAGGCCCGACGAGTGATCTTTTCGTAAATGTCTCTAACTGAAGGTTGACTTTCTTTCGTCGGTGATATGTAAATAGGAAGATTACATGGATTGACCCAAGGTGGATGAGCAACGGATTTAGATGGATTAGTGCCAAGAGGTTGTTTCGTCATGTTGATTATTAATCTGTTGTTGTTTCTCTTGTTGATACAATTACAGAGAGTTACTGACAATTATAATCTGTGAATAAACTGGAGAGAGAGAGAGAGAAGATAAATCACAACAATTAAGCAGAATTAAAGGTAATTGAGAAGAAGAGAAGAGAATTTGTTTTTTTTAGAATTCACTGTGTTCAATTGGATGTTTCATGGAAAATCAGTAATGTTATTATAACAAAGAAGATGATAACAAGATGAGTTGAAGAAGATGAAAGAAAATAAGTTAATTATAACTGTAACAATTAACGAACTTTAAAATATAATGAATAGAAAACACGAAGAAAAAAAAATTTGGTTACTTTTTCGTTCTCAAAGTTTTGTGGACTCAAATGATTCTCAATGTTGTTGGATAATTAAAGAGTTTCTATCGGGTCACAATTAACTTAATCAGTTTGAGTTTGTTGTGTGTGGAAAGTTGATCATGAATGACCGGCGAATGGTTTGACTGAATGGTAACAATTAAGAAGAAAATTAAATTACCAATTGAATTGAGTTTCTTTCGAAAGGAGCAAGAGTGGAAATCGGTTGATTGGTTACGAAGGAAACCAAAGGAATAAACATTTTCAATTCTCTTCTCGTTTTGGTAACAAAATATTCACTTAAATCATCACAATCATTAAGATTTTTTCTCCAATTATTTATAATTACTGATCAATCGATTGATTGCTGTTAAATTATTATCGTAATTCAATTTCATGTTTTAATTTTCACTTGAAACAATTCAACTCAATTGGAAAACATCAACACCCTAAACAATAATTTTACCTTTTGCTTTATCTTCAATTAGACTTACCAACCTGTGGATCTGTCAGTTGATTTATCTGGTTGATTAAATCAACTAATTGTCATTTATAGCCTTTGATAATTAACTATTATTGGGGTGATTTAAATTACCTCAGAGATATAAAGTTAATCTATCCGATTCTCAAGAAATCCTATTAACTAACATTCAATTGTGAACTTTGATTTTTGTGACATTTGCTGATCATTTTAAAATTTATACTAATTGTTCAGTTAATTGTGACTGTTTGGGTGTTAATTGTTTCAGGGAATCATGAAATAATCCAAACATCCTAATCAACGTTATATTTTTGTAATTTTCAAGTTAATTTAGATCAATGAATTTACCGTTACTTTCAAGGGAATTAATTAACTATTGAACTTTGATGAATATTAAATTAATCATTAATCAAAATCGCTTTACTATTGATCTGTTGTTTAATCATTTCCTCGTAGTCATTGATTAATTGCTGGGAAAATGTTTTCATTTATCTATTGAAGAGGAACTAAAATTAAAATTAACCTCTAACTTGATTACTTTTAATTGTCTTTTAAATTACAATTCATTCTAAATTAACGTAACCAATTAAAATTTTGATCGATATGAAATCGTTTTGTTTATTGTTTGTATCTCTTTTGGTGCTTAATATTGGACTAATTAAGGTAAGTCAATTAAATTGTTGTTCCAATAAAATTTATTCCAAGTCTTTATTACCTAAATCATTTCGATTGGTAATTAATGAGCCTTAATTAATTGTTTCCTTTCGTTGAGAGCAATACATTGGTGTTTAATTGTTTCGAAAGTTTCGTAGTTTAGTTTCTCGAAAATTGTTCTGATCAAATGAAATCTTATTCATCTTATATTCATATGATTACATTTCCCCCTGAAATCAATGACTGAGTAATTTAAATCATCTTCTGTAATTGTGTTGATTGTTTTCTCTCTGTTTAGGCTGAAAATGATCAGTCAAGTCCATTGGAACCACTTCGACGCTTAATTGTTGGTCAAGTATCTCGATTACAACGATTAGCTCCACAAGTGAATCAACCATCACAAGCAATTAACGAACAATCTGAAAGATCAATGTATTCATCTTCACGAATCATGGACTCAATTAACAAAGGAATCGCCAATGGATACAAGAAATTCAAAGGAGCAGGATCATGGAATTGATTGAATTTTAATCAAAAGCAATTAAACATTTCCATGGACTTGAGATCTTTATTTTAATTCCTCTCAATCTAATTGGTTGAGAAAATTAAAAAAAAACAACAATAGATGAAAAAAGTGATTAGTGACTTTTTGATGTGTCAAAATTAGTTGATTAGCTTAATTGTTTCAAAACAAGCAATTCGATTAAAGTGATGAGCAAATGATCATAATGAGAAATTTTAATTGATAGAAATTGAAAGCTAAGCAATTAAAAAAGTTGATTAATTTTTCTCATCGAGATCAGAATGAACTTCTGTTGATTCCTCAGCGGATTCTGAACGTTCCGGTGTTTCCTGGAAATAAATTCTGATCGCAACGAATAGATATTTCATCCGACCCTGCATTGGACTACCGATGAGGGTTTGGTCAACCGAATGTTGAAAAGAAAGGCCAACATCGTGATGGACGAACGGAGGAATGATCAGAGTTTCGATTGTTGCTATTCGTCTCTTAATTAGTTTCTCTCCAATTTGGGATGATTGGAAATTCTTATACCAATCGATAATATCCTGATGGAAAGTCTTCTGATCGAAAGCAATTGAGGATAAAATTAACTCGGGATTATGAGTGAATAATGACAAATCGCTGTTCGATGCGGCCATTAATCGTCCCATTTCGTTTGGTTTGGTACAATAGATTCTCAAAAATCTGACCATCTTGTCGATATCCTGTTTGACCCACCAAGTCCTTCGAGTTTCAAGATTTTGATTCTCAGTTTCTGGAATTAAAATTAAATTAGTTAACATGTAAGATTAAGATAATCAACTGATTGGTGATCATACCTCTCACTCTTATATCGACGGCTTGAGCATTACAAAAGTTTAGATCTTGATTAGCGATTAACCATTTCGCCGATTTATCAATTAATTGTGAAAATTTTTCTTTCGTTCTAAACGATTGTGATTCAGTTAAATCAAATTCGGGAACAAAATCAACGAGAACAATTTCATCTTCCAACCAAGAGCCGATCTGGAAGAAAACTCTGATTCCAATGAGAAAATTGGTAAATCGATTCATGTCTCGAGTCGTTTTTCCATCGGAAATATAAGTAGCGTCAATATGATAGTTCCAATCATCATTAGCACCGATTTTAATTGTTTCGATTTGTAAGATTTTCCCGTTAATCCGACCACCTTGAATCTCTTCATTAATTCCCTCGATTAGATCCTCGAGTTGTTCAAAAGACTGATCGGCTCGGCGATTGGGGACAAAATCTTTATACCAAAAGATCACATCATCGGTACAATAGTTAACGGTCTCTGACCTGCGAACCCAAAGTCGAAGAGTGTAAACATCGGCAGAATATTCAATCTCCGAGACGACAGAATGATGATATTGAGGGACAGTTTCACAGCTGATCACTTCCCAGGAGGGATTCCGGTGAAGCCATTCATTGGCGAGATTGACTAGAGAGCTGATTAAAAGAATCGAAAATTAAATTAACTGGAGAACAAAAAGAAAATTAAAATTTCGAATTTCGAATTTCGAATTTACCTGAAACTGTGATAAACAGTTCGATCTTGAACCTTTTTACAAAACGACGGGATAAAATCGACGAACGTAAATACAGTTGACTCATCGATGTGTCCATCTTTGATTATCCGATTTTGAGGTGACCTTTTGTCCTTAAATCGATCAGAATTTACCTTTCGTAAACCTTTATGGCCTCGATAAACAATTAACGCCATTAGCACAAAATGTTGATCACAATTAAACAGGAAAGATTTAATTTGTTTACAAGAAAATGATAACAAAACAATCAACTGAAATGGTAAACAAAGATGACCGGACAATGGAAATGATCAAGTCAGACTGACCAGTGAGATTGACAAACAGAGTCGATTCAGTTAACCCACATAATTAAAGTGAATCTAGTCAAGTTAAACTAATCATTAAAAGAGTCAACATAACAATCAGTTGTAGATTTCTAACCCAATTGATTAAACACTTTGTCTAATGGAAAATTTAATTAACTCGACTGTTCGTCATAGTGACGGTTCTCATGCTCTAAATAATTGCTTTCAATTGACTTGTAATTATTTAGACGATTATTGATTATCTTTAATCATCGAGCTCGAAACCAGAGAGAGAAAAAAGAAAATCAATTGAGGCGAATGTGACTCCATCTATTGTCTCATCTGTCGAACGGAAAATTTTCATTTCATATTAATCGCGATTGTTAAATGAAAGGGAAACAATTTAATTGTATTAATGAAAGTAAATTTATTTCTTTTTCTAAATAAAGTGTTTGTTAGTTACAATATTATTCTTGATAAAAGATAAGTTTGTTTGTTTTTTTCCTAATGAAATAAATAAAATGATAACATTGTATGATTGGAAAAAGTTTAACATAGATAATGAATACAATTAAGATTTAATTGTAATCGTAATTGTATTATTGTAATTGACTTTCATTCATTGATACATTTTAAATGAGTATGAGGAAATATTAACAATGTATTTTCAAGTTTAGTTGTAAGTGAAGATGAAAAAAAAAAGAGTTGAATTTATACATTTACATGTGTTTGTGCGGTGGGGAGATTTACGATGTTTTAATCAACTTCCTCAATGGTTGGTCCTTTGGCTCCAGCGGAGGCACCAGGGGCACCAGCGGCACCAAAGTCTGGCATTCCACCGGGCATTCCTCCGGGCATTCCACCAGGCATTCCACCGGGAGCTCCACCGGCACTTTGGTACATTTTGGTAACAATTGGATAGCAAACATCTTGAAGCTCTTTTTGTTTATGTTCAAATTCTTCCTTTTCGGCAAGTTGATTACTGTCCAACCATTTGATTACTTCATCGACCTTGTTAAGAACTTTAGTTTTATCATCTTCGGCAATTTTAGCGTTAGGCTCTTCCATTGTGGATTTCATGTTATAACAATAACTTTCAAGAGCATTTTTAGCGGCAACACGTTCTTTCACTTTGTCATCATCTTCCTTAAACTTCTCAGCTTCATTAACCATCTTTTCAATTTGTTCCTTAGTAAGACGACCTTTATCATTGGTGATGGTGATCTTATTTTCACGACCAGTACTCTTATCAACAGCGGTAACATTTAAGATACCATTTGCATCAATATCGAATGTCACCTCAATTTGAGGAACACCTCGAGGAGCAGGTGGAATACCGGCCAATTCAAATTTACCAAGAAGATTGTTGTCTTTGGTCATTGCTCGTTCACCTTCATAGACCTGGATTAATACACCAGGTTGATTGTCAGAATAGGTGGTGAAAATTTGTGATGTTTTGGTGGGAATGGTGGTGTTTCTTTTGATAAGAGCTGTCATGACTCCACCAGCGGTTTCAATGCCAAGAGAAAGAGGGGTAACATCAAGAAGTAATAAATCTTTAACTGTTTCATCCTTGTCACCACTAAGAATTGCTCCTTGAACAGCAGCTCCATAAGCAACAGCTTCATCAGGGTTGATAGATTTGTTAAGCTCCTTACCATTGAAAAAGTCTTGTAGAAGCTTCTGGATCTTTGGAATTCTAGTTGATCCACCAACCAATACAATTTCATTGATTTGTGCTTTGTCAATTTTAGCATCTCGAAGAGCCTTTTCAACAGGGTCCAATGTTGATCGGAAAAGATCAGAGCAAAGCTCTTCAAATCGAGCACGAGTGATTGTGGAATAAAAGTCAATACCCTCATGAAGAGAGTCAATCTCGATACTTGCTTGGGTTGAGGAAGAGAGAGTTCTCTTGGCTCGTTCACAAGCAGTTCTCAATCTTCTTACAGCTCGTTTATTAGCAACAATATCCTTCTTATGCTTACGTTTAAATTCCTCAATAAAGTGGTTAACCATTCGATTATCAAAATCTTCACCACCCAAATGAGTATCACCGGCGGTTGATTTAACCTCAAAAATACCATCATCAATTGTTAAGATGGATACATCAAAAGTACCACCACCAAGATCAAATATGAGGATATTTTGCTCACCAGCACCTTTCTTATCCAAACCGTAAGCAATAGCAGCAGCGGTGGGTTCATTGATGATTCTCAAAACATTAAGCCCAGCAATTGTACCAGCATCTTTAGTTGCTTGTCTTTGACTATCATTGAAATAAGCAGGAACAGTAATCACAGCATTGGTTACAGTCTTACCCAAATAAGCTTCAGCAGTTTCCTTCATCTTGGTAAGAACCATAGCAGAGATTTCTTCAGGGCAGAAGGTCTTAGTTTCACCCTTAAATTCAACCTGAATCTTAGGTTTGGTATCCACACTAATTACCTTGAATGGCCAATGTTTCATATCAGCTTGAACACTTGGTTCATCAAAACGTCGACCAATCAACCGTTTAGCATCGAAAACAGTGTTAGATGGATTCATGGCTACCTGATTTTTAGCAGCATCACCAATTAACCTTTCGGTATCAGTGAAACCAACATAACTGGGTGTGGTTCGGTTTCCTTGATCATTAGCAATAATTTCAACTTTTCCATGTTGAAAAACACCAACACAGGAATAAGTTGTTCCAAGATCAATACCAATACAAGGACCAGCAGACATTTTCAATTAAACAAAATTTCTTGATTTCACAAAGCAAAAGTAAACGTTCACAAAGAATAATAATTAAATAGTAAAGAGAATTAACACTTTTTAATTGAGAGTAGGTAAAGTAGAGAAAAAAACACAGAGTAAGAGTTTAAAGAGCGTTTGTTGAGAGTAAGTTAATTGTTCACAATTTGATTCAATTTCTTCAATTGCTTGTTGCTGATTCACTCGCTCTTTATATAAGTAAAACTTATTTTCTCTCGAATATTCTAGAGGCTCCGCCTTCTTTCCAGTCGTTGCCATGGTTACGCTCGTTACTTTTATTCTCTTTCATTCTCTCCAAAGTTCTTCAAGATTCTAGAAGCAACTGGAGATTGATGATTAAGGTTAAGTTCAACGAATTGTTACTAAATTTAACTGAGTAGGTTGATTATTCTAATTGTAATAGAATATTTTTCCATGACAAACTGAGGAAATATTTTTCTTTTACTCTCATAATGATCAATCTCAGTTTCTTCTGGATCATCACCTACGTAATTAGTTGATTAAATCACCAACCAACTGATGTAACAGAGGAAAAAGGTAATTGTCCATCAAGAGGAAGAGAAGGTTTTCTTTTTTTTCTCTAACCTTTATTACTTATTTATGTAAGTTTTGTTTTAAATTAATTTCTAAATGTGAGTAAACCCTTGTGCTTTTTTTTGGTTAATTGTATTAATTGTTTATTGTCTCTTCCGGGTTTTAGTATAATCATCAACAACGGATCTTTTATCGTTTTGGTTTTGTTTTAAGAGAGTCATTTCTCATTCTTTTTTTTCTGTTTGGTTGCTGCAATGGTTTTGGATTTCCAAATGGTCTCTCTTGGAAACTTGTATAATTGGATTGCTTTTTTTTACTGATGCATTCACGGGAATGCACCGTTGTCATGAATGCTGATTTAGATTTGAAAGTCAATGATGATTTACATGTATATTGGATCCTTTTGTCCGGGAGCAAACCTTTGGCTGAATGATGTCTTGTCTTGACCAATGTGTTCTGCACTTTTCTGGTCATAATACAACGAGTATGCAATATAAAGAGCGCAATCATAGAGATAATAAACGGACAAACTAGTAATATTATCAACGGGGTATAAAAAGATGAAGAATCAGGAGGAGAAGAAGCCGGTAAAGGAGTTGAAGAAGAACAAGTCTAAGAAGTCTATGTAGGAGTTTGAGGAGAAGTGATCGGTCGAGGAGTACGAGTGGGTGGAGGAAGTGGAGGTCTCAGAGAGATGATAAGTAATCAAGTTGTCATCTTCTCATTTTATCAATGGGCCTTGTCTTTCAACCATAACGATAGATAATCAATAAGGACCAGAATTCACTTCGCAAAAACGCATTGTGTTGAGGTATAATACACGAACACGTTGCCATTTTTCACGTGCAACAGGTACTCGTAGGCTCTATAAGAATAAGCTGGAGCAAAATGAACTACGTTAGGGTTCGTGTTGAGAGCTCGACTCGATGGATCAGTTGTGTAAAAATAATTTTCAGTGAAAAAGAAATAAGAAGTTTTTAAACTGTTGTTAAAAATCGGGATTATATTAGGTAAACAACTAAGTAATGGCCAAAATTTTTTCGAGCTTATATTTGGCTTGATGTTAGAAAACTTTAGATTTTTGATTAATAAATTTAGTATAATTAGAGAGGTTAGATAATAAGCTTTAACATGATACATAAACGATCCTTTTATGATGATTAGTTTAATTACAATTAAATTATATCTAAAGTGATAGAATCATAATCATTTACCATTGATTTTCCATAAAGAGCCGATTTTCATGAAGTTCTTGATTTAGAATCAAATGATTATGATTCTATCACTTTAGATATAATTTAATTGTAATTAAACTAATCATCATAAAAGGATCGTTTATGTATCATGTTAAAGCTTATTATCTAACCTCTCTAATTATACTAAATTTATTAATCAAAAATCTAAAGTTTTCTAACATCAAGCCAAATATAAGCTCGAAAAAATTTTGGCCATTACTTAGTTGTTTACCTAATAAGATGACAATTAACACCAAGTATCGATGAGAGAAATATACAAATTGAAGAAAAACTTGTCAATGAAATTAAATGAAACATTTTGTTCGAGAGAGGAAAATATTACAAACAATCTACTCTTCATTGTATCCATTGGATATCTGAACAATTTTAAAAAACAATTCGATTGCTTTTAAGGACTTGAGAAACTGGTTAATTAATCTATTAGTTAGATTAATTTCTCGACCAAACTCATCATCGTAAGGGTCAAGATCATCACATACGAAATTAATTGAATAAATCACTTAACAAATGGGATAACAATAACAAAGGAAAAAGGTAATTGTCTTCATTTTTTATTGTCTCTTCCGGGTTTTTGTATTTATAACCAATAGCAGATCTTTCATCTTATAGATTTTGTTTCAAAACATTCATTTCTCAATCTTGTTTTCTGTTTTGTTGTTGTAGTGCTCTTGGATTTCAAATGGTCTCTCTTGAAAACTTTTGGATTAATCGAATTGACTTTTTCGCTAAACAATTCACGGGAATGCACCGTTGGCATGAATGATGATCTGGATTTGAAATTTAACGATGATTTATAACGGATTCTTTGGCCCAGGAGCGAACCTTGCAATGGATGTCTTCTTGTCTTGTCAGTTTTGTCGTTTACTTTTCTGGTCACAATAAAAACAGTGATCACAATCACAGAGATAATTAAGGCGCTAACTTGTAATATTATCAAAAGGGTATAAGTAGATGAAGATTCAGGAGAAGGTGGAAGTGGTGGAGGTGGAAAAGGAGTAGGAGGTGGAGGTGGTGGAGGTGGTGGAGGTGGTGGAAGTGTCGCTAAACCGATGGCGAAAGGATTACTATAAGTGATCAAAGTTTCTTCGTCTCTTAGTTGAAATTGAAATTGTCTAAACATAGCAATAGCTAACTGATAAGGACCAGGATTCACTCGGTCGCACCTGAGGAAAACCACTGACTGCTGAGGCGAGACAGAACAATGACTAGTAATGGAAGGTGTTATGGAGTGGACCAAAGTAACGGTCAAGGGGAAAATGTTTGAATGTAATGAATGGTAACCAAGCAATTCGAAAACCAACTCAAAGCGCGGTCTGTCAGGCCTGTAGTCCAATTGAATATTAGTTGGAGTGAAACATGGATTTACTGTGTAACCTGTGGGCAAAATTTCTCTGTTGGAATGATGATGAATTAGAATTAAATCAAAGAAATAGAGAAGAGACTATTTAAATGATTACCTTGAATCAGTTGAATTAACCTCTCCGATTGAACATTCACCCGATGTTAATGAATTTCCTGGTGTCCATTGACAATATCGGAGAAAATTATCATTTTCATCATAAACTTTGGTTGTAAAACAATCAATACATGAATTGTTTAGGAAAGGACACAAAATAATTGAATCAGTGTAAGTATACTGATCAAGTGTAATTAAAACTCGTGGATGAGTAAAAGCGTAGTAATAAATTTGTGAATTTCTGTTATTTACGTTAACAATATTAGGATGATCGAACACCCTTTCGATCGGATGGATTATAGAATAATTTACACCAATAAAGTGAATTGAATATCGATATCTGGTAAATCCAAGGTCAGCGGAAAGAACGAGAAAAACGAAACCAGGAGTAAAATCGAGAGCCAGTGGAACGAAATCAACTAATTGAGTCCAAATTCCCGTTAGAATACCACCGAGATAACTTCCTCTAAAATCGCTTAGTCTCGTTGACACTTGTGTTCCGTCGTTATAAGATCGTCTATAACACCCTGGACCAGAAGAGTTGTACATATCAATCCTCCAAAATGTTGTCATATCATGACATTCGTGCAATGGCCTCTCAAATCCTTCGATTATCGAATAAAATGGAATTAAAATAAGATGATCTCTTCTATTAATACTAGAAACTTTTACTGCAATGAAAGCGGAGAACGAAGCATTTCTCATGGGAGAAAGTGAATATACAAATCGAACTTTTTCAACTGTACCATAAGTTTGTTCAAAATTAACAGAATCTAGTTCGCTGTAGTGATAAATAACCCGATCCAAATTAATCCTAATATTTGATATTCGAGAGATGAAGTAAATTGGCCTTAGATTGCTTACTGATAGTCGGCCAAACGAGTAAATATAATCACTTAACCTGAAACTCTGAAGAATTTGTAACGAGCCAACAGTAGGTTCAAATGTCGAAGTTTCCACAACACGATTACTTATGGTACGATCGTCATGAAAATGGACCAAATCAAATAACGGTAAAGGGTGAGAAGAATTCGTTACAGTGAAGTTTGATCTTAATCCCATTGCATACGACGGAGAAGCTCCTTCGTAGGAAGTCCAACGGAATACACCAGGGACTAAGTCGTTAAAGGGTTCAGAGGATATCGCAAAAAAATATTGTTCTGTAAATGTAAAATAAGCGTACACGTGACTGTTTCTTTTCTCGTGCAACAGGTACTCGTTGGGTTTACAACGACGAGAATACGCTGGAGCAAAATGATTCGCGCTGCTTCCCTGACCAACGGCTTCAGGGTTCGTGTTGAACAGTAGATTAGAGGAATTAGTAGGGTAAAAGATATCGAGATAAAAGAAATAAGGATTTGTTAAACTGTCGTTCAAAATTGGAATCCAAACATTTGATTCGTGGATTAGAAGATGACAATTAACACCAAGTATCGATGAGAGAAATATACAAATTATGGAAAAACTTGCTAAGGAAATTAAGTGAAACATTTTGTTAGAGAGAAGAAAATACAAAAAATTGGATATTTTTCTTGTTCTAATTGTGGAAACATGGATTATATTCACTGGATAATTATCGAGATTTATATTCGTCCTCGAATCCTAATGTTCACAATTTCTTAAAGTTATTTACAAATACAAATTAAATTCGTCTTAACTTTTGGTATTGGTACTGGTTCTGGATAAGATTGAATCGCAATTGGACATGAAAACTTGCTAATTAATCTAAACTACAGATTAAATGTGAATTCTGTTTACCAAAGAGTTGTTGAGGAATTATAATTGCAATTATTGTCATTATTTCCTTTGACAAATTTTGTTGTCATTCTTGATTAGTATTTGTTACTCTTGATTCTTTATTTTTAACTACTGGTTATCGCCTTATATTATTATACATTATGTGTATATATATGCTATTATTTATTTGTGAGATTAGACCAGGTCACAAATGACCTTCAACTTTGAAATATACAGAAATGGAAATCGTACTAATTTTCTTTTAACATGGTTAGGATATCGATCATTCTGATAAAATCAAGAATGAATCTTTCATCTTTTAGGTTTTATTTTAGGAGATTCTTTTCTCATTCTTTTTGACAGTTTAGGTGTCACGATGGTTTTGGTTTTTAGATTAATTGGATTGATTTTTTTGCTGATCAATTGACGGGAATAGATCTTTGGTATGAATGCTGATAGAGATTTGAAAGTTAATAATGATTTATAACGGACTCTTTGGTCAAGTCGCGATCCTTTGGCTGGATAATTTTTTCGCTTGTCCATTGCTTCCTTTAGTTTTCTGGTCGCAATATAAAATACAACGATCCCAATGATAGAGATAATGAAGGAGCAAGTTAGTAATATTATCAACAGACTATGAGAAGGTGCAAATTCAGGCGGTGAAATAGGAGGAAATGTAGGAGGAGGTAGAGGCGGACGAGTTGTTGGAGGAAGTGGAGGATAAGTAAGAGGTGGAGGAGGAGGTGGAGGTCGAGTTGGAGGTCGAGTTGGAGGAGGAGGAGGTGGAGGAGGTGGAGGAGGTGGAGGAGGTGGAGGAGGTGGAGGAGGGGAATCAATGATGAAAGGATCACTGTGAGTAATCAAGTTGTCCATGTCTATTGTTTCAAATGGACCTCGTCGTCTAGGCATAAGAATTTCTAATCTATATGTACCAGGATTCACCTGATCGCAGTTGAGATAAATCGTTGACTGACGATACCGAACAGGTGAACAATGACTATTAAAGGAAAATGTTGATCGGTCGACTAAAGTAATATTCAATGGGAAAATATTTCTATATCTTGAATGGAAACCAATGAGATCGAAGTTCAAATCAAAGTTCATTCTGTTAGGCCTGTAGTTTAATTGAATATTAGTTGTCGTGAAACATGGATTTACTGTGTAACCTGTGGACAAAATTTCTCTGTTGGAATGATGATAAGTTAGAATTAGGTAAACAGGTAAGAGAAATCATTTATACTTTTACCTCGTATCAGGGGATCGTAAATTAGGGATTGAACATCTACCCAATGTTAATGAACGTCTTTCCCATTGACAATGTCGAAGAAAATTACCATTTCTGTCATAAACTTTGGTTGTAAAGCAATCAATACATGAATTGTTCAGAAATGGACACAAAATGATTGATTCAGTGTAAGAATACTGATTAATATTAATTATGACTCGTGGATGAGTGAAACCGTAGTAATAAATTTGTGATACTGCTCGATTTACATTACCGATATTATGATGAGGGAACTCCGTTTCGTAGAAAAGGGTTGAGTCAGAATAATTTTCATCCACAAAGTGAATTGAGTATCGATATCTGGTAAAGTCAAAGTCCGCGGAAAGAACGAGGAAAACATAACCAGGAGTCGCTTCGAGAGCCAATGGAACGAAATCAATTATTCGAATCCAAGAACCATCGAGAATACGATAAAGATTAGTACTTGGGAACTCTCCTACTATCATAGATACTTCTACTCCGTCTCTTTGGCTTACACGAAGACACCCAATATCATTGTAAATATTATGATCCCAAAAAGTTTCAGTAGTTCTACAACCATCTAATGGCCTTTCAAAGTAATTGATTATCGAACTAAACGGAATTAATGCAATATAATCTCTTTCAGAAAGACGATTAGAGACTGCAATGAATGACGATAATGAAGCATTTCGCATGAGAGAAACTGAATTCACAAATCGAACTTTGTCAACTTCACCAAACCTATGGTAAAATAAAGGGGCATGCAGTTCTTTGTAGTTATAATAAGAAATTCCCGGGTTAATTATAACGTTTGATATCTGAGAGATAAAGTAAACTACTCTTTCTTGTCTAGGAAATTCTATAAGGTTGAACGAGTAAATTCTCTCATTAACCTTGAAACTCTGAAGACTTTGAAATAAGCCAACGGTGCTGTCGATTGGAGAAAAAGTACTACGAATGTACAGAAAACTTTGATCGGACAAAACAAATGTCACAAAAGAAAATAACGTTGCAGATCGTTGAGGAGTCGCTGGAACATGCGTCAAATCGAATTCGGTGGCCAATCCAATTCCATACAATGAAGTATTGAATCGAGTCCAACGATGCAGCCCGTTGACTTCATTGGGCATGTCACGTACTGAAAAAAACAGTGAATCGAGACCAATATTATAATAATGAGCGAATGATTGAGAGGCTTGCTTAGTGTGCAAAAGATATTGATTGGACCCAAGCGAATAAGAATAAGCTGGTGTGAAATAAGTCGCGCTTCTTTCTTCGCCGACTGCCCTAGGGTCCGTGTTGAGAATTTGAGTTGACATTAAGTAAAATCTATCACCAATAGCAAAGAAATAAGGATCTGTTAAACTGTTGTTAAAAATTGGCATCCAAACATTTGATTCGTGGATTAGAAGATGACAATTAACACCAAGTATCGATGAGAGAAATATACAAATTATGGAAAAACTTGCTAAGGAAATTAAGTGAAACATTTTGTTAGAGAGAAGAAAATACAAAAAATTGGATATTTTTCTTGTTCTAATTGTGGAAACATGGATTATATTCACTGGATAATTATCGAGATTTATATATTCGTCCTCGAATCCTAATGTTCACAATTTCTTAAAGTTATTTACAAATACAAATTAAATTCGTCTTAACTTTTGGTATTGGTACTGGTTCTGGATAAGATTGAATCGCAATTGGACAAAACTTGATAATTAATCTAAACTACAGATTAAATGTGAATTCTGTTGACAATCAATGACAATGTTATATTTGGGTCTTATGTTGGTCTTAGTTAAGATTCAATTATTAACTTGATGATTAACACAAATTACAGATTGAATGTGAATTCGATTTACTATAGAAATGGAAAATTAATCAACTAACTCTGGTCAATTTTGTTGGTTAAAAATCAGAAATTAATTCTAATTGGTTCGAGTTTAATTGAATCATTTCTATCGTTTTCAAACTTTTGAGTTTTACTGAATAATTGCAATTATCGTCATAATTTCCATTGACAAATTTTGTTTTCGTTCTTGATTTAATTGCGTTTCATATGAACAGTACGATACTTGTATTTGTTACTCTTGATTCTTTATTTTGAACTACTGGTTATCGACTTTTAAAAATAACCTGAACGGTTCATTTCGAATGTTCGAAAAGTTTTTATTAAACCTAACCCATGAATATTTTGTTTTTATAAATTTGAAATCACTTCATTCTGTTGATGAATTCTTGTGAACGAAGCCAATTATTCCAACCATTAGTCATGGATAGTTTTCGAAGAGGTAATTAGATCAACATGAACGAATTGATTAGCAATAAACAAAGGATATTCTTCAATGAACTTGAACCCCTCCCGATGATCACTATGATAAAGGAAAACTACTTGTCTATATAAACTAAAGGCCAAATATCGAGCAATAGAGCCCATCGTTACAAAGTCACGTTACGAGTTCCATTGAGTAAAATTGGCCGAGTGGCCAATTTCCCAGTTTGATGCTATTTTCCATAATCTATTGATTTAATTGAATTTAGTTTCTAAATGTGAATAAACCATAGCACTCTTTTGGCTAATTGTTTCTTCTGGGTTTTTGTATTTATCTGTGAGATTAGACCAGGTCACAAATGACTTTCAATTCTTAAATATACAGAAATGGAAATCGTACTAATTTTCTTTTAACATGGTTAGAATATCGATCATTCTGATAACATCAAGAATGAATCTTTCATCTTTTAGGTTTTATTTTAGGAGATTCTTTTCTCATTCTTTTTGACAGTTTGAGTGTCGCGATGGTTTTGGTTTTTAGATTAATTGGATTGATTTTTTTGCTGATCAATTGACGGGAATAGATCTTTGGTATGAATGCTGATAGAGATTTGAAAGTTAATAATGATTTAAAACGGACTTTTTGATCAAATAGCGATCCTTTGGCTGGATAATTTTTTCGCTTGTCCATTGCTTCCTTTAGTTTTCTGGCCGCAATATAAAATACAACGATCCCAATCATAGAGATAATGAAGGAGCAAGTTAGTAATATTATCATCAGGCTGTATTGATATTTAGAAGGTGTGGAGGAGGGGAATCAATGATGAAAGGATCACTGTGAGTAATCAAGTTGTCCATGTCTATTGTTTCAAATGGACCTCGTCGTCTAGGCATAAGAATTTCTAATCTATATGTACCAGGATTCACCTGATCGCAGTTGAGATAAATCGTTGACTGATGATACCGAACAGGTGAACAATGACTATTAAAGGAAAATGTTAATGGGTGGACTAAAGTAATATTCAATGGGAAAATATTTCTATATCTTGAATGGAAACCAATGAGATCGAAGTTCAAATCAAAGCTCATTCTGTTAGGCCTGTAGTTTAATTGAATATTAGTTGTCGTGAAACATGGATTTACTGTGTAACCTGTGGACAAAATTTCTCTGTTGGAATGATGATAAGTTAGAATTAGGTAAACAGGTAAGAGAAATCATTTATACTTTTACCTCGTATCAGGGGATCGTAAATTAGGGATTGAACATCTACCCAATGTTAATGAACGTCTTTCCCATTGACAATGTCGAAGAAAATTACCATTTCTGTCATAAACTTTGGTTGTAAAGCAATCAATACATGAATTGTTCAGAAATGGACACAAAATGATTGATTCAGTGTAAGAATACTGATTAATATTAATTATGACTCGTGGATGAGTGAAACCGTAGTAATAAATTTGTGATACTGCTCGATTTACATTACCGATATTATGATGATCGAAGACCCTTTCGTAGACGTGGGACCTTACAGAATAATCTTCTTCGACAAAGTGAATTGAATATCTGGTAAAGTTACTGTTAGAGGAAAGAACGAGGAAAATATAACCATGAGTCGCTTCTAGAGCCAATGGAACGAAATCAATTATTCGAGTCCAAGAATCATCGAGAATACCTGAAAGAATAGTACCTGGCAACGTCCCTACTATCATAGATACTTCTACTCCGTCTCTTTGGCTTACACGAAGACACCCAATATCATTGTAAATATTATGATCCCAAAAAGTTTCAGTAGTTCTACAACCATCCAATGGCTCTTCAAAGTAATCGATTATCGAACTAAACGGAATTAATGCAATATAATCTCTTTCAGAAAGACGATTAGAGACTGCAATGAATGACGATAATGAAGCATTTCGCATGAGAGAAACTGAATTCACAAATCGAACTTTGTCAACTTCACCAAACCTATGGTAAAATAAAGGCAAATATAGTTCTTTGTAGTTATAATAAGAAATTCCCGGGTTAATTATAACGTTTGATATCTGAGAGATAAAGTAAACTACTCTTTCTTGTCTAGGAAATTCTATAAGGTTGAACGAGTAAATTCTCAGGTTAACAGGTATAGGTAAATAACATAGAATTGGGTCTAAATTTTTTATCATCATGTTTTCATCTTAAACTTTAAACTTAATAACTTTTTTGTTTTTCAATCCTTAACTATAAAATTTTCAAGATATTTTGTTAAATGTTTGAATTACATTTAATTGAAAAAATCAAGACGATTGCATGAAAACTTACTGAGATATTCTCAATTTACTAGTCAGTCCCATAATTTTTCCGCACACGTTATAATACGAAATTCCCGGGTTAATTATAATGTTTGATATCTGAGAGATAAAGTAAACTGGTATTGATAGAGAATCCCATGTTACAAGGTTGAACGAGTAAATATTCTCATTAACCTTGAAACTCTGAAGACTTTGAAACAAGCGAACGGTGCTGTCGATTTGATAAAAAGTACCACGAATGTACAGAAAACTGCGATCGGACAAAACAAATTGCACAAAAGAAAATAAAAACATAATTGGTGGAGGAATCGTCCATTCGAATCTTTTGGCCAATCCAATTCCATATGATGAAGTATTGAATCGAGTCCAACGATTCAGCCTGTTGGCTGTGAGCGTGTCTTGTACTCCTAAAAACGCAACAAAGGGATAAATATCACGAATATTATAATAAGCGAACGATCGAGAGGCTTGTTTAATGTGCAAAAGATATTGATTGGACCCAAGCGAATAAGAATAAGCCGGTGTGAAATAAGTCGCGCTACTTCGTTCACCAACGGCGTTAGAATCCGTGTTGAGTAATCGAGTCGACGTTAAGTGAAATCTATCAGCAGTAGCAAAGAAATAAGGAGCTGATAGATTGTTGTTAAAAATCGGAATCCAAACATTTGATTCGTGGATTATAAGATTAGTATTAACACCAAGTATCCATGAAAGAAATATACAAAATGAAGAAAATCTTGTCAGTGAAATTAAATGAAACATTTTTTTCGAGAGAGGAAAATATTACAAACAATTTACTCTTCATTATATCCATTGGATTGTGTTTACAATTGTTGTTGTACTTTTTTGTTGCCAAAACACAATCAGGATTATATTCATTGGATAATTATCGAGATTTTTTTGTCTTCGAATCTTAATGATTATTTTTAAAGTAGAAATTATTAATACATTAGTCTCTATTTTGGTGTTCGTTTGAAGATTCAATCGTGATTACGACTTGAAAAAGTTGTTAATCAGTCTAAACAATTTAAATCTAAAGGAAATCATAACCTGGTTTAACATTCACAGTAATACGTTAATCTATCAAGATTACGATAGATTCTGGGTGGATCTTGAGTACCGGGTTCAATTTGTCGGTAACTAGCATTTGGTGCTAATATGGTTGCATGAGCTCGACGGTTTAATGTTCTTGCACTGATTATCACCACAGGACTGACGTGAAGATCAGGTACCGAGTTGGAAGGAGGTGATGATGTAGAAGTTGTTGTTGTTGTTGTTGTGAGAGTTATTGGTGCTGTTGAAGAGGAAGACGCTGCTGTTGATGCAGAACTTGAGTCTTGGGTTGACGATAATGTTGATGACTGATTGGAGAGGCGACTATTTAATGCTCGAGCAATTTTTCTCATATTATACCAATGGATCCGAATTCTGTCAAATCTTGACCCAGTCAACAGAGGAAAATTTTTTGAGCAGTTTTTACAAATTTTTGACTCAATTTTGAGTGAAAAATTTTTCGAGTGATTATATTTACTATTTTTTGAGTAAAAATTATGTGAGGAAGTGCATATTCAGTCAAAAAAAGGATTTATAAGGACAAGTTTTTGTTCAGAGTTTTAATTGAAAAGATTCAATTTTATTGAGAATCAGTAGAAAATTGGTTAATTGGAGATCATTTGAATTTGACGTGATTTTTCAAAAATATATGGTAAAATTGAGATGAATTTATGAGTTTGATTTTTTTCTATCAGGTTGAATAGATTCATTTGAAAATGGTAATAATTGAGTAAAAAAATAGGATTACAATGTTTTGAGCTGAAGTAACAATTTGTAAATATTTGAAAATTAACAATTTGAGAAAATTAAATTTTTTGAATCGAGCGCTTCCTTGAGATCAATTTAAATGGTGGAGAAAATTCACTTTTTAATTTAAGAAGACTTTTATTATTGATTCTCCATGA